TATTCTATGCTTTCTCTGTTTTCTCCATCAAACAATTCTCCCCTTTTTTTCTGTTCTTCCATTCCACCACCTGTTTTTTCTTGGGTGGTGCTTAGCATTTCTCTAACTATTCTGCATACTTCTAGCTTCAGGTCGTTGATAACTTCATTCCTGAATTGGTCTATGAGGCTCTCTATATGGTGCCTTATGTGTATTGGTGTGGTGTCTGCTATTGTCTGTTTCTCAGAATTGGGGGCCGAGGAGCCTTTCTTGTTGCTGCCTCTTCCCATGCTGCCTCTTCTTCTCTGTTCCTTATATATGCAAGCTTATATAAGAGGCCCAGCTTCTCTCCCAGTCAGCCACAGCCTGATCGAATTGCGCCAGTTAGGTGTTCCCGCTCACCGCTGCGCACCAGGGAGTTACGGACCAGGCAGCCTAAGCGTCTCCCCTCCCGGCCACCGTCAGGCTCTGGGATCTGGGTTGGGACAGTCTACCAGGTCCGCCGGCAGCGTCACGCAGGCCAGGCACTTTTCACCAATCCCGCCCAAGAGGGGGATGTGTGGCTGGAGTTGCCACCGCGCCCTGCTCCCGCAGGACTGCTCGGGCCCAGAAAGTCCTCTGCTGGAGTCAAACTGTGGTAGAGTGTCAGTTTCTCTCACTCACCTCACCATAAGTCAGTGCACGCCTCCCTGCCGTTCGCAGATTGCCGTTCTCAGAGCTTCTGCGCGTCTCTCTCCTTGCCGAGCCGCCGTAGAGGCAGCCAGCCGCTGCGCGGCGGGAAACCCAAATCGCGGCTTACAATGGCGCGGTTCCAGCCTCCACACCGAGTCTTTTCTGTTCCTGTTTTAGCACCAGGACTGCATTCCAAGTTGGCTTCTCTCAGCCCAGTTCGTTCCTGAGTCAGCAGAGCATATCTCCACCTGCTTATGTCTCCTTAGTCCGCACCATTCCTGGCTTCTGAGCCGAGTCTTTCAGAGAGCCGCCGGTAGTTGCTGTTATCTGTCCGCCATGTTCTCCCGGAAGCCCACCATCTGGTTTTTAACTGATGTTCCCCTATTCTGTTTTGCTGGATAGTATCAGGTTCGAAAATTTAGGCATCAGCTGTGAAGATAATGAGATTCATTATAACGCCCATTCTCGTTGACTTTTATCTACTTTTGAAGACCTACAATGTCTCCAATGGTTTGGCTTTGTCGGTTTTGTTCTTTACTGTTTTGTTCAATTGTATTATAACTAATGGTATAGGCAATTCTATTAGAGATAGCGGGAGGCATTATGGTAACCATTGTTGATCACCTTGTATTATGTTTTCACATTATCTATTATGTCCACCCTTTTGACTTGACCGATTCTGTTCTGTTATGTCACATTTGGTTTTACTCTCTTCCAAAAAAAGAACCGTGAGAGCAATGAAACCCAAAATGTGTAATAGTCATTGTACAAAAGAGAGGAAAAGAAAGTGCTCTAAACTATATAACTGCATGTATATTTAAGTGTATAAGATAGAATATGATATCACAGAGATTTATTGGATCATTGAACAGAACTGTTTGCAGTATCATTGATGGAATGTCCACTTTACAAGCTTTAATTTTGTGACTTGAACAATTATTTCTAAGATGACAGTATATAATCCATTAACTAGTGATTTCCTACTGTTCATTTTTTTTCTGCAAATCTGTATAACTTGTACCCTTTCTTTGCTTTTTTTTTCTTTTCTCCTTAAATAAAATAAAAAAAAAAAAAAGAAAGATAAAAAATGACCACTTAAAAACGTTAATAATGTGCCGTTTTACATGCCCATCATTAAATGATATAAGAACTCCAGTTTCTCTGCATCCTCACTCAAGTTTCAAACTCCCTTTTCCTCTCCTATGGAATCTGGGTCTTTTTGTCACTGCCCTAGCCAACCATTTACCTCTTCTGCAGGGCCTTTAAGAGGAATGGAAACTTTTTCCACTTTTGTCTTAGCCTTGGAAAATGATTATTAGACACAGAAGGGGAGAGATATAAAGGACCACAATTCACCAGACATGTCAGTAATGAAGCCAAAGTGGAAGCAGATCCTGAGGTATAGCAAATGCAGTTACCAGTATGGGGATCAACAGTGAACCACCTAGAAGAGTCCTTCCTAGATTCCTGACTTACAAAACTGCAAACAACGCAAAAACTGTTACACAGCAGCAGCCAACCAGAACGTTAACAAGAAAGCTTTTCTTAAGGCTGAGCATAGGCCTGGGATGTGGTATAGTGCTAAAACACATGCCTAACATGAACAAGACCCTGGGTTCAATTCCCAGCATCACAGAAAACAAAAAATGTAAAACACTAGGTATAAAATAAGTTACAGGCAATCAAAAACAGTGTAATGCTGGGCATGATGGCACATTCCGTAATCCCAGCTACCCAGAAGGCTGAAGCAGAAGAAACACAAGTTTGAGGCCAGCCTGGGCAACAGCAAGACCTTGTATCTAAATTAAACTTCAAAAAGCTGGAGACATAGCTCAGTGGTAGAGTATCTGCCCAGCATGCCTGAGGCTCTGGGTTCAACTTTTCAGCAAAAAACAAAAACACACAAAATTGAAACAATGCTATAATTGCAAGTGAACCGTCAAGTGAGCATGAACATAAATAAAACAGATCTAGACCTTCTTTGTGTGTGTGTGTGTGTCCCCACACATAGCCATCAGCATGATGGGGCTCAAAAGCAATGAGTGAGGTACAGCAAAGGGAAGACAATACACTCATGCACAGGAAAGTCCAAAACACAGACAGCATATGACTCATCAGCTACTTTTAACACACGTCAAACTGAACGCTGATTGCTGTATTCATGAAAGCTTCACAACAAGAATCCAGAGACTAAAAATTCCAAGATGAGTGAGGTGACCAGAGGAAGAAACTGTCAGGAAAGGTGACGTATGTGGGTGTTTCGAAGGAAATTAAAGAAAATCTAGTGATATGAAGGACCTATTAATCTCTAATCTACTGAGATTAAACCAAAAGACAAAGTCGACAATAAACAAGCATTAAAAAGTAGTAAGCATCATTTTTGTCTCTGGGACAAAAGAGTTCCCTTTTTTCACAATTTGATAGGAAAAAAATCTGTCTGCTAAGAAAAGGTAGGATGTATTTCTGTCTAAATTTGAGGGACTTTCATGATTTCTTCCAGGATAGCTCTATAGCGTCAGGATCTAACGACTACTCTCACTACAAATACTGTAAGTGCTCATGCCCATGGTAATTACTGAAGCTGTCTGCAGTTTATCATCAGTGTGGCAGATGTATTACCATCATCACTTAACCTTTGTGACAATCTTACAATGAGGTACTCTTCTTACATAGTCAATAAGAGCAACTAATATATGTACAGGGTTACTGTCATGGCTTTTGTCAATAGTTCCTGACAAAGAACTTCAAAACATTGGAATCTTCTGAGCGGCAAGGATGACTTTGTTGTGCTAATAAGGTAATTCAGCATGGCACCTTAGGTAGCCTCAGAATGATGACTGGTTATAACAAAAGACCAAATGTGATTAGACAGTTGGAACTTTGGGGTGTCTCTGAAGAGACTGCGTTTAATCATGTGGCCAATGAGCTAACCAAACGTCTCCCTGGTAAAACCTCAACAGAAACTCTAGATTCCAAAAGCCTGACCAACTTCCCCACTGGTGAATGCATGGATGTGCTGAGAGGGTGACACTGGCTCAACAGGAAAGGGCATCAGACCCCTGCTTCTTACATGTGTCCTATGTCATAAAACTAACCCGAAGAAGAGCACTGACCTGAGGTTTGTGAGTTGTGCCCCGAGAACTCCACTTGTGCTGGTCTGTCAGGACTTGTATAGCTCTGATGACTGACTCATGACTCTACAATGTCAGTGTGAAGTAATAAATCAGCTACTAAGACATAAATGCTATAGCTAAAGCTCAAAACCATTTGACAGATTCCAGGGACATTTGTTATTACCAGAGGCAAACTACAGACCCTAACAGGGATGGTGAACTCTTCTGAGACTGCGTCCCCAAACTGCAGCCCAAAACCCACTTAGCACATAATACCAACATTGCACTTAAACCTGAGTACGTGACTGCTGGGCCAACGTGGGGCAACTTAGCTCACGTGCCAACAGAGAGGGCTCTGTGTATCCACTGTGGCACGACACTGCATGCCATAGGTTCACCACCACTGCCACCAACTCTGTTTTTTTCATTATAAAACAGAATGCAAGCAATTCATCAAAGTAACTTACATGGAATGAAAAATTACACCAGCTTGAAAACTAGCAAATCTCTTTAAGCAATCACATCATTACTAGGTGAGTTAACCCCAAAATCACAATAGGTACAGGCATGAAACAGTGGGGCATGCTGAGGGCAAAGTATCAAGCACAAAGATGACAATTTAGTACTGAAAAGAAAAGCAACATTGAGCACGTTTGGATTCCTTTTTTTTGTACTCACCCCTACTCTCCTGTTTTTTTGAAACAAGGTCTCACTGTGAGATTTAGATCGACCCTGAACTCACAATGTAGCCCAGGTTGGCCTCAAGCTTATGGTGATTTTCCTGCCTCAGCTTCCCAAGTACTTGGATTAGAGGTGTATGTCTAATATCAGCTACTTTTGAATTCTTGAGCTTTTTCCTATGTCCCACATAGAATGCATGAATTTGAAAACAATTTTAAATCATAATTAAAGACAAGTATAAGGGCATGGCTCCACTACAAAATTTAAAAAATCTAATTTCAACTCGAAAATACAGTGAAGCATCATTACAAGCCTGAGAGAAACCACAAAACAAATATACTTTTAGGATCAGGAATGTGTTACTAGTATTCTCTGCCAACAAAAAAACTTTCTGAGCACTGACACAAAAAAATAGTATGCTTTTTTACTACAGCTTACACAAAACTTTAAAATGCTTTATTTAAGCTCATTTTTTACTCCTTAGAATGTATGTCAATCACACTGCTATGAAGCTAAAAGTCTTAGATTTGTCTGTGAGACGGTCTTCTTTCTTACCTGGCCTGTTAGTGGCTGCCATGATGAAAACCTGCTGACGTGCTTCCAGACCATCCATCTCTGTAAGTAGCTGATTCACCACCCGAACACTTGCGCCAGTCTGAAATAAAAACAAATCTACTTCCATCAGCCTTCAATACAAAAGGAGAAAAAATCCATTTTTTTCTGTACAAAATAATGTATTTGCTAACTTGATCAAAGGTTTTTGTCAAGAAGTAACTAACAACGGCTAAGGCATAGTGGTGTGGGCCTGAAGCCCCCAACACTCCCTTTTAGAAACAAAGATTAACTATGATCATTTTATGAGGTCACTCCACACACAGGTACTGCTGCCATCACCAGATGTCCTTTAATCCTGTGGTTATTCACAGCCTGGACAAGCAAACTAAGACTGAGAGAGGCTGGACAAGGGAAGGGCTTATCGACAGCAAAAGATGGGAGCAAGGAGTAAAACCCAGATCACCATGCCCAATCAGCTGAACACAGCAAAGTGCAGCGCTCTGCTCTGGACTTCACAGGAGACTCTGGAACAGTACAGGGAACCGTGGAAGAATCTCTGCCTTGCCACGGACATCACTATCAGAGAAGAAACGTACAACAGAAGACGGTGATGCTGTGGTCTAAAGGGTGGGTAGACAAAACTGCCATTGTCTGAGACCCACTTGTATCAGTTAATTTTGTCATTGCAACTTTTGAACGTTTTTTAAGGGAAATTAGGTAAATAACAAATGTTTTATAATTGAAGAGCCCCCTCAACATTTGTAATTAAATCACAAAGTTTCTGAGGTACTTATTAATCATTATCATCTATTCCCTGAAGGCTATTAAATTCTTCATGTTATGCGCTTCACATCTCTAAATAACAGTATTTCTGATAACAACTATTTCTGCCACCCTTATATCGAAGTGTCTAAAAAGTGTGCATCAGTAGCATTGGTGCAAGTGCTATGCAATCCAGATCAGTATCTTCCCCAGACAGCAATATTAGGTTTTAAAGTTAACATCCTACCCCTAATTTGAACGCTCAATATCTTAAATTATGTTTTGCCTGTCTCAAGAACTTCAACTGAAAGGTATCATAAAACTTCAAGATCACAAAACCAAATATTCAGACCTATCACTTCCATTCCCAATTACTCATTTATGTGAGTTAAGATCACAAAAATATTGAGCAACCAAAAAAATACATGATTTGGGCAAATTAGAAAACTTATCTCTGATTTCAGATTACTAGGTCTCTTCATTAGAAGAATCATGTTCCCAAGGAACGACTGTCTAATTAGCACCTGACTAGGAAACTACAAAAGGTTTATGGCATGTAAAAACATCTATAAACAAGCTAGTGTGATTATACATGCCTCTATTCCCAGCACTCTGGGAGGCTGATGCAGGAGAATGACACGTTTGAGTCTAGCCTATGTGATCTGGTAAAACCTGCATAAAAATTAGAAGACGGGGTGGGGGTGGTCAATGTGAAGGCCCTGGGTACAGTCATCCCCAGTACTGCAAACAAACAGATAAATAAGTAAAACTACCAATCTATGATGTTTACCTCTTTGTCTGATCTTCGAGGACATAACGCATCCATTTCATCAAAGAATATCACACAGGGTGCCGAGTTCTTGGCTCGCTGAAAAACCTGTCGCACAGCTCGTTCACTCTCACCAACATACTAAACAAAGAAGCAATAAAATGCAAACCTGACCTTGAGATTGGAGCCAAAAGGCAGTAAAGCTAGTTTCTAATCACATTTGGATGTCAAGAGTCCAAAATACATTAAATTATATCATACACATGTACTGACGTTAAACCATCATTGACATAAAAGTAGCTGTGTATGGTTCAACTGAATAAAATCAGCTATTATGTAAGTTTATTACAAATTTCCTCATCATAAAATTAAGACCAAGAAATATGCTCTTCTCTACTCAAAAACTCCTAACGTTCTACTGTGTCTCAGCACTGATCTCTTAGGCCTTACACATATAAAATAGTGATTTTTCACTAATTCAACAGTATTTTAAATGTATACAAAACAAATTACCATCTCAGTGTTATTTTTAGTATCTGTCATATAGGAATAGAGGATTCAAAGTGAACCTGGCCTGTTATGGGTTTTATAATGGCTTACTGCATATGCCAAAATCTAAATTAAAATGTAAAACACTAAAATCAGTAGTAGTATCAGTACTAAGTACTATGACAAATTATATGTAACAACATGGTTCCAGTTTTTAGCTGGGCATGAGAAATTATTCTTATAAAATTTCAAACTATTTGATTAAGAAAAAGCAGTTATTTTTTAATAAAACTGCTATGGCAGTATCCAAAAATGATTTTTACAATAGCAACTATTCTAAACTACTATGTAATTATTTAATGACTATATGACTACAATAATCATGCATAGCAGTGCACGCCTATAATCCCAGTACTGGGGAAATATGGGCAAGAGGTTTACCACAAGCTCAAGGCCTGCCTGGGCTACTCAGGACTTCAAGGGCAGCGGTACTACATAGCAAGATTCTGTCTCACATCATATTAACAGTAAACACCTTGGACTCACTGTGTAGCCCAGACTGGCCACAATCTTGAGGTGATCCTCCTGCTTCAGGCTCCCAACTGCTCAGAAAACAGGTATGTATCACCATGCCTGGCTGGAATAACTTCTAATTTGCCTCCAAACATTTCTTCTTGCATTCTAAAAGAGCCCCATCAATTATTCTTCCTATGAATATGTACTTTGCTCTTAAAACAGTTCATATTATTACAACATTCAAGTTCTTCTACTTTCATTACAGTATAGTCCTTGGGGAGCAGAAGTCATATCTTTTTCAAATGCTTCTCTCTTAACATTTTGCACAATGATAACATTGATTTTCCTTAAAAATCTAGCCTAGCAAAAACTATTTCAAACGGTGAAACAATATATAGGATTTAGGTGACTAATTGATTTGTTTGTTTATTGGATCACAGTCTCTCTGTAGTTCAGGCTGGTCTCAAACTCACAGTGATCCTCAACTTGCTTCTGGAGTGCCAGCATGCCTAGCTAGTATGTATTTTACAGGAAAATCCAGTAACAGTGAGTTGATAAAAGTTTCAGGCAGGGATGGGAGAGCAATAAATACACCTGGAAAGACACTGGATATAGTACACAAATCATCAAGTGACAGAAAATTTAATTAAGGGCAAGGTAAACAAAGTCTCAAAAGGACAGAATAAAAGCAATTTAATCTCAAGGTAACAGTACTTAAAAGAATATCTCATCTTGGTCTTTTAGAAGAAACATTTCAAGTAAAGAGACTATTGTTACCATCCTTAATTCTTTATTAGCCATTCCATTTTTGACTATTATGATCCAGTTTTGACAAGGCCCATTATTGAGAGTATTCTCTTACACTCAGCAAATGTAGCGCTCTACTCTCAGTTTCTTTCATATCCTCTGGTCAGTTTGACAGTTTTGGTTTTGGGGCTGAGATGGTCTCGAGACCACTTTTGGTTTCTTTTCCCATTCCTATTTGTTTTTTCTGAATCATCGACATCCTCAGGGTTGCCAGTGCCCCCCCCCCCAAGTTCTAGCAGAACTTATTTGCCCATTCCCAGCATTTTAGGTACTACTTAGCTGAGCCCAACTCTCTTCAGAGCTCCAGACTGATTCCCTACTACTTCCCAAGTGGCTCTTTAAAATGTCCTAGAATACATTCATTATCTAACCCCAAGATGTCTAAGTCTAACCCTGATAAGATCATCTAATCAGTATCTCAGAGTCACTCTACACTCTTCCACGGACATCCTCTACCATCCCAAAAAGGCAAATCAGAATCCAATGGGGAGATAAAACTGCAAACTCATCACACTGACAAAACAAAACAAAACAAAACAAAACAACCCCCAAGAAACAGTAATCTGACACTAGCAGGGCTAGTAAGAATGTGAAAAAAAACTTTACACAAGTATTTCATGAAAAAAATTTGCAATACCTAATTTTTAAAAAGTGTATATAGTCTAAGTTACAATTATTCAACTTAAAGGTATTTTATATACTTTACAGGTAAAAATCCTGTAAGTATCAAGGCTATATGAATATTGAACCTCAAGAGATACAGGAAACGAATATGAAGAAAAAGACCTCATTTTAAAAATTATGGTTATATTCAATGAAACGTCAAACAGAATTAGTAAATCAGAAGTAAATATAGCAACAAAGTATAAATATCCAACAGAGTACAAGTTATTCCAGTAAACTATTTTATTATAGTGCAACCACTACTGTGTAAACACAGTAGTGCATGAGGCCTGAAAGTGTCTACTACTGAGTTTCAGTAATCACCAATTCAATCAACTAACCCTGAGTTATTTATATCCCGTTCTGAGTTTCCTTTTTTGGAAGTAAATCTTAAGACACTATATTTGATTTGTAAATATTATTCAGTATCTCTGAAAAAGTTACGGCAATATAACTGCATCATCATACTTAAAAAAAAATTATTTATGTGGGGCCAGGCATGTTGCTTGGTGGTAGAATGTATATTCAATATGTACAAGGCCCTTGTGTTTTATTCTCAGCACCACCACCAAAGAGAAAAAGAAGTATGCACATACACATACATAAATATAAATGTTAAATATTCAGTAAGTACTCATACGTCCAACTGTCTTTTAAGTTTCATACTTTTAGAACAACACATACTGTATAGGGGTAATTATGTACACAGTAAAAATAGAAAAAATACATTCTTAGCCCTCCCACCCCTAAACTTTGAGACAGGTTGTTGTTAAGTCAGCTAAGCTGCCCAGGCTGGCCTTGAACTTGGAATCCTCTTGCCTCAGCCTCCCAGAGTGCTGGGATTGCAGACATTTAATTTGAAATATAAACTGTTTAAATATATAGGGAAAATATAAGCAATAATAACTTTCCCCCCTAAAGTGTTTTTATTAATATTTAACACATCTAAGCTATACAGCAATAGGAAAAGGTGAGAAGGGCAGGAGCCAGAGAATGCAGATTCAAGCCTCAGTTTCACCACAGTACTTCTCAATTGCCAAATTCTGCACGTTATTTATCCTCGCCACATCAAGGGTTTCTAGAAGAGAGAACAGCTCATACCTTACAGGGCTAGTACTAAACAATAATGTATGCCGCACACTAAAGTGTTAGCAAAACCGGTAATAAATTATTTCCACTTTGCAGGTAGAGAAACATACCTTAAGTAGTAGAGCAAAGCAAAGCTCAACCTTCTCAACTGAATCAGTGAGACTATCAAAATAACACAATTGTCCCAAGATCTGAGAATGTATTATCCTGTAATTTGAAAAACAATTACTTTCCAAACTAAAATAATGGCTAATGTCACAACAACTTACCATATTTAGTAATTCAGGGCCTTTGACAGATATAAAATTTAGTCCAGACTCATTTGCTACAGCCTAGCAAGAGGAAACAAAGACATAAGTAAGACAAATATGGAACAAGCTGGTAACAAAGAGTTTTACATTCTTTTCTCCTTTGTTATAGTTATTCTTTTTAAGAAGGAAAAGAGATAAAAAAGCAAAGGTAGTAAATGTTGGCTTACAACTGCTAAGACAGGCATCAAATCAAATGGGAATAATAAAATATTTTTAAGTATTTTATTTAAAAAGCATGCTTTTACAGCAGTGTAAATACATTTGTAACTCTATCCTGGGATTCATTTTTTAATTTACAAACCAAAATTCCAAAACATCAGAATCAGTTTACCAAGCATCAATACTGAGAAAAGCTTAAGTGTAGAAGAGTTTAAGAATTATAATCTGTATGCGGAGATGAAACTTAAATAAACTCTAAAAATAACCAGAGTAGGGGTCAGGGATTTGGCTCAGTGGTATAAGCGCCTTCCTGACAAGCGTGAGGTCATGGGTTCACTCTCCAGTACCAAACAAACAAACCAACCCAGAGTGAGAGCTGAGGATGTAGCCCTCTGGTAGAGCACTTAGTCCAGCGTGTGTGAAATCCTGAGTTTGATCCCCAGCACCACAAGAAGTAACTACAGAAACATACCAAAATCCACCAGGGGACAGTCTTTCCATTCCAAGAATCTATTATCTTGGCTCCAGTTCAACATACCCTGTGCCATTCCATGTGTCCTGCATAGGTACTCAAACTCATCGTTTACAGACAGGACTCCTGGCTAACTCTCCCAGTTCCGTCCGGCCCAAGCTCCATTTCTTTCACCTCACTGAGTATGTGTGGTTTCTGGACCAATCTCAGCCTCTCCTTGCCTGGTCCTGTTGCCCCACTGTCAGTCAATCCTGTAAGCGCTCACATACAGGTGGGTCTGACAAAAAGACCTTTTCTGTTTTCTCCTCTCAACTACCACTTTCATTCAGACTACAATCCTCTTTTACCTGAACAGAAAAAAAAAAGTCCTTAACACAATTCCTTTCATTCCCGCTTTCTTCCAATATACTCTTGACACATCGGAAAACACTTTAAAAAATACAAAGCAGATCCCTTGTTGCACCATATGTCCTATCTATCCTCAAGTGCCATGTGATGTATCTACCATGGCTCCCCACACCTTGGGACAGACAGTTCCTCCTTAGTCCAACAAAGGCTCCTTCCCTGGTTCTCAAACTTCAGCTCTTCCCACCTCAAGGTGCTGCAGCTTCTTTTTTGTTTTGTTTTGCTTTGTTACATAGATTAATGGGCTTCTTCGTGGCAGATCTGCACATCTGTGTAACAGACTTTGATCATTTCATGCCCCTAGACTCTTGCTTCATCCTCCTTTCCAGTTTCACATGGAGACAGAGGGGTTAATGAGTATAATATACAACCATGAGGCTTCCCTAAGTGTTTTTCCCTCCATCTTCTTTCCCTGCTTCTTTATGGAGTTAGCTGGTCGTTCAAGACTATTTGGATGTCCATCCTGTGAACATCACTATCAAAGAAGCCATCTCCCAACTGGCTGATCAGAACACTATTTCTATCAAAACTCTGCCAAATCTGCAATTTACCACTTGACTTATTTGCTGCTGCTCTCATCCAAATAGAAAAGCTGATCAGATTGGCACCTTGTTCACTAGCTTATCCCTAGCACCTCAAACAATGTCTGGGAAAGATAGGTATAGTGAGCCAACGACATGCATGAATGCCTTGCCCTGTGAAAGCTGCTCTACAGATCTGGGCATGGTAGCACACACTTGTAATTCCAGCACTGTGGGAGGCTGAATCAGAAGCATCAAAAGTTTGAGGCCAGCCTCGGGTACACAGTGAGTTCAAGGCCAATCTTAAGTGTATAGTGAAAACCCATCTCAAAACAAGAAACACAAAAATATATTCTTGTACATATAGTCTTTTTCTTTTTCCTATTGGGAATTATATCTAGGGCCTTCAAAATAAGCTACATTCCACCTTTTTTGTTGTTTTGAGTGAAGGTCTTTACAAGTTACTAAAATTGCCTGGGTTGTGCGAATTTATGATCCTCCTGCCTCTGCTTCCCAGAGCACTGAGTTACAAGTTTGGTTGGGTACATATAGCATCTTGATTTGGCTGCAGAGAAATAGTGGTTGGCAGCAGGTAGAAATGCGAAGATTCATAAATAATGCCTTTCCCTTTTGCTTACTTATATTTTCTATGGTAAAAAGGTAATTTTTTTTTTTTGTACCAGGGATTGAACTCACGACCTTGCGCTTGCCAGGCAGGTGTTTATGCCACTGAGCTAAATCCCATGCCCTGTAAAAAGGTTATTTAAAGATAATTGTAAGGGAAATATTTTTGTTAATATTGTACCAAAGCAGGATCAGCTACAAACTACAACTATGAAGTAACTTTTATTAAAAAGTTAGAATACATAGAAATGATAATTACTATACTAAAATTGATGGGCTTTTTGATGACTTCTGCATTTAAAAAGTGGGAATTTTCGTGAAAATTGGTATGTAAAACATTGATCTCAGTGTAAGACATAAAGATAAATCCGTACTATTCTGCCTGAGATTAAGAAATAAAACACAAGTTGAATATATACCGCACCTTTGCCAGCAGAGTCTTACCACAGCCAGGAGGACCAGCAAGGAGGACTCCAGCTGGAGTCACCAGGCCGAGGGCCTTGAACCGGTCTGGATTACGCACTGGGGCCTGGAAGGAACAGCAGATGTGACCATATTACATTGAACTAATACCTCACTGGAAAACACCTACAGTCACGTCAGTTTGGACTTACGTGCTGGGTATGCACGCACAGAGCCTCTGGCCCTGAGTTACTGCATCTGTCAATGATCTCAGCAGCTGATGCACCTACCAGTATTGCCATGGTGAGCTCTTCTCTAATATCTTCCAGGGCACCAATGTCTGCCCAAGTCACATTAGGAACAGTAACAAAACCTTCTCTTTTGGCAGAGGGTTGGACCGAGGCAAGAGCAACAATGAAGTCATTCATTTCAATGCATAATCCTTGCATCTGCTCCTCTGAGAGGGGATCATGGTCTCTTAGCAATCCCAGAAGCCTTTGAAATTCATCCTTAAATGAACAATCGAGAGGAAAAACATTCTTAAACCACAAGGTTTGTTTAAGTTTCAGGTTGGGCAGGCATGGTGGCACATGCCTTCAATTCCAACACTTGAAAGACTGAGGCAGGAGGATCACTACAACTGAACACATGGACGAGGACTTCCAGAAATGCTTCAGAAAGTGTCAAGAACTATGAAGCAAGGGGATATATTTTGTGTCCGCAAGTATGTTTCAAGATTACTTCTTTTTTTATTTGTAATAATAGAGGGCAATCTTGTCTTTTCACTTTTAGTCAGTGATAACGAAGCTGTGTTCATAAATACCTTATGGCTTTTTTTTGGTACCAGGGATTGAACTCACGACCTCACACTTGCAAGGCAGGTGCTTATGCCTCTGAGCTAAATGTCCGGCCCTCCTAAGTGACTTTTAATCTGTGCTTATTTAATCTATGCTTCATTATCATGCATAATGATCTGAACTGCTTTTTCTCCCCACTCTTAAGTTTGTTTTGGATCCAAGAGATGTGATGCTCTACATTTTGCAGTTGCCTTCTGTCCTACTAACTCTGGAATATGACTAAAAGATTTTGCTGTGAGTTCTGACTACACCTTCTTTTCAGAATAAAAGTTTTGCTTCCTAACAAGAAAATAAAATAATTCAATTTAAAATGTTTTAAAAATTCTAATCTGCTGGCTGTGGTGGCATACACCTGCAGTCCTGGTACTCAGGAGACTGAGTCAGGAAAATTGCCCAGAGTGTGAGGCCAGCCTGGGCTACAAAGTGAGTTCAAAGCCTGGCTGAACTACCCAGCAAGCTCTTGCCTAAAAAAAAAAAAAGAAAAAGAAAAAAGAAAGAAAGAGATTGTAATTTATATGTAAATACAAAAGGAGTGAGTTTATTATTATTTTTTAACAGAAATAATGCTGGCTTCAAATAAGGAAAAACCAAACAATTTAAAAACAGAAGACCTGGCTTTAGGTGCCTGCTCTGTACAATTCATGTAAACCTACCTAGAAAAGCCACAACCTTGTAAACTTAGTGTCTTGATTGACTAAAAAAAAAAAAAAAAGGAAGGAAGGGTAAGCACTGTTTCCTTCACAAGATTACACAGATCAAACTATGTAATAGCTAGAAACCTTTGTGCAAACTGTATCAAAATTATATGGTGATCTTAGGACTGGCAAAGGGTCTGCTGTCCTCTACAGTGGATTAGGGCCGAGGAAAAGGGAATGACTCCATCCGTAAAATATCCTAGTTTACTTAACCAAAAACTTGCCTAAATATCAATGCCCTAAAAACAGGAGGTGTTTTGTAAAGGACTAAACCTCAACTCTACTGACATTTACTTGTACTGAAGACAACATAGTGAACTGAACAGTCAAAAGTACCTGTGTTTCAGAAGTGGACTCCGTTTCCAGTGTTTCCCTCTGGCCACCTTCACCCTCAAGGTCTCTCCTTTGCTGCTCCTGCAGCCTCATCAGGGCCCTGTTCACTGCACACACAGCTGCCTCTCGGCAAAGCGCCATCAGATCAGCACCAACAAAACCTGGTGTCAGGTGTGCTAAGTGACAAAAATTAAATGTTTCAGGAAGTCTGAGTTTTCGGCACAAAGTCTGAAGTATTCTGTAGAAAAAACAAAACATTTCAAATTCCTGATCCAATAGTAGAAGCAAGTCACTAAATATACTTATTTGGAGTTCTTCATGTGTAATAACCTATCAATGGCATCATAACAGGAAGTGTAAGATCAAATAATGCATTTTTCACTCTACAAATGCTAAATCAAATTACTATCACATATCTGACCTCATCTCAAAAAAACTAATGGCAGATACGTTTTGTTAGTAACTATGCTAAGTCTTCTGTGTAATAGAAAGGCAAATTTTAAAAAAATTAATAAAGAGTTGGGGCTGGGGATTTAGCTCAGCGGCATAAGTGCCTGCCTTGCAACTGTGTGGTCGTGAGTTCGATCCCTGGTACGGACAAAAAACAAGAAAGACGAAGCTGGGGATTTAGCTCAGCGGCATAAGTGCCTGCCTGGCAAGCAGGCAGTCGTGAGTTCGATCCCTGGTACCGATAAAAAGGAAAAAAGACAAAAAATAAATAAATAAATAAAATAAAGAGTTTTACTAATTTTTAGAGAAGATACGATAGATAACTTGTGAGAGCACTTTTATAGTAGATAACATGGAAATCCCCCCAACATAAAACCTTCCATCCACATTCAAATAATTCTGCTCACAGGCAAATGCTAGCTCAATGCACACTTCAACATCCAATTTTGTATTACAATAGTCACTTTTCCAACTTTATCTTCACCTACTACTGTTCACTGCTGTAAGCATGCATTAAAAATTTTGTTCAACTGAATGGTAACTTAAGTGTGTCAATGAAACCTAGGCTTTTAGATAGTTATTAAAAGAATACCTTGAACAATTTCTGGTAAGATGTATTGAACAATAATTTCAACTGAAGACACAATGTTTGAAGCCAGCCTATATGAGTTTGAACACCAACTCTCTGTACCGAGGCCAGTGATTTCGCCTCTGAGCCTCAGTTTACTTACCTGCAAAACGTGGTACAGTAGGACTTACCTACGTATGTGGTTGTGAATGTGCACATAAGAAACACTTAGAACAATGGATAATCCATTTTAAGTGTCCAGTGTTTAGTTACACACTGTGATGTTACAAATCAAGTGAAATAAGTCTAGGGCTTTTTCTTTGGTACCAAGAATTGAACTCATAACCTTATACTTGCCAGGCAGGCACTGTGCCACTAAGCTATACCCCTGGCCAAGTGAAATAAGTCAATGCATTCTGAAATTTCCAAACTGTAGGGGAGAGTAACATTTTCATTGTCAAACTAACAAATACAGAAAAATTATTTGGGATCAAGGAAGTAAACACAATAGAAGCACATAAACATGACTGACAGAAGAAAAATAATTCACTGACTTCAATAATGGGAACCAAGAAAAGGTTTCACTACACCTATTTACAAAAAATGTATCTCAATTTCTTGCTATCTACAGGAATACTGAAAAAATTTTCTATGAAAAATGGCTACCAGAAAATATTCTTTTCTTAGCTATATTCCAAAAAGAGCAAGATACACAACAAACTACATGGTCAAAGAAACAAGATTACTCTTACTCCTTACCTGACTCCCCAAGCCTTTTCTGGAAGCACAGCCAGGAACGTGCAGCAAGAGGGTCAACAGGTATGTGGGTGGGTGTGTTTATGTATTTTCTGCTTTGGTTTAGATTTAAAATGTCCCCCAAAAGCCAGGTGATGGCTGAGAGGCCATCAGAGCATGAGGGGCTAACCATTGTTGAGTTCATAGCTGAAGGGGCTCGTGGAGTCTAAGGGAAGTGGGTCTCACAAGGATGACTTTGGGGACTACCTTGTGTCCCCAGTCCTTTCTTTGGCTCTTTCCTTTTTTCTTTGCTTCTAGCTGCCGTAAGTTCGGCAGTGGCCTGTACTAGTTTGTATCAAAAGTGCCCCCAGTCTCACACTTGAAGCTGACAACTGGCCGGAAGAGCCAGCCACTGGGCATAGGACCTGCAAGGGTGTCTCTCCCCTGGTTTATTCCTTTGCTCTCTTTCCTCACAGCCATGTACTGACCAGCTTTCCTCTGTCAGGTTCTTCCACCATCCTAGCTCTGCTCTGGAGCTAGCTGACCAGAGACTGAAAAACTGCATCCCCTACCCACAGTGCTTCTGCTCACTCTCTTTACCTCGCTCCATCCTCACTGTCCCCATAACTGTTCCCGAGTGTCTGGTGAATACAGTACGTTTCAGTGTCACGAAGTTAAGGGAGAAGCCATTGCAAATGTGGTGCTTCAGAACATTTCTCAATAGATTTCTATTATTGGAAAAGTGCTTCCTCAGAGATTTTTGATTATGTTGTAGTTGTATTTTTGTTTACTGGTGGACATCTATTTGGTTTCTGGATATTCAACCCCAACTACTAAAGAAGACTGGCCCTACAGCAAACACACTATCTAACTCTCTTACGCTAATACAGAGGCTGAAGCATGCTAAGGAGGATCTGCCACTGCAGCCCTGGTAGCCCTGCTCTGTCACATGGCTCTACACTGCGCCTGGCTGGAGGGCCCACTAAAAACCAAATCAAGTGTGGGTACCTAACCCCTATTATCAATTATCCTAGTAATGAGTAAGTTGTTTTAAGTAAGTCTGCATTAATGTAATGCAGACCTTTTCCTTTCCAAAGCAGTGTCACTGACAAAAAAAGGCTACACAGTATTTCTAGATAACAAAATAGGAATAATACGATATAGTCAACAAAAATGTACCTTTCCCTGGCAGGTGCATCAGGGATACCTAGGCAAATTTCTCGGTCGAACCTCCCTGCACGTCTCAGAGCAGGATCTAATGAGTCTGGTCGGTTTGTAGCTCCAATGACGAGGACCTGAGCCACAGCAGCAACGTTATTCAGATCTGTAAGAACCAGCCACAGGTAAGAAGTGAACAAAGACCTAAGAGCAATGACCCCTACACTTACCTCTTACTACTTAGAAAGTATTGCACATTTTAAGATATGTGTATTTTAAATATACATATAAAACACTAACATTTATTACATGCCTAACGTAAAAAGTATGGGGAAGGCAAAATACCAACTTTGTTCTCAGTAATTATAATCTACTGAGAAATTTTAAATATATAATTAAAAAAACAGGGTGGAGGATAAGTGCTGTGAAGTACAACGATGGGTACTATATAAAGAAAACAATACTGAAAGACAAGGAAGGTATTATGAACTGCAATAGAGGAATGAGGAGGAAGTAACATTTCAGAAAAGCCTGAAAGGCAAAAATGATTCTGATAAGTAAAGATACAGGTTAATGAAATTCTACACAGAATATATAAAACCATGGAGGTTGGAGCACATATGACATGTCTGGGCAAGGTGCACAGCCAACAAGGAGTCCTTGGACAACCCATAATGTTTCAGAAGGATGCTGAATTAACTTGAGACAGGGTACAAAAGTCTGAGCTGTGCTGATATCATCTTGAGATATTTTAGGAATAGACAGAATACAAGGCTTAAAGTTTATCTGTCCTAAATCTGTAGCAGGATTAAACATTAGGTAGTCTGAAGTTATAGTCCCTTTCAGGAAATAAAATGCTAATTAAATTGTGACAATTTAGCCAGGTGCGGTGGTGTATCTCTGCAACCCCAGCACCTGGGAGGCTAAGCCAAGACTGTCACGTGTTCAAAGCTTGCCTGGGACACTAGTGAGTTTAAACTCAGGCTAAACTACATAGTAGGACCCTATCACAAAAGAACAAAATAACTCACAAAAATATTAAAAATTAGTCATAAAGATTTTATATATTACATTCTTCAGCTAGAAAAAGTCATGAAATGCTCTTCTCAGAATACAGCTCTCAACAACACTGCAGTAAATAAAACAACAGAATAAGCAACTTGAAACTGGCACAAAAACACAGTTTGTTCTACTTCAACCTTTCCTGTGTATACAGAATGTATGCAGAAAAACTTCAAAGAAAGTAGAATCTAATTCTATAATTTCTGGTTATCAAAACTTGTATTTTAAAATCTAAAAAAAGAAGTTACAGACATGGATAAAATTAATGCAATGTTAAAAGTACTCCTTCAAATCTAGTAGTGCTGGGCATCACCAAGGCCCTGCATAGGTTAAGTAAGTATTCCACCATTCAGCTACACACTCACCTCCAGGCAAGTTTTAAAGACAATTCAAAACAGCAATGCACAAAAGGCTAAGAAAGGGGCTGGGGATTTAGCTCAGTGGCTAAGCGCCTGCCTTGCAAGCAGGCAGTCTTGAGTTCGATCCCTGGTACCAATAAAAATTAAAAAAAAAAAAAAAAGTCTAAGAAAAGAGATTTTGGACATACAAACAACCAAAGAAATACAGAAAGATGTATAACCACAATGGTAATCAGGGAAATGCAAATTAAACCTGAGATACCAGTTTTCAACAAACAGACTGGCACAGTTAAAATAACTGGTAACATTCACTACTGCCAAGAATCTGGAGCAAGGGAGACTCATAGCACTGGTAGAAATATGAACTCTTCATGGAAGACAACTTGCCTCTTTTCTTTAAAAAAACAAAACTCTTTTTTAAGAGATTAACTATGTAACCCAAGCGAACCTTCAGTTCACAATGATCTTCCTGCCTCAACCACTGCATGGGTCACTATACCCAGCTTTCAGTGAAAACTTAAAATGGGTAGTTTTCAACTATCAATTCAATTTCTACTAATTTATCACACAAAAATACATGTGCATCAGAAAAGCCCTTTTGAAGGACATTCCCCTGAAGCAAAAAAACTGAAAATTTAAGTATCAGTGCCGGAATACTTAAATATACTATGGTGTTTTGATCTTACATGATACCATGCACCAGTTTAAAAAAGGTAAAAATTATGAAAAATATTTCCAAGACATTTTGTTAAGGGACAAACAGTAAGTTGCAGAACAATGTGTATGGTGCACTGGCAGAATTATAAAAAGGGAAAAAAGTCTGTTATTGTGTGTATGTGAGTGATACTTGACAAATTACATCAGGGGTTTAGTTTTCTATAAAAACTTATTTTACATGATGATACTTACTCTTTGTTTTATATCTTCATGTATGACTTACATTGTTTTAAAAAATTTATTATTTTTAAATGAATTCATTACTTTGAACTTACCATCCATGCAGGATAGAAGTTGAGCTACGATTCTTCGTTCCATATCTTTTGAAGCAACTTCTCTTTTAGGGGTGATAGCATCAATTTCATCAATAAACACAATGCATGGTGCACTTGACTAGAAATAAAAAATATCAATCTTTTCATCAGTCCATATTTTCTAAGTCTATTGAAATTCTTTTGTAAACTAGACATTTGTTACCTTATACAACAGTAAATTTTAAAACTTTAAATCAGAAATCTCAAGTTCACTGAGGTAGTTCACAGCCGTTAATCCCAGCACTCAAGGTGCCTCACAGGAGATGTCAAAGTCACACTCTGGGCTCCACAGTGAGTTCAAGGCCAGCCTGAACTACACAGAAACCCTGTCACTCATAAACAAACTGCAAAAAAGGCTGTGCTTTTCTTTTGAATCTGCTAAAAGAACTGAAAAAGTACCAGATATTCTTAAATTGTGGCAAATATATAAAATGCACCATTTTAGGGGCTGGGGATTTAGCTCAGCGGCATAAGCGCCTACCTTGCAAGCAGGCAGTCGTGAGTTCGATCCCTGGTACCAATAAAAATGAAAAAGACAAAAAAAAAAAAAAAAAAAAAGGCAAAATGCACCACTTTAACTATTTTAAAGTATACAGTTCAGTGGCACTAAGTACACTCACAGTGTTGTATGGTTATTACTATCAACCATCTTCAGAACTTTTCAAATATCCTATATCAAAACGCACCAGTTTAGTCTAGCCTGAATCGATATTCTACCCAGAACCACGTTTTCTTTCTTTTTTTTTTTTGTCTTTTTCCTTTTTATCGGTACCGGGGATCGAACTCACGACTGTCTGCTTTCAAGGCAGGAGCTTATGCCGCTGAGCTAAACCCCCAGCCCCAGAACCACCTTTTCTGATCTGAACCCCCTGGAACCTCGGGAAGAGGCTGCCACACTGTGTTTTTTTTAACCACTGACTGATAAGCACTGCACTAGCTCAGTACTGATTTAGCGATATAAACACAGAACTCATTTCTTGAAAGTGCCTTTTGTCTTTTTTACGACCTGTCCCTGGCTACATATGCCACTCTAACAACTGAACTGGCATGTTTTGGAAAATAGGAGCCACCTCAAAGAGTCAGCTTTGCTTCACACCCTGCCTCTCCCTTTTTTTCTGTATCTTCCTCATTGTGCCCATGCTTTCTTTTGCTGTTAGCACACACGACAAAGTTGACGGGCTCCTCGCTCTTGGTATTTTAAAATAGTCTCCCTTCTGAAATGCTTTTTCTCAGCTACTGCTGAAATCACCGCTAAGATACAGTTAATCTAATTTCATGCTTGCCTCTAGGAGTTGTACCAGCCATGTTCGTCAGCTACTATATACTCTGGATGCAAACAAAGACATGAAATTTAAGTTTTCAGGATCTTCTAATTTTAGCCACAGTGATAATTCTTATCTCTTTAAGTGTGTGTAACAATACGACTGCTAATATTTTTGGGGGTTGTGTTGTAAATACTCTCAAAAACACCATGAAACTTAGTCATATTAATATCCATATTAAATAGTAAGGAAACTGAGAGGCCAGAGTGGTTAAATATCTTGTCCAATATCATAGTGACAGCACAGGATCTGAACCTACCTTTCTCACACAAAGTAAAGACATAACTACTATGCTATACTTAAGGTAAAACTTCACACTTGATTTTAGCCAAAGGCCAAGAAATGCCTGAAGGTAAAACTAAATTTTAGTAACAAAAAAGCCAAAACAGGGAGCCCAATTTCAATAACAGAAATTACAATTAGGAAAAAATCTAATCTGTGAATCTTATCTTTGCTAAGGGAGTTTTCCTTATATAGCTTCAATTATGCAAACAGAGAAGTGCATATTCTGGCATTTTTATCGTTTCTTCTGTAATGCAATAATCCTAGCTATAACAAGGTTTATGGTGCTTAAAAGTTGTCTGATCAAACCTATGTTGAGGAAAGTGAAAGTGAATGAAAATATCCTAAGGATGATGTATATTCAACTAGTACTACTGGGTGTAACAGCTTAGAAGTTTGTAAAAATTACTTTTATGTCTAACTTCAAAGCAAACAGATTACTTATGGAGGAGCCTATATCATTAAATCTACTTTAAATACTTAGCTGTTATGTATAGCCAATTACCATATTTACAAAAGAATGCGATAGTGAAAGAGATAACAAATACATACTAGTATCAAAGAAAGCTTGTAACATCTGAAAACCTGACGTTAGCTTTTAGCTGACTCACCACAGCTTGTTCAAATAAATCTCTGAGCTTCTGTTCAGACTCCCCAGAAACTCCTGACACAATCTCTGGAGCAGCCACTTTCAGAATCGGCAGGTCAAGTTCCTGTGCACAAACAAGTAACAGCATGACCAAATATCCAAATGTTAACCTCCTTACTGTTTCTTTACCCAGTCCTCAAACAAAAATCAAGTTTTTAAAAAAAATTTTTGAAACAGGATCTCACTGCATAGGCCCAGGCTGGCCTTGAGTTCAGAATGATCCTTCTACCTCAGCCTCCCCAGTGCTGGGATTATGGGGACACATCACTAGGCCCAGTTAAAATTATATTTTTTAAATGAATGACTTCAACAGGAACTTCATCTTTGTGAGTTGGTCCACTGAAAAACACTATTTAAAAAATTACAATTTATTTTTGCAAACATATTAAGTAAAGACTTTCTACCTGTTTTCACTCTACAAGTACTCTTAGAAAACTCTGAGGCAGGAGGATAGCAAATTTAAGTCTAATCCAAGCAACATAACACTTTCAGGATGGGCTATAATTTGTGTTTCTTGTTGCGATGTTGCTTTGATTTGAATTTTATCATCGCACCGTCTTGAACCACCAGTGGTACGTGATGACTGTCCCATCAGGCAGCCTGTACCATGTCTCAGGGTCATTTGATTACAATACCATAAAGAGGCATTGATTTAACAAACCACAGGTTATCACCTTACAGTCCTCAGTCCTTTATGGAAAACAAAATGGTATAAAAAATTGTAGTAAAGCTAATCTATGGTACCACAGTTGTAAATGCATTATTTTCTATATACTATGGGTCAAGGATGCAGCTCAGTGGCTCAAACACTTGCCTGCTAAGTGCAAAGTCGTGAGTACCAAAAAAACCCCACAAAAAACAAAAAAACACTTCCATGTTAAAATTTAGAGAATTATTATAAAATTATCCACGAACATGAATGTTTTAATGATTTATTACTGAAATACTTTTTAGTTGGCATGAATCATATTAATTTGGACAGCAATTATTCAAATTTGAGCAACTAAGTAGGTTCGATCATTTACAGACCTTTTAATTTTATTAGTAAAACACCGATAAAGGTGATCTCTTTGTACTACTGGTGATACAAACATCCTGATGGGACAGTCATGCTTGTTCCACCAGTGGTTGAAGCCAGCAAGAATGTTAATGACTTAATGAGACCCTGTCTCAAAAAATAAATAAAGGGTTCTAGTCCCTTTGTGGTTGCTGTGATTCGGTTTACGGCCAGGGATTTAGCTCAGTGACATAAGCACCTGCATGGCAAGTACTAGGTCATGAGCTCAATCCCTGGTACTAATAAAAAAAATAAAAGACTAGAAATATAATAGCTCAGTGTGAACATAGTCTACGTTCAATCTTCCAGGCCCATCAAAAAAGGGAAAAAAACAAGAAAAGAGAAGGTATAGGAAATCCATTAGTGTAAATGGTAACAAGACATTCTGGTTACCCTGAAATTTTACTTTCTTAACCACATCTTTGACCTCAACTCAATCGTGGGTGTACAAAACTCTACATAGTATTTTCCATTTGTCCCCTTTTAAAAATGATTTTCTTTGAGTGTTTTTTTTTCTTTTTTGGTACCGGAGGATTGAACTCACGACCTCACACTTGCCCCAGCCCTTCACATAGTGTTAATCTGTTAATGACTGATACAATACACTACTCAATGAACTCAAGTTACATGGATATTTTGCATTTTACTACTCAATAGTTTCTAAAAAATCCAAAAGGTCTAAAATAAATCACTAACCTTATTTTATAAAATATCTTATATTACCATTTTAACACTAAAAAGTGTAAGAACATGGCACAATGGAAATTTTAAATGGATTTAGTTGTATAGAAACAATACTAGGGTTTTAAAAAAATTATTACGTTGTACTTAAAAACGACCGGGTTAAAAGGAAAGAGAAATAACTAAAACATAAGGGATGTGTTAAAAGAATTGTTTTTAAAGCCATATTATCTTGTTTCCCATTCAATTTTTGTGATGCATGCAGTAACCGACTTTTTTTTTGTCTTTTTGAGACAGGGTCTCGATGCTAAGTAGTTCAGGCCTTGAGCTTACTGTGCAGCCTAGGTAGTCATGAACTTGCAACAGTCTTATTGCCCCAGCCTCCCAAGTGCTGGGAATACAGGCATGTGCCACCATGTGCCACCTAGTAACTGATTTTTTAAAATCCCCTGAAGAAGCATGAAAGAAGTAAGTAAAGTCAGGACTGTATCTCACTGACCATAATGCAATGTCTTCTTGAAAGATACCAGGTCTGACAAAAGCTGACCAAGGAAAAAACATGAAACACAGTAACACAACCAGCAAAAGTGAAAAAGTGTCAGTCAGTCTCACCCCAGCAATTGCATGTGCAAGCAGCGTCTTGCCACAGCCAGGGGGCCCGTGAAGCAGAACGCCGCGAGGGGGCACAATGCCCAGGTGGTGGTACACTTCTGGATGACGCATGTGTATGAGCATCTGGCAGACTTCCTGGCAAGGAAAAAGCATGGAGATACCTTCCTTAGCCCAAAAGAGAAAGAACCAGGGTGAAATGTAATTTTCTTTTTTACAGGAGGAAACAGTACAAAGCCCAGACTTTGGGCTTAGGCTTGAGTCCTAGCTCTGGCATCAACAATGTAATTTCACCCTGAATAACCTCTATGAAGTTCCACTTTCTAGATGTAAAAATATCTACCTTATAGAAGTGGCACAAAGTAACTAGTATGCCAAGTAGACAAAATTGATACTAAAGAGCTGTAGTGACTGTCAGTATCAGCACCCCCAAAACAACAAGCATGCCCCCTGTTTTTAAAAGATGGCCATTTTACAATACTGCACTCCTGCTTTGGCCCCCTCACCTGTGACCTATTCCCAATTTCAGGAAAACGCTGAGGTAACACACTTATGTAACAGGGCCCTTAAGAGTACAGAGCAGGCTGCCCTCTTCACCTGCCCAGGTCTCCCTGTTTGCATGTAATGGGGTAGGCTCAGTTGGTGTAATTGATTATCAATATACCCATTTGAGGTAAAATTTGAATCTCAACTAACTTTTAAGGTCATATCATTGCCTCCAACATCTTCAAACTTCACACTGGAGGTCTGCAATTCTAGTCCCCTGGCTTTAGCTGGTAAACAAACAAAAAAAGATGAACAGGTCAATGATTTTGTATAAACTCACAACTGAAGTATCACTAGATACAAAAATATTTTCTAGTAATCAGCACACAAAACGTCCCTCATTCAACTTGGAATACCTAGATTCCACTCTCAAAGCAAACATAAGCACCACTACACATATCTCACCTTTCTTTTGCAAGACAGCTTCTATTTCTCCATCTACTTCCTGAAGGTCTTCTTTCTTTCGTTTGTTTCCTTTGCCCTTCATTTTGCCTTTCTTTTTTCTATCATTCTCCAGAAGAGAAAAACTTTTTGTATCCTGGGAAGACAATACATTTAAATAAGCCATACTGCAAATTACAATACCAACAATGTGTAAGTTTTTTAAAAAGGACATTTTACACAATACTGCACCCCTGCTGTAGCACCCTCACCTGTTACCTGTTCCCAATCTCTTCGCTCCAAGGTGTTGTCTGCTGGGGTGTCCTTTACCTGGGGTGTCCTTTACCGTAACCTTAAAGCTCAGTTTAAAGCCAAACATTTGAAAGCTTTCTTCCAGTTTATTTAATCCCCTCCTCATACTCCCCAACCACCTGCATTTGCAGCTGGTATTATAAATTATTGGACTCTGTTTTACATTTGGGTGATTCTTTGTCTTTCCTGAACCAAGAGCTCATCTACTGTGGATACCAGTAACCTTTTATATCTCACTGAGATTCTCACAGTTGATGTTTCACATAGATGATCTTTACCTGATGATTCACAAAATTAAATGAGTATAAAGCTGCTTTGTGAGCTGAGATAAAGTATAAATCAACATATAAGTCAAGTTTTTAACTATAACGTTATCCACAGGTGGGTGATTAAAGCAAAGATATTTGGAAAATATCTTTATTTAAATTTAGTGGGGCAAGATTTCAAAGCCCCTCTCTACCATGCTTTAACCAGGTAAGGAAGGCACCCACCATATTCACTTTAGGATACCTCACAAGCTAAGCTTTTCCTCAGGTATGGCAAACATCAATTTTAAAAGGTTTTTTCACAATAGCTCTCTGCTTATTCTATACGGTTCATAATACATCTACTTATGTAAAAGACTTCCTAATCCATTAGCCTGACCAGAGGAAAAAATTCACCTTGCTGTTTCAGTGTTGGGCGCAGGTGCTCAACATACCATACCCCACCTGGGACTAAGGATCACACCAGCTTCCGCAATGTGCTACGTCCCTCTTTAAATTAGCCAACCCGTGCACACTTCGTGCTTACTCCGTACTCTGTGGCAACTCCTGATTGGCCACAGCTGGATATATTAGCCAGAGCCTGCGTCCCATTCCCGCCCTGTTTCCTCGTGGCAGCCTGTGATTGGTCACGGCCAAATATATAAACCAGAGCCGTGTGAATAAAGCAGCAGTTAACTGTTGTCCACAAGAGCGTCTCCTGTCTCATTGGGGGGCTGCGCCGGTCAACTGGTGGCCCGTACGGGGAGCGCTGAGACCCTCTCTCCGACAGTACGGGGAACGAGACTTTCTCTCCGACGGAACAGAGGGTTAACAGGTAAAACCGTCAAGCACCGATAGCGGGGCTACGCGGCGGGCGGGGGCTGACAGGTTAAACTGCTCAATGTTGGTAGCGGGTGCTACGCAACAGGCAGCGGGTGCTGCCGGGCCGGATGGCGGGGGCTATTGGGCAACCTTGGGCAGACGCGTCGCAAGGGTTGAGGAACTCGTAAAGAGAGTTCCTGGTGCCGTAAAGAGGCAGGTTTTGGGGGCCCCGTAAAGGGGCGCGGGGACTAAGCTGTCCCTGTTAAAAAAAAAAAAAGGAAAAAGGAAAAAAAAAATAAATAAATAAAAAGAAACTCTTGAAATTCCCGTTAACATGGGTAACACCGTTACACAGCCGCTGTCGGGCGCTTTGGGCGACTTACTGAGAGAAAAGGGATTACAAATGAAACGAGAACAAATTCAAAACTTCCTCGATCAGGTCCATAAGGTAGCACCTTGGTTTGGTCCCACGAGGTCCGTTACCATCCCCAGCTGGGATAAATTAGGGAGAGATCTTGACTTTGCAGCAGAAAATGGCCTCCTGGAGCCAGGAGTCAGACCCCTTTGGGCAGTAGTGAGAAGCTGCCTCGCAGACGCCTCTCGTCGTGACCATATAAGGGCTGGCGCCATGGCGCTTGGTTACCATCAGGCAGAATCCTCCCGCGAGCAATCTCGCGAGCCCAGTGTCGCAGGCGAGGCGACCCCACCCAACCCAGAAACAGAGGACTCATCGGATGCAGACACCACTGAAAGAGGGGAAGTCACACACACGCAGTCGAGAGGGCCCTACTCTGAGGCCATAAATGAGCTGCAACGCAGGATTTCTCAGAGTAAATGGGTCAATGAAATCGAGTACGGGATCCCAGGGCCGCCCCGTGTAAGACCTACGGCTCTACCTCCCGACCCGCATCTTGCAGGGGGCCCAAGTCGAGCCCACCGCGATTAAGGGCGCACCAGCTCGGAGGCCCCGGGGATCCTTCTGCACCCCTATCTGGGCAAGGGTCCTCCAGTTTATCGCTTGTGACCCCCTGGATGGATACTCCCAGGAGATATTATGGGGATTCTCCCTGGCCACCATAAACACCACAAATATGACTTTTCCAAATTGCTCCACCACAACCTGTTATATGTTACAATGTTGGGATAACAGTACACTTTCAGCTGTCGTTATGCAGGTACTCCAGTTCGTACCGATTCCAGTTATGACGGACCCAGACGAGTTTCCTGTGATCCAGCTGGGGCCAACTCTCCAATTGGCTTTCATAAAGGAATGGGCGGGAATAGGGGCTCTGGCTAATATATCCAGCTGTGGCCAATCAGGAGTTGCCACAGAGTACGGAGTGAGCACGAAGTGCGCACGGGTTGGCTAATTTAAAGAGGGACATAGCGCATTGGGGAAGCTGGCGTGGTCCTTAGTCCCGGGTGGGGTATGGTATGTTGAGCGCCTGCGCCCAACATTTCAGAAACAATCTTTCCTTCCACCCAAAATCAACAACTCTAATTATATCCAAAACAATTACTTTAAAATTCTCACCAGTAAATTTGTCTCAGGAAGGCCACTATGTACTACTAATTCAACAAACTGGCTGCTATGAGGCAGATATTTTGGCCACATTAAAACTCAAATCCTTGCTCTTCTGGATCTTACAGTCTAGTGTAGGGAGACAAAGAGTAACTTAAAACACACACACACACACACACACACACACACGAAACAATAAGTGACCATAAGTGCTTAAAATAAATAAATAAAATAAGGGTTGTTACATAAAAAGGGTTGGGTAACAGGCAATACTCTAGCTAAGCATGGTGGTGCAATCCTATAATCCTAGCTCTCTGGGAAGATCACAAATTCAAAGCTGGCCTGGGCAGTTTAGTGAGATCCCTGTCTCAAGATTAAAAATTCACACTGTTAAAGTGAAATGAATTAGACACGTTTAAATTTTGCATTGTTCCTCTTATGTGAGAAACCCTAAGAATAAATAAGGCTCCTGGGCAATAGGAAGAAAAAGTTCAAATGAGAAAGAAGACAAGGGGATGGAGGAGAGGAAAGGGCAGGAAGGGAAAAGGAAAAAAAAAGAAGAAAAAAATAAAACAGTTTTCGTAAATAAGAATGGGAAGGAGGGTTGAAAGAAGGGAAGGGGAATGGGGAAAAAAGAAAATTCAAGATGTATTATTAGAGTTACAAATTCCTACAATAAATGTGATAAATTATGTATATAAAAATATACCACTAAAATTAATTTTAAAAATAAAATTAAAGGTTATTGAGAAACCTTAGAGGAGGGAGATTGTATAGCTCAATGTGAAGGATCCGGGTTCAACCCCACATACCATAGAAAAGAGAGACCAGAAAGAAACAGAGTAACACTATGTGCTATTTACTGTGTCCTGAAAGACAAAGATGGCCACAGGAATCTGCAGAAAGTGTCCTACAGAGAAAGCCAGAATACCCCACATGAGAGAGCTAGGTGTCCTAAAGACAGGAAGAGGCCCCTGTGGCTAAAGCAATGAGGGAGGAGAAGACAGGAATAAAAGGTACAAACAGTGGGATCCGCCCTCAATGCACGCATGTGCATACACACACACGACACAGATTCCAACTGGAGCTCTAGTCTTCAATATAAGGTGATGATAATAGTAGTACAAAGTGATGAAGCTCCTATGACTTTTGTCAAATACAAGTCTCTATTTGATACGACATTTAATGAAAAGACTATAATGTACTCCAACTATGTGGTGCCACAATTATACTATGAAAATTACCTGTATCTCAGGTCTAGGCTTATGATTACTTTTCTCCTCAGATGGCTCCATGAAAACACTGTCTTTCTTTCCACCTGGGGTTCTGTCAATAAACCATCCTCCCTCAGACTCTCTGGCAGGGGTCTTCAAAGTAATGGAGCCGGTTTTAGAATTCAACTGTGGTGCTGAAGCAGTAGTTTCTCTTTGTTGCATCTCTGGAGTATTTGAAACAGAATCAGGATTTCCTTTCCGATATAAAGAGAGCAGTGAACTGTTCATGTGGTTTGCTGACTGGCAGAAACAGGATTTTAGTATAAATTACTCAACAGGTATTCAAGAAAGGTTCCATTTCTATACTAATCAGTTCAGCAAATTACTCTTGTTTTTTTTTTTTTCTTTTTTTTTCCCCCTTTTTCTTTTTTTATCGGTACCAGGGATCGAACTCACGACTGCCTGCTTGCAAGGCAGGTGCTTATGCCACTGAGCTAAATCCCCAGTGCCCTGCAAATTACTCTTGTAATATTTACAGTCAGAATGTTTGGGCATTCATAGTAAGATGACTTGCAACTAAGTGTTTCCGACTCAAAAGATGTGTTCTTATCACCACTCCACCATAATAAGGGGCAAATTAATTACTGCTTTCTAAATAAAACCAAAAGTACGGATGCTTTTTAAAAACTGTAAAAAAAAAAGTATGAAAACAGACTAGTAGTGAGTCACCATTATTCCATCAACTCAGAACTGGATCAAATATAATTCAGTATCATGCCTTTGGTAATAAATTAAAAAACTGATTTTAAGAAAAGTTACCAATGAATTATTGCCATAGCATTTAAACCTGGTCATCAGAAACGCCAGTTCTTTTAAATGCATTCCCTTCATTTTTTACTATTAATGCCCCATGTATCTGCCTTATTTCTAACTTTTTTTTTCCTACATGTCACTGACTATAAACACAAATACCAGAAGAATGATTAATCCATCAACATTATATGTGTTTAATTATTTATTGATAAACACATGCAACATCTCCTACCGTCTATTAATGATTTTTTTCTCCAAGAAGGGAACATAGTAATTTTTTCAAGATAATCAAAATGGGCCAGGCATGGTGGCTCACACCGGTAATTCCAGCACTTGGGAGGCTGAGGCAGGAGGATTGTTGCAAGTTCGAGACCAGCCTGGGCTACAAAGTGAGCTGAAGGCCAGCCTGAATTACATAGCAAGACCCTGTGTCAAAAAGACCCCCCCCCCAAAAAAAAGATAATCAAAATGGGCCCAGTAAATATCTGGCTTACCTGTGGATCTATGTAATCTACAACTGAATCACCATCAGAAGAGCTTTCAGTACACCTTAGTAAGAACAGAAGGAAACAATTTAAAGGTTTTTTTCTTGTAAAGAGTTACAGTCTAAAACAAGTATATTAAGGCAAATACTGTGGTATTTCCAAAGTCCAAGCTTTGGAAGCAAACAAACTTGGGTTAAAAAAAAAAATCTACCTTATGCTTTCATTGTCTGATCATTTTTTTCATGCCTTTATCTTGTAATCTGAACAACTACTCTGAAGATAATATACAATATATTAACTAGTATTAATCTCCTATCATTTTGTTTTGAAATTCTGTATTGTCCTTTTAAAAAAAAAAAAAACTACCTTTGCTGGGCATGGTGATGTGGACCTATAACCAACCACAGCACTTGGGAGGCTGAGGCAGGAGGATCACCCTGAATGTGAGGCCAGTCCAAGCTACATAGTAAGTTCAAGGCCAGCCTGAATTACATAGTAAGGCTATCTTAAAAGACCACACACACATACACAAACCCCTGACATCTAATAACTACAAACTGATATTATATATCTGATCAATATATATGATAAATCTGCCAGGTGCGGTGGTGCACACCTGTAATCCCAGCACTTGGGAGGTTGAAGTAGGAGGAACCCTGTGAGTTCAAGGCCAATGTCTTGGTTATTTTTCTCCCTTGGCTGAGACACAATACCTGATGCCCCAAATTAGGGAAGAGAAGGTTTATTCAGCTTCCAGTTTTTTTGAGGTTTCATTTCATACTCAGCTGGCTCCAAGACAGCGTGGCGTGGTTGAGGAGCAGCTGTTCATGGTGGCGTTGCAAGAGCAAAAGGGCAAAGGAGGAAAATCGTGCAGTCTTCTGTCTCTTATAATGTATGCTGAGTACCTGCCTCTGGGCAGATGGGGCATTCAGACTCAGCCATCCCAGTGCTAGGAAACCAATCACAAATGCTAGACTCAGCCATTGCCATGACTGCATGAGGGTTGGGGACCATCCAAACACAAACGGTAACAGCCGCCTGGAGTACATAAGCAATTTCAGGGTCAGCCTACATTACACAGCGAGTCTTTTGTCTCAAAACAAAACAAAAAACCATACATACATATGTACATAAATAAACAGATAAAAAAGGTAAATTATCCACTATGGGAGAGCTGCTCTAAAATTTATGTCCCTAATAAAAAATATCAACTCAAAGAAGATTAAAGAGTTAAATACACAAAGAAACAAAAGAATACATGTAATATTTTACATACAAGACTACTCTAAGCATATGATCATAAACCATAAAGGAAAAGATTAAAAGAATAATGATATAGCTCAGTAAGAAGGCCCTGGGTTTTATCCCCAGTACAAGTAGAAAAAAAGGGGGTAGGGGAAAGAATGTTATTTTTTCTTTTTTTTTTATCGTTTCTGGGGATCGAACTCACAACTGCCTGCTTGCAAGGCAGGTGTTTATGCCGCTGAGCTAAATCCTCAGCCAAAAGAATGTTATTTCATGCAAACAAGTCTGACACTAATTCAAATATTTCTCAAACAAAACAAAACAAACCCATAAACAATTCACCAAAAAAATTAAACAAAAACAAAAACCAGGAACAGCAATCTAAAAAGATTCTGATCTATCTATCAACAAATTTCAAATACAAGCATATAATCTCAGCAGTCAGGAGGCAGAAGCAGGAAAACTGCCACAAGTTTAAGGCCAGGTTGGGCTACACAAGAAATTTGAAGCAGCTTAAACTACACAATGAGATCATCTCAATAAGTAAAAAAAAAAAACTTCAAGTAAATACTATGATTTCCTATAAACAAGTTGAGCAGTCCTTATCTAAAAATCCAAAATATGAAGTGCTTCAACCAAAATATGATACTTCTCAAATGCCAACATGCCACCAGAAGTAGAGTAGGTTGTATTAGGCCTATGATAGGCTGCAGCTAAAAAGCAGGTATACTAAAAGTATTGTATAAAACCATCTTTAGTTTATGTACATACAGTACATAGATGAACTATTCATGAATTTTTTGCTTAGAACTGGATCATAACCCTCAAATATTTTACTATGCATATGTAAATATACTAAAGCCTGAAAAATGTGAAATCCAAAACAGTTCTACTTCCCAGCATTCTTGATACGGGATACTCAACCTCCAATAGTGTAAATCGGATTGTAAGACTGCAGAGAAGTATGCCCTTTATACAAAGTTGTTGAGAGGGTATAGTAAGACAATATTTTTGTAAAATACTCCCAAATGTACTAGAAATCTCAAAAACATGTCTCTGACCCCAGCAATTTCACTTCAGGAATTTAACATAACAAAGCAATGTGATATACATAAAGATATATATCGATATGCACTAATGGATTAGTAATTACATAATAATGCAAACAGAAATGACCATATACAAGTATGAAGCTAGTGATGAAAATTAAGGAAAATAACAAATGAAAAAGTTTCAGTTATAAAAACTGAGATGGGGATACCCTACATACATTAGAATAAGAGAATTATACCACAAATACCATACCTTAGATGAAATTGGCAAATTTATCCCCACTCCTTTTGTTTTGTGGAGAGACAGAACCGCCTATGTAGCCTAAGTTATATTCCAATTCATGATCCCTCTGCCTCACTCCAAAATTGATAAAAAAAAAAAAAAATTTTTTTTCTTTTTCTAGTACTGGGGATTGAATTCATAATTTTATGCTTGCCCCACAGGTGCTTATGCCATTGAGCTAAAACTCCAGCATACCTCCTCAAAAGATATTAAAGAGAAGCCATACACAGCAAAATTAAAAAGTTACCAAAACCCAGGCTTGGTGGTACATGTCTGTAATCCCATCACTTGGGAGGCAGACCACTGTGAGATCGAGGCCAGCCTAGGCTCCAGTTAGTTCAAGGCTAGCCTGAACCACATACCAAGACCCTGTCTCAAAAGTAAATAAATTAATAAAATTGTATAGAGATCACTTTCCTGCCCTTGTCATGGCCCAAAATATATTTGTAATTCCATGGAGAAATTACTGGAATTCTAGTGAGTGAATTCCAATCTACTACTTCCAATTCAACCCAAGGTAAGAACAGTGAGACATACATAAATTATGGGATGCCAAGGGCTCCTAAATCCAGCCAAGATAGTAGCTCACCGGAATAAAGGCCACACTCCAGCATTCAGCCTGGGTTTTATTAATTCGCCATGAGGCGAGTGGCTTGGTGATGAGTGACAGGGACAGTGGCAGGAAATACGTGACCACCATGACTGTTGTGAGCTGGGCTAGGTATGAGGTCTGAGATCACCTCTGTGATATGCAGAGGGCAAGAAATGTAGAGAGTAATTGCCTAACACAACTAAAGTAGTATCTAATAACTTAGGATTGTTGAGTCAGTTCTGATGTATAATCCTTTTTAGCCTGCGAAGTCACAGGCTCTTTCTTGAGGTTTGGTCCCAGCCTATAGCCTAGAGAGCTCTCCATTGCACCAGGTTCAACCCTGTTTTCCTGGGAGTTACTCATTTGGCAAACAACAACAATCACCCTGCTTCAAGGATCACATAGAAGAGACAAAGAAACATCCCTAGGCAGCTCATTATCAATAAATGGAGATAGGGCAGTCAGGGTTATCGCTTAGCAGCACAGCATCTGCCTGGCAAGTATGAGATCCTGAGTTTGATTTCTGGTACCAAACACAAACAAAATGGAGATGGCTGCTCTTCTTTCAAGGAGAGTTGTCTGGGTGGTTCCTCACAAAATTGGGGGAGCATCTCACTTTTGAATTTTCCCTACTTGTCCCAAGTACCCATCTGTTCTCTTTCTCGTTTCCTCCCTTCAAATAAATCACCTTCGTTTTTAAAAAAAAAAAAAAATTGCTAAAAAACTTTATAGAGAAATTAAAATATCACTCACACAAAGACTTCATTATAAATGGTTTTAGCCTATTTTTTGTAATAGTCAAGTACTAGAGACAGTTTAAGGGCCCGGATATAGCTCAGCAGCATAAATGCCTGCCTGGCAAGAGCATGGTCCTGAGTTTAAATCCTGAGACCAAGAAAAAAAAAAAAAAAAGAAAAGAAACAATTCAAGAGTCCCAACACACAAATGAATTTAAAACAACTCTGATGGATTTTAAATCATGCCAGGGGCAAGATTCTAATTTAAAAATATATACTGTAAGATTCCATTTATAAAAAATTATAGAAAACGCAACCTAACCTATAGAACAAAATCAATCAATAGGTATTTGGAAATGGGAATTGAGGGGAACAAGAAATCTTTGGATGGTTAATAGAAATGTTCAGTTTCTTGTGAAGATGGCTTAATGGGCATATAACATATGACAAAAATCATCAATTTGCTTATTTTTAAAATGTATAGTTTCTTCTACATCAATTACATCTGAATAAAATTACTATCCTTATTAATGTTGTTTCTTAAACAAAATCAAGACACTTTTAAATATATCTGCCATTATATCAATGCAGAGAAAAAGATAATTAAACCACTATACCAGTAATACAAACTGTAAAAAACTTCCACGTCATTTGACATGAATTATAGGAAAAAAAATTTGTTTTTTATAACAGGGTCTTGCTGTGTAGTTCAGACTGGTCATGAACTCACTTTGTACCTAAGTTGGCCTCAAACTTGTTTCAATTCTCCTGCCTTATCTTTCCCCAAGGGTTGGGATTACAGGCATGTGATACCATATCTGGCAAAAAGTATTTCTAACACTCTAAGGAAACACTAAATTGGGTGTCTAAAACATACTAACAAAGGCAGTAATATCTCAACTCACTCTTGAAGGCCAAGTTAGAGGTTTGTAAAAATAAATAAATTAATACATACATACTTAAGTTACAGAAAAGCAAATATCCAAAGTCACAGACAAAGAAATAGTGTAATATCCTGGGGAACAACAGTGAGTATTCAATAAGCTGGAAGAAAGGCCATGGAGAGAGGTGAGAAGGGCTTTGTTCATAACAGCCACTGAAGCTTTCTAAGTGTAAATGTAACATGTTTTGGGAAAAAAAACTTTCCATTTTGTGTAACTTACTCATCATCCTCTTCCCCTTGTCTGGCTCTTTTTGTCAGATGTTCGTCTTCTAATTCTGTTCGATTTTTAAACTCCTTCTCATCACTGATTATGTTAAATACTAAAACAAACAAACAAACATGCTATGAGCTAAAAGCTTTTTCTGTAACTACTGTTAATCTGTTCTACTGCCCAAGGACTCACCTTTTTCTACCTGAATCCTAAATGCATTCTTTTTTCTTCGACCGTAGTCCACACTGGGGGAGGGGGGAAATGACAAATTTTAGTAGTGGTATCCACCAATGTTTTTCCATTAAGCCTGCTGTAAATGCAAAATACATATATGTAAAATAAAGTTGTATAAAAATATGTAATTATGTCACTGTTCACTGGCATGAACCTTTTTCCAAACAAATTGAGTGTCCGTTTTATTAGTTTCTGTTGATTTTATTGGTTTTTCTTTGAACGTTTTTATTTTGAAATTTCAAGCCTACAAAAATTATAAAATAAATAATATAATGAAACCTCATATGTTTTTAACCTATATTCTCAAGTTAACATTTTGGCACATTCACTTTATTTCTGTCTCCATAAAGAGGTAATGTTTTTTGGTAGTCATTTAAAAATGAAAGATATATACTTCATCTTAAAAAGTATATATTACTATATACAAAACATATTTACATAACTACAGTATATTTAGAACAAGCAAGAAATTTAAGATAAAATCTAATATATAGACCATGTTAGCGCCTGTTGCCAGGCCTGCTGGTGCATGCCTGTAATCCTAGTACTCTAGAGCCTGAGGCAGGATAGTCAGTGGGAGTTTGAGACCAGACTGGGCTATACAGTGAGACTCAAAAAAACCCCAAAAAACCAAAGAACCAAAAAACCAAAAAAACCAGTAGTGGGCTGGGGGTTTAGCAAGCGGCACAAGCAACTGGCTGGCAAGCATATGGTTGTAAGTTAGATCCCCTGTAAAAAAAAAAAACAAAAACAGAAAGAAAGAAAAAAATCTCCAACAAACAAAAACAAAAGGCCCTATAATTTGTCAAACTGTTCACCTAAAATACTGGATTCTTAAATATTAATGTAAGGTCTGGTGAAGGTTCATGCATTCATTATTTGTCATACTTTGGTCTCCTTTAATTTATAATAATCTTTCTACCTTTTCGTTGACACTGACATTTCTGAAGGGTTCAGCCAGCTAGGGCATGAAAACATCCCTCAAGCCATATTTATCTTACATTTTCTTGTTATTTAATTCAAGTTAAAGGTGCTCAAAGGAAAAAGTGGCCATCCAACCAATGAAAAGGACAGCATACCACAACAGTTCTTGTAACTGCCTTAGTAACAGAACTGAGTTCCATGCTTATGGACTGGAGACCAATGCCTACAGCCACTGATATCAAAGTGAAATTTAAGGAGCATTAAAACTTTTTAAATGGTAGGGGTGGGAGGAAGCAGAGATCTGGAAACTACATTTCTTTACCTGTACATTCTTTGCAAATCGCACGCTAAGATTCCAGTATCCACATATTTGCCACATTTATTACTGGTGAGGTACTAAAACAGAAAATAAGATAAACATAAAACAATGTTTCAAGACGTTTCTAATCCAGAGGCAAGAGGCTACTCATACGCTTTAATGCATACTCCTTCACTAACCAAGTATACCAAGACCATTGATAAAAGCCACCAAACAACTGCCACGTCAGCCAGGAATCAGGGACGTCAACGCTACTCAGCACCGTAACCACTGCGACCCCCCCAATCCCAAGGCGGTCTCAGCTTTCTCCACCGCCCCCCCCAGCCGACAGGCAGGCGCAACCACACCTTAACATCCCTCATTTTAGAGGGGCTACACTTTCGCAAAACTTGATTTTTGAAGAGTGCTGTGACAAGAAGCAGACATCCCGCAAACACTAGGGCGGAACAGCCGCTACCGCCGGCTTTCCCTCCACTCCCGCATTTCTCAAGCAGATGGGTGATTTGCCCAGCGCTTTGGGCCTCGTTAACGGACCTACTGAGTCCTTAATGCTTCTGGCCTCGGGTACCATAAAATACACGACTGCAAACCAAACACCACGAACAGGAAAGCCGACCCGCGTCCTGGGTCCCGGTCGTGGCCGCGGTCGCCAGCGCGGCTCACCTGCACCACCCGCTGCTTCAGCCTGCGGTCCACCGGCGTCGCGAGCCGTGGTCGCATGGCGCTTAGACTCGCCTCCTCACGCTGTCCCGCGCCGCCCACGCGACCGGAATCCTGCGTTACCCCGAAGCTGCTCACCCCGCCGGCCTCTCTGGTCTGGCCGCAGCAGCGCCAGGGAGACTGCGCACACTCCCCCTGAGCCCACTCTCCCGCTTGGTGCTCTGAGAGCACGACCGGAAGTAGCCTCAAAACGCTTTCCCCGCCTACCGCAACAGCTTCCGAGTTATCCGGAAGTGGCTTCCTGATGGCCCGCCCGGGCTACCGGAAGCAGAGCTGGAACCCGTAGGTCCCCTCCTCAGCCACCGGAAGTGGCCTAGGGCAGTCCGTCCGCCTGGGGTAGCCGTCTTAGTCCCCCTTAGAACGGAAGTGCGGCTGATGAGGAAGCAAAATATTGCAGAATGGGAGGTCCTGGAACTACGGGGCGTTCCACACCCTCTTTGCGGCCCCGTGGAAGGGCGCTGGTGCCTAAGTCGGTTTGAATGCACGCAACTTTATTACAAGGACACCGCACGTACTGGCCAGCACCGCGGATGGACACGAACTGCCGGGGTGGGCACCACGCTGCCCATCTTTCTTTTTCTTTTTTTTGTCTTTTTCATTTTTATCGGTACCAGGGATCGAACTCACAACCGCCTGCTTGCAAGGCAGGTGCTTACGCCGCTGAGCTAAATCCCCAGCCCCCTGCCCGTCTTAGTCATCTGCAAAGAGGCCTCCACAGGGGCCACCGTGCCAAGGAAAGGAAGGAGAGGGTTCCCCAAAGGACTAGACATTTCTCAGTTTGTAATCTTCATTTAATCTTACGCTGTGATCAACAGATCATTTTTGTTTTTTGAGGGTATTGAGAAAGGAGCTCCCTATATAGTTCCAGTTGGCCTCGAACTCGTAGCCTCGAACTCCTGCCTTATCCTTCCCAATACTATGATTACAGCATGCACCATCACGCCTGGCAGTAATTCTACACACTTGTAAGCTTACAAGCCACATGGGTTTATTTCCTGCAGTGAGTGTTACAGATTGAGCCTGAGTTTTTGTTTTTTTCTTTTTGAGACAGGGTCTCACTATGTAGTTCAGGCTGGACTTGGGTTCTCTTTGTAGCCCAGGCTGGTACTTAACTTGCAAACAATTCTGCCTCAGCCTCCCAAGTGCTGCGATTACAGAAGTGCACCACCAGGCCCGTCTCTGAGTTCTGTTCTTATGTGTGGTCCACTGTTGTCATTTATAGTTTCTTGTGTTTGTCTCAAAATGGTTCCAGTTTGAGCAATGAATTAAATGGATTCCCTGTGGATATAGGAGTATGAAGAAAAAGATGAGTGTGCATGTCAGGTTTTGTATTAAGGCTTAAAAGCAAAGTGGTCTGTTTGTGGAAAAGACACTAGAGACCAAGCCTTCAAAGGTTAAAAAACTTTTTTTTTTCTTTTTTATCAGTACCAGGGATCAAACTCAACGACTGTCTGCTTGCAAGGCAGGCGCTTATGTCACTGAGCTAAATCCCCAGCCCCTAAAAAACTTTTATCTGACTTTCAGTATAGTTGTCTATACTCTCTGACTTGATACCATCAACCGACCAGTTCTGAGTAAAATCTGTCAATAATGAGCAGCAATCAAACAAATCAGATTTAACTAAGATCAGTCAAGATACAGCAGTATAAGTCATACAGGGATCCAGATTAAGTTAACAGGAAATTAAAGATGACCACTGTGCTATATCCTGATATCTTCAGGACAGCTGTCTGTGCCCTCAGATGCAGTGCTTATATACAAACTGGGACGGAACAAGTTCCATCCAAGCAGACTGGTGCAAGTAATACGGGTTTTAATTCCCAGATACATTATTAACAATATCTTCTGCTGTCTTTTTTTTTGGTCTTTTTCCTTTTAATCGGTACCGGGGATCGAACTCACGACTGCCTGCTTGCAAGGCAGGCGCTTATGCTGCTGAGCTAAATCCCCAGCCCCCTCTGCTGTCTTTTTAAAAAGACTATTCCTCCCCTTTCACTCCCCCAGGATGTACTTGTATTTTTGGGTCTCCCCAGCACCCTCGGTTTTATATTAGGAGGGCAACCTGCTATTTACCTATTTAACTTTCTCACTCCTGGACTTGTTCTCTAGTTCTATTTCTTCACTTATTAAAGCCTGTCTTTTCAATCTATCCGTAAGTTCTGATCTGTTTACCCCTATTACTCTTTGGTTCCCTATCACATTGAGTTCTGTTTTCTCATATTTGATTTTGGCACATATACCTTTCTTCAGGTTTATTATATTCCCTATAAAGAGCATTACAGTGGACCCTACCTCTTGATCCACTCTGTCTGTGATTCTTTTTTCCCTTTAGTTAGTGTATCTAGGCCATCTATATTAGAAATTATATCCAACCTTTTCTGCTTCATTTTTGTTGTGCTCTTTTTCCATCATTAGGTTGTCTGTTTGTCTTCTTTATTTCGCCTTTTGTTCCGTTCATTGGAGCCTCTCTGCCACTGTTCCTGAAATCTTGGTGCTTTTCTCTCTCTTTAGAATGTTCTGTGGTATTCTCTGTAGAGTTGGATTGGTGGTTGCAAATTACTCCAGTTCTTCTTTATCTTGGAAGCATCTTTATTAATTTCTAGGGACAATTGTGCAGGATAGATCAACCTTGGCTGGAGGTTATTTTCTCTCAAGGTTTGGATTATTTCGCCCCACGCTCTTCTCGATTTGATGGTTTGTGCCAAGAAGTCTGACGAATTCTGATGGGCTTTCCCTTGTAAGTGATCTGTTTCTTGTCTCTGATAGCTTTTAATATTCTGTTCTTATACTGGATTTCTAGAATCTTGATTATTATACTCCTGGGTGTAGTTTTGTTTTGGTTGTAGGTGGCTGGAGTTCTGTATGCCTCATACATCTGAGTATCTTTTCCTTTTCCTATGTTTGGGAAGTTTTCCTTAATTATTTCTGTGATAGCCTTTACAGTTCCTTTGTTTGTACCCCACTTCTTCATTCACATTCTTTATTCTTAAGTTATAGATCCTCTTGTCATCTTATAGCCTTTGTATTGTTACTGCTTGTTTCTTTGTTATTTTTAAGAAATTTTTCCTTTCATGTTCCCACATTGCAAACCTGTCCTCCAGTTCGGATAGTCTATCCTTGGTTTCTTTCAAACAGTTCTACCAGCTTTCAATGGAGTTTTTAATTTCCTGGTAATCTCTTTGAACCTGCTTCATGTATTCTGTTTTCTCTATTTTTTTCATCAAACAATCCCCCCCCCCCTTTTTTTGGTCTTTTTGGTTTTTATCAGTACCAGGGATCAAACTCATGACTGCCTACTTGCAAGGCAGGCACTTATGCCGCTGAGCTAAGTCCCCAGCCCCTCTCCCCCGACCCTTTTTTTTTTCTTTCATTCTCTCATCTGTTTTTTCTTGGGAGGTGCTTAGCATTTCTTTAACTATTCTACTTATATCTTGCTTTAGTTGGTTAAATACTTCACTTTTGAACTCATCTATGAGGTCCTGAAGATATGGTTTTGTGTCCACTGGTGCTGTGTCTGATATTGCATGTTTGCTGTCCTTATTCTCCTTTGCATTTACCTTTCCTGGATCAGTGTTCTCAGGATTGGGGCCTGAGGACCTTTCTTGTTGCTCCTTCTTCCCATACTTTTTGTTTCTTCCATACAAGCATATATAGGAGGCCCAGTTTCTTTCTTTGTTGGCAGTTTGTTTGAATCACGCAGGCTAGATGTTTCAGCCCACTGCAGTGTACTAGGGAGACTCAGAACGAGGGAGCCTATGATAGACCCGCCCCTCCAGGTCAGTCAACCTGTTGAAGGCTTCACTGCATTAGGGTACACTGCCAGGCGTAGGGACTTGATTTGGGCTAGCCTATTGGGTCTTAGCCCATGGTGCACCCCACCAAGTCCAGTGCACCCCACCAATCCTGCTTGAGAAGGGAGTAGCTAACTGAAGTCACCGCTGCTCCTTGTTCTAGCCTATCTCCCAGGTTCCAGAATATCATTTGAGGGAGCTCCCCCTTCTCTATATGTCTTAAGTTACTTTATGCTCGTCGCTGAGACAAAATACCTGATGCCCAAGTTGGGAAAGGAAAGGTTTATTTCTTACAGTTTTTGGAGGTTTCAGTCCACACTCAGTTGGCTCCAAGACAGGTGGGCATGGCTGGGCTGGAGTTCATGGCAGCTGCAAACAGCAAGCCAGAACCAGCAAAGAGAAAGAGACACCTTCTTCCTGCCATTATATCACATCCTGGCTCCATCCCTTTGTGGGTGGAGCACTGACAACATCAATCCAAGCACTAGACACTGAACGAATAACAAATGCACAATTCAAACTCGTGAGGCCTGGGGGACACAGACATAAATCAAGAAACTATGGAAGAGATTTCATTCCGCTCACTCTTCGAAGGTCGATGCAGGGTCCTCTGCCAGCTCTGCTCTCAATTCAGTTCACTAACACCCACCCTTGGTTCGAATGCCTCTCCAGTGAGTTGAATCTGGTGGGCCATCCCAGCTGGGCCAGTTCAAGCATCTGTTGGAGCTCCCCCTTCTCTATGGAAAATTTTTTTATCCCTCTCACTCACCGCAGGTCGATGCAAGGTTCCCTGCCAGCTCTGCTCTCAATTTGGTTTGTCAACTCCCACCCTTAGTGCGAATGCCTCTCCAGTGAGTTGAAGTTGGTGGGTTATCCCGGACACGCCAGTTCAAGCACAGCAGTGGCAGCGAGTTCAAGCAGGGCGTTCAAGTGGCAGCGTTAAGACTGTAGCTGTTCCAATCGTATCACCGGGACTGTATTTTTAATTGGTTTTTCTCAGCTTAATTTGTTCCTGGATTGGGAGGGTATATCTCCCTCTGTTTGGGACTCCCCACGTTGTATTATTTTTGGGATCTAAGTTGACTATCTCAGAGAGCCTCTGTTGCTTGCTGTTATCTATCCACCATCTTCGGGACTCCCCCAATAATTATTATTCATTATAATGCTAGCTTTAAAATTTTCTCAGGATAAAACAGCAGACAAAGAACATAGGATAGTCACGGTTTCATGTTCCATTTCAAAGAGTGTGCAATGAAGCTTGTGTTTTTAATAAAATTTTAAAATAATTTTAATAAAATCTCTTCTGATTGATTCATTCAGCAACCATTTACTAAGTACCAGCTATTGACAGAGTACAAAGTACAATCGATTAAAAAAAAGCACTTAGTGTTTAGATAGCTGTGGGCAAGATACAGCATGCAGCCACAGCAGGTGTAATAACCTGTACCTTGTACTGCTAGCTGTAACATACTAACGTTAATGAATCTAAGAACCTATGCTGTGTCAGTCAAGTGCACTTGGTTTTGCCTTTACCCCTCCCTCGGGCTATCCTATCCTCCACCGAGTGAGTTCCATCCAGGGTGACAAACTTCTCCATTTTATACATTCAGTTCACCACATATCCAGGCAGTCAGATCAAAGTACTGTACTGCTTGACAGAGCAGTGATTTCTCGCTGTCTCATAACAGTTACACTCTTTGCCGAAGTTTGTAAGGGTCCTTTGACCTCGTGCCACCTGTGCCTGACTTCTCAATTCTTTCCCTCCCTTGTTGTCTGCTTCTGGCACACTAAGACCCCCAACTCTTCCATCTCTATCTTTATTTCTGATATGGTCACACTGAGTTTCTGGTGTCGCTATGCCTTGTGAAACACCGCTTGCGGACCTCCCCGCAGCGCTTCTTCAGATTTCTGCCCCCGCCCGGTGTCTCATCCAGCCTCCAGGGTTCCCGGTCCCCTTTAAATTACCCGCAAGAGCCAGTCATTCGTGACTATTTTCTTGCCTCTTCCCCACCGCAGTGTATGCTGCAGACCTGCAGAGACTTCCCAGGAGCCTATCAGGTTGGATCCAGGGACCGCACTGGGTGCGTGCCTGAGCAAGTGAGCGAGATGTCCCCACCTCCCGCGTCCTTAGGACGCCGTCCCGTGTCCCAAGTAGCTGCTACTTCAATGCCCTCTCCTACCTGGGCGCCACAGAAGCGTCCCATTAGTCTGCCTGGCTCACTTTTGTATCTGCAGGGTGCAGCGAGTTCTCAGCGTGCATCGGGGTGTTATAGAAACTCTAAATGAGTGAACGGATGTTTAGGGTAATGGATATAGCTTTTCAAAATCTTACAATTCGATGTGGACGGTGGGACCCTCGGAGGAACTTGAAGCAGGAAAATCACCCAGAGTCGGATACGCATGCCTGAATCTGCGCTTCAGGAAGAAAACTGCACGCCTTTTCTACCCTGCAAGTATAATAGGTTAGAACAGCAATTAGCGACAGTTTCTCCTTGGATTCTAGGCCTGCTTTGCGTTGTTACAGTACACACAGGAAATCGGAAGCGTGGAATAAAGTTCCTGAGTCCCCTACATGCGCCTGCGCGGGACTGTGCCTCTCACCCGCCCCTCTGAGGGCACGCCCCTAGGACTTCACTTCCTCCCAGTAGCTCCGCCCCTAAAAGAGTATGCTACCTTCATAGCGTCATGTGATAGAATTCAAAACAGAATATAGGGAGCATCTAAGATGCAAACCAAAATACCTGGCGAACAGCTCCTCCTGGGTAGTAAGCCGATCACAGTATTCAGTAAATACGCGTCATTAACTGCCTGTCAACATTTCTAAAGTTAACAGATAACGTAGAGGCCCTGCCCACTGTTTGGAAGCGTTCACACAAGTGGACTACATTTCCCAGCATGGCTCGGCGTCCGGTTGCAATTCTTATATGAACTTTATCTCCCGTCAGGCCTCTGCGCGCGGTCGCACACTGTGTGCGAAACCGGCCTGTGAGGTGGGCCGGCCCGGCGTGTTTAGCCGAGGGAGCTTCCGCGGCGGCGGAGGATGGAGGCGGTGGTGTTCGTCTTTTCTCTGTTGGACTGCTGCGCGCTAATCTTCCTCTCCGTGTACTTCGTATCCTTGTCTGAAGCGGGCGGCGGCTAGCTGGGATATAGGATTGGCCGACAGGCGGGCCGGGCGGGGGCGGCGCGGGGCTAAGGAGGGCGCTCAGGGCCTGACCCACGGCCGGGAGCCGCGGTCGGTGCTCGGGCCTCGCCGTCCTGCAGCCACGGCCCCGCGCAACTCGTCGTGCAGTCCGGGAACTCATTTCTTTTTTAGTGCCGCAACGAGGTCAGAAGTCGTTTCCGACTTAGATGTTCAAGTCAAGAGTATCTTCTGCAGGTGTCTGTTTTGCAGGGTTTGCTGCCGCACTTTCAGAAGAGTAGATGGAGGTTCTGCAATCACCACCACAGCTGCGACTTCTCCCGCTCCAGGAGGGAGCGTCTAGCCTTTGTTGTGCAGTGTTAAAAAGCAGAAGGGGAACGCACGGTTCAGTTTTAAGTAATTAACTATAGGAAGAATGCATCAGGAATGCTGCATTCGTCCGCTTTCCATGGGCGTTGCACCTACTACTTTCTGATCCAAGTAAAACCTTGTTTGCCAGAGCGTGCTACGTTAGTTGTACAGACCATGGTTTTCTTGTGGCTCCGTATTTCATTGTGGACAGGCAGCCTGTTTTAGTGGAAAGGAGCAAAGTTTGGAATTCCTGCTCAGCAAGTTACTTGTTGTGCACGTTACTTCGCCTGTCCACGCCTCGGTCTTCATAGCTTTAAAATGGGAAGTAGTCGTTTTCTAGATGTGTGCGGTGAGAACGTTCGTTAAGCACCCAGTGCAGTGCCAGCCCCAGAGCAGTTGTCTAGTAAATACCAATCCCACTTCACTGCCTCCGGTGGAGCAGCAGAGTTTACTTTGAAGATTTCTGATGAGAACGCCCTGAGTTTTACTAGGGCTGGGGCTGAAGCTTGCTTACTTGCTTGACTTTTTTTTTTCCCTTCACTTGCCTAAGTTCTGATGACCTGTGCCTCTCTTGTCATATAAGGAACGGAAGCTGTGTTGCACTCAGAGAAATGAAACTAGACTATTTGAAGTTTGGAAAATGAAGTTTGCTCATTTAAGATTGGCTTGGTTTACATCAGCTTTAAAGTAAAATGTTAGGTGGCCTGTTTAAGGTACATTCAGAATGTGTTTCGTTTTTGTTACGCTGGAGATAGAACCCAAGGCTTTATGTATGTACTCTATCGTTGAATTGCACTTCCAGAGCCCCTCAGGATTTGTTTTGATGAAGTTGAGTGTATTGTTGTTTTTAGGGTTGCCGCAGTTTGTGTTAATGAGATGGAAATGGGAATAGTAGACAACATAAAATGTAGGAAGTTATTTGAACTTTGGTGACCGAAACCTTCGGAAGGGAGGGCAAAAGCAAAGGTGCAGGGACAGGTGCGGTCATTTCAGTGGTTGGGAGTTGGTTAATGAGTAGACCTGGAACATAGGTGATTTCAGTGTGATTGAGATGTTAGACCAGATTAGATTTTGGATGCTTGAAAGCTAAGGGAAGAGCTTTCACTTTTATTATACAGGTAATAGAGAGCAGAGCCAGTGACAATTTTTGACAAAATTGAGAGGAAGTGATCAAAGGTTAGAAAACGCTAGAAGTGATTTCAAGATATACATCGATCATTCAGGGGCTAGGGATTTAGCTCAGCGGCATAAGCACCTGCCTTGCAAGCAGGCAGTCGTGAGTTCGATCCCCGGTACCGATAAAAAGGAAAAAGACAAAAAAAAAAAAAAAAAAAAGATATACATCGTTCAGTATGGTGACTATAGTTAACAGTGTTTCACACTTGTGAAAAATACTGAGTATTAACTGTTCTTAACGCAAAAAAGATAACTAGTAAGGCATGTTAATTAGCTGTTTGTTATAGTATATGTAGATTATTATTTTATTTATTTACTTATATTTGGTTTTTTGAGTCAAGGTCTCACTGTATAGTGCAAGCTGGCCTCACAAATGTAAATCCTCTTGCCTCAACCTCCTAAATGCTGGGATTTAGGAGACCATCATGCCTAGTTACACAATGTATATACTTAAGACATTATGTTGTACATGAAAAATTTTTGTCTAAGTTAATTAAAAGAACAGAATAGTTTATGAGAAGGTAAGCCTAAAGAACGGATTAGAACTGGAAAGAGTGGAAGATAAACCAAGGCATAGGATCAAGCAGATGGAAGGAAGAAATAATATGGCACAAGGAAGAAATGATCTTTGGACTTGTCATTGGCAGATTGATTTATGGCCTTCCATATTTTGAACATGAGCAAGTGATACTTTCATCATAGAAATAAAACAGTGGAGAAGGACCCATTTGTGGAAAAATGAGTTATGAAGCTATTTAGTATTTAGTTGAGAATGTTTCTTTTGACTTTATTTTGATTTGTTTTTTAGTACTAGGGATTAAATCTAGGACCTTTGCACTGAATGTGTTTCTTTGGTGTTGTTTTGTTTTTATTTTGAAACACTATCTTGCTAAAATGCCCAGGCTGGGCTTGAACTTGTGATCCTTCTGCTTCAGCTTCCCAGAGTGCTAGGATTCTAAGCATACTTGGCTTTGATTTGTTTTAACATACATTTTCGGGGCTAGAGATTTAGCTCAGTGGCATAAGCACCTGCCTTACAAGCAGGCAGTCGTGAGTTCGATCCCCAGTACCGATAAAAAGAAAAAAGACAAAAAAACATACATTTTCAACTGAACAAAAGTAGACTCTGCTAGGTCAAGTCCCATCTTTCTATGACTCATTTAATTCAGGACTTTTTGTTTTATGTCAGTTTGTCCTTGAAATTTATTTTGTTATGTACCTGTATTAACTACCCATAATGAATATAGGCAGGATATACTACAAACATGTAATAATAAAAATTGAATTTTGTTTGTATGTTTGTACTAAACACACTTGTTTAATTCCGATATATAAATTTACAGTGTAGAGTTTGGAAAATAGTGAAAAACTTTTAAGAAAAAAATCAATAATTCAACTGTTTCCTTTTTTTGAGACAGAGTCTCACAGTGTAGTTAAGGCTGACCTGGAATTCACTATGAACATAAGCCCAGGCTGATCTTTTTTTGTTGTTTTTTGAGACAGCATCTGGCTGTGTAGTTCAGGCTGGCGTTGAGCTCACTGTGTGGCCTACGCTGGCCTGGGATTTGGGGTGATCCTCCTGCCTAAGCCTTCTGAGTGCTGGGGTTATAGGTCTGTGCCACCACACTGGGCAGCCTAGCCTGGTTTTTAATTTGATGCAGTGCTCTTGCCTCAGCCTCCCCAGTACTAGGATAACAGGAATGTGCTACCACTCCTGGCTATAATCCAATTATATATAATATAACCACTGTCATGGTGACTATGATGTATACATACTAACATGTTGTGTTTGTTGATATGCTTTTTGAGTCTCTAAGGACATTTTATGGATGTATTACAGACACTATTTTGAAGTATTGAGAATTCAGATTTTTAACTTTTTTTCTCTATACTGGTGTTTGAACCTAGGATCTTGCACTGTGTTACCATTGAGTTACATTTTCAGCCTTTTAACATTGAAAATATTTTTTGTTTGTCTTATTTTCCATTTCTTATAGCTCTTTCATATTTTTAAAATTTGTAAGCAGCATGTACACCTATAATACCAACACTGGAGAGGCTGAGGCAGGAGGATTGCTAAGTTTGAGGCCAATTTAGACTACAAAGTGAGTTCATGACCAGCCTGAACTGCATAGTAAACCCTGGCTCAAAAAAAATTTTTTTATCAGTACATTTGCAGTATATAATGATTACTTTCATTGTGGCTGTTGCACATTTGAGGAACTCAAACTAAAAGTTCTGAGTCAGACTTGATTCCAATAAAAAGAATAAATATTTTGTGAAAATAATTTTTTATATTCTTTTTTTTTTTTTGATACTGGAGATTGAACACATGACTTCATGCTTGCCAGCACTTATGCCACTAAGCTAAACCACAGGCCTGAAAATAATTTTTTGAAGGAATGTAAATGAGAAAATTGTTGTCTAATAAGCACACTTTAGAAAAGCATAACTTTTACAAGTCAAATCAAATTTTGCCTTGCAACTGGGATTGCTTTCTGTACCTTATGTACGTATGTTATAATAGAAATACAATAAAAAATATAATTCCTTATCTTGATTATCAGATTATTACATTGTCTGATTTAGAATGTGATTATATTAATGCTAGATCATGTTGCTCAAAATTAAACAAGGTAAGATACTTCTTTGCTCATTTTCTGACTTGAAAGTCCATTCTTTGTTTTCCATAGTAAAGATTATTTTAGCTAGTCAACATACGAGTTTTGATTTTAGAGTGCATGTTGATTTTAGGGTGCATATTTATTGGAACCTTGATAGAACTGCTGTGTTTTTAGTATTTATGATCATAAAATTATGCTAGAAGGTCTGTTTGAAATTTCAGTGCTGTACTCTTATATTCTTTGTCTACCAAAGACAACTATTCAAGCTAGATAGAGGTTTACTATAAGAGCAGAGTTGTTCCATCTTCTGTATCTAAACCTCCTCCTGCTACTATTCAAGGGGAAACCACTTAGGCTGGCTTTTAGAATGAAGGAAAACCTTCCTTTTGGTGGTTGTGGAGAAGTGGAGTGTTGGATTTTTTTTTTTTTTTTTTTGTCTTTTTCATTTTTTATCGGTACCAGGGATCGAACTCACGACTGCTTGCTTACAAGGCAGGCACTTATGCCACTGAGCTAAACCCCCAGCCCCGGAGTGTTGGATTTTTGAAACAGGGTCTCGCTATGTAGTTCAGGCTGGTCTTGAACTCACTGTGTGGCATATGCTGGCCTTGACTTCTAGTGATCCTTCTGTGTACTGAGATTATAATGTGGTGAATTTAATTAGTTAACTTGTTTTAAGGCCATTTTGCCTTTAGTATTGTCAGAACTTTATTTTGTTGGGGCAGGCTGTCTAGCAGGGAAACCAGTTGTTCCTGGTTCATTTTATGGGATGAGCAGGTAAAGCTTTCTGGATGAAAGTCCATATGTAAATGGGATGTGGAGAAGTGCTTTTGGCTTGACCTAAACATGATTCCCATGTATCCTTACATCTTCATTCTACTTTTAGTTCCTCTGGCCCTTGATGAAAAATAGCTGTATTTTGTTTAGAAAAATGTACTGTGGAAAGTTAAAATTTCCAATAACTTACGTTCATTCCTCTTCTTTTGTAAACTGATGGGTTTTTTTTAGTGAAAAGATTACTCAGTATTTTAGGTGCTTTGTTTGTTTTCATTCACAAAACTAGTATGTACAAAGAAAGGATTCTTCTGCTGGAATAGTTGCTTCTTGGATTTAAAGTTTTAAATAGTTTGTTTAATAATAATTTTTATGAAAGTTATATGTGAAGACAGAGCTGATGGCACTGCAAAGTTCATAGTGAGTAACAGCAGTCCCTATCTGACCTTTTGAGTCCTAACTGCCTTGCGTATTTGGGTTACCCGTTTTTCCCTGGCATTTATATCACTATTCTCTTATATATTGGCCTGCTATTTTTTGATCTCTCAGTTTTAAATATTATGCATTGACTTCTTAGTATGGTAGAGAAGATTTAGTGTGTTAGGTACCCCTTAAGAATCTGTTTACTTTCCCATCTTTTTTGATTTTTGGGCTAAATTGATATTCACAGTTTATATCATTATGATGTGCTGCTATATAAATAGTATTTATTGCTGAGCCTCAGAAAATACAGCGATATTTTTCTTTTATTTTTCCCTGGGTAGCTTTGTCTTTTCCAATATTCATAATTGCCACCTTTCTATCTTACCTGAGTTTTCTGTTACTTATAAATAAGTACATCTTTGTAGCACGTCACATGCTGAAATGTGTTAAAAGAAATAACCTGTCAGTTAAGTGTTTCCCAGGGTACGTCTCTCTTTGAGACCTCATGCTCTTGGCTGTCTCCTGTCAGCTTTAGTTTTCATTCTGGGACATGTGCTAGATCCTTTTATTCCTGGATTTTGTATGTTGGCCTACAATTGGACCTTATTTTATTGCAGTAGCCTTTTGAGATTTGAAACATGCGAAATGACTTTGAAATGTTTATATTTTAAAATATCTTACCCATACACTTGAATGATGTCTTGTCTGAGCACAGAATTCTTTGTTGGAAAGGATTTTTGTTTTGGATTTTAGAGACATGGCTTGGTAGTATTCTGATGTCAGGTGTTGTTAAAATGGGCCATCTGATTCCATTTTGATTTTTTCCTTTCCCCCCCTACTTTTGTTTAATGGTGCCAGTGATGGAATCCTAGCCAGATAGGTCTCACATGTGCCAGGCCAATGTTGGGCCACTGAGCTGCATTCCAAGCCCTGATTCTGTTTTTATGTGATGTTTTTTTTACCTATCTTCTTTGTGGAAGTTTACAGTCTTGGTCTTCGGTGTTTTAAGGTTTTGCACTAGGGTGTCTTTGGCCTTTTTTTTTGTTTTTTTGTCTTTTTTGTTTTTATCGGTACCAGGGATCGAACTCACGACTGCCTGCTTGCAAGGCAGGCGCTTATGCCGCTGAGCTAAATCCCCAGCCCCTTGTTTTGCTTTTTTAAGACAGGCTGTCAATATGTAGTTTGGGCTGGCTTTGAACTCGTTGTGTAGCCCAGGCTGGTCTCAAACTTGTGGCAGTCCTCCTGCCTCAGCCTCCTGAGTGCTGGGATTATAGGCCCATGTTAGCACGCTAGGCATAGGTACTTTTTGTTCAGGTCTTTTTCATTCATAATTTTAAATACCTGATAGATTCTTTGAGCATGACAATTTCTCTTTTTTCTTTCCTTCTCTTTCTCACTTTCTTTTCCTTTTCCTTGTGCTTTTCCCTTGGTGCTGGTTTGAGCCCAGGATCTTGTGCATGCTGAGCATGTGCTCCACTGCCCAGCTGTATCCACAGCTCCTTGTGTTCTGTTTGAATATATCTTCCTCTGTTTTGTCTCTTACTGCCTTACAACTTTCTTAACTAGATAATTGATGTGCCAATTCTTCTTTCTTATTTTTCTTATCTCTTGTTTTATGGTTTCCTCTGCTTTATCATCTAACTTTCTAGTAAATGTAGCATGTATGTTAAAATTTCTCTTTTTCTTTTTTTGTGGTTCCAAGGATCGAACTCACAACCTCATGTTTGCCAAGCAGGCACTTATGCTCCTGAGCTAAACCCCTGGCTAGCATGTATGTTAAAATTTTACTTTTTAAGAGATTTTTGTTCTCTTGGTTTATGCTTGACTTGCTTAATTCTGAGACTGGCTATAGTATTTTTGAAATTTTCTTCTGCTTCCTATATTATATGTTTCTCTAGGTTTTTTCCCTTTGTCCCCCCACCTCCACACCTAGTGCTGTCTTTCATTTTGAAGTCTTTCCTTAAATTTGTAATACTTGGCTGTCCATTTGTTTTTAAGCTCACTGGGTGGATTATGGTTGCTGACTAACTGGGAGACTATCGTAATGTTGCTGATGTCTACTTGTACTTTAGTGGAGTATCTGAAAATGGCAGGTTTTTATAGGTGTTTTCTCTTGAGTCATTAAATTACTCCAGAGAAGAATCCACCAGGCTCCTTCCTAGGGGCGGAAGCCTAGTTTTAGTCTTTCCTTTCTGTTTGTTTGGAACAAAGTGTTGCTCTGTAGTCCAGGCTGACCTTGAACTTCTTATGGAGTGTCAGTTTTTTCCACTACCATTTAATTTGCTTTAAAATTTTTGTGCCATGAAGAGAGGAATATTATTCGTGAGTTGAACCCTGCAGCCATGGCTGGGAGTGCACTAGAATTCAGAACTCCACAGTGAGCAGATAGCAGAGAGGGACAGGGGGGTCATACTTGGACCCAGGACCTGTCTTCCTGGTCATTATTTTAGTCCACTTTCATCTGTTATCCTAAGTGTTTAAAGCACTGTTTCATTAAAACATTAAACAAATGGTTTCCTTAGGATTCTGGAGAAGGGAGTGTGTTTTAAGATTCATATCCAAACTTAAATGGTGACTACATGTGGATGTCAGACGCTTTAGTTTAGATGCTGGAACAGAAAGTAAATTAATATTGTTATTCAAACCTGCTTAGTGAATAAATCCAAACCTTTGTTCAGGATAAAATGGAATTGAAATTTAAGTGCTTTATCTTTTAATCTGTGCTCTGATGTATTTGCATGGGGTAAGCATTTACAGCAGTTTTAACATCTGAGTCTAAATATGGTTTTGAAATTGTAGCTTGTAAACTCCTGGAACATTCATAGATTTAGCTTCAAATCATATGTACAGCCAGAAAGATGGACCAGTGAAGTGTAACACTGTGGCCTTCCCTTGTAGTGGGTAATTCCAGAAATGATCGGCCATTCGATTGTCAGCGTATTGATGCTTGTCTCACTGCACTGGTTTATCTTCCTTCTCAACTTACCTGTTGCCACTTGGAATATATATCGGTAAGTATTCTCTCTTATTACTTTGAGTTGGAGCAGTTAAACATTTATTAAATGAAATTTAACACTCTTCTCGCCCCAAAAATATGTGCCAGTAATAAAGAACAATCAAATGCCTTAGTAGGTCAGAACAAGTTTTTGTTCATTTTGACTATTAGGCAGATGTCATTTCTATGACTAAATCTTGTAAGGCACAAATTTACTTGCATAAAGTTATAAAATTTGTGTTCTAATGATAAAAGATTTGTTTTTTAATTGTCTTTAGTCTCATTTTCCTTTCAGAATGATCAAATGCCTGAGAATAAATATAAGGCTTCTTTGTTTATACTTGAAGTTTCTATTTGTTTTTTGGTTTTGTTTTGTTTTGTTTTTATTTTTAGTACTGGGGATCGAACTCATGACCTTACGCTTACCAGCAAGCACTTGAGCCATTGAGCTGAATCTCCAGTCCTAATGTTTTTTGAGACAGGATCTCAGTATACAGTCCAGGCTGGCCTTAAATTCACATTGAAGCCCAGGCTGGCCTTGAATTTGTGGTGATCCTCCTACCTCAGCTTCCTGAGTGCTGAGATCACAGAGCTATGCCACCATGCCCAACTCTGTACTTGTTTTAAATTAGAGTGTATTGTAATTAAGATATTCCAAAGAAACCAGGTGTGGTACCACAAGTCTGTAATTCCAGTAATCTGAAGGCTGAAGTAGGGCAATCACCATTAATTCAAGGCCGGCCTGGACAACAAAGCCTTTCTGGCCACATAGCAAGACCCTATTTCAAAAACTATAATGAAGTACTATATTCCAAAGAAAGTTACATTTTAAAGCCCACAAATTAGGTAACTTGCCATATATTTTATAAATTGAAGACATTTGCTCAAAAACAGACCATGAAAACATTGAGTATAATTTTGTAGTCAGACTGTTATACATAGCATATTTTCCTGTGAAGCACCTTGGAATAATCTTGACAATCCTGTAATTCTTTTGTTTGTAGTATTTTTTTTTTTTGTATTTTTAGACTTTGTTTATATCTAAGATTTTTTTTTTTGTTGCAACCATTCATTAACTACTTATAAGCATGATGTTATAGTGTGCAGTTAGAATAAAAAGGACATAGAAGAGAATAGAGGGAAGATTGGAGAATAGGGACCATGAAAAGACTGTTTAGGTGGGGTGAGAGGAGGGCAACCTTACCAGGGCCAGACAGCACCAGAGCCAGGGACAATTCTCTCTCTGAAGCTCTCCAGAGGGTAGGTCTTCTGGGGTGGAGGCTGCTATGCTCTGCCATGGTCAGCTGCGTAGACCAGCACCCCACCTGAGCCCTTGATGGGGACGCAGACCCCTTGCACTCTGTTGAGGGCCAGTCACACAGGGAATTGGTACAACCAGCTCTCTGTGGACCTCTGAGTGAGGCATAGACATGGGAGTGACAATGGGGACAGCAATTGAGGAGGTCATGATGTGCTGGTGTCCCAGATGGAGTCCTCGGGCAGCTCCGTTAGAAATGCCAGAAGAGTAGGCCCCCGCGGTATCTCAGTGTGATTTGTTTCCATTGCTTTGATGGCTAATGATCCTGATCTTTAAATGTGTTTATTAGCCATTATTTTATCTCTTTGTTATATATAGTTTTTTTTTTTTTAATTTTTTTTTTGTCTTTTTCCTTTTTGTCGGTACTGGGGATCGAACCCAGGACTGCCTGCTTGCAAGGCAGGCGCTTATGCCGCTGAGCTAAATCCCCAGCCCCTATATATGGTTTTTTAAACAGCCAAATTGACATGAAAATAAATGATGCTTTGGGAAGATTTTCCTGGAGACATTGTGTGCTATCAATTGAGTGGAGAGAAACTAGCAAGGAGGGAAACCATTTCACAAAACAGGAAGCAGAAATAGAGTGCAGGAACAATGTTGTGATTGTAGGGAAGGAGACAACTCTGAAAATAGTGGTATGGAAAAGAATTGGGCAGGACTTTAATAGGCTGTTCATCATAAGAAAGAGTGCTGTAAGAGGAAGTTTCTAAGGACCACCGAGAAAGTAGTAACACTTTCCTTAGATTACCTAGTAGTTAACAAACAGTAGTATTTTTTCAGACTGTTTATCTGGATATGTAAAAAAAATGCCCTCAATTCAGGTAAGCCACCAGGATTTGGGGGAGAATTTCAAATCTGTGGAATTCAGATATGCCTTGGCATTTTATAGAATTGATAGTTGAAAAACAGAATGTATGGAACCCTGACAGGGAGAGCAGGAGAGGTTCAGACACGAGGTACACAAGGGGCACCCACAGTCTGGGTGTTAAAGCCCAAATACCAGTTCTCTCAAAGTAACCCAAGTTCCAAATCCCCATAGACAAGCTTCTTAGAATTTGATGACATGTGTTTGATGTTTTTATGTTTGCTCATTTTGATTTTTTTTGTATCAAGAATCAACGCAAGACCCTGTGCCTGCCAGGCAGGCGCTTGTGCCACTAAGCTATATCACCAGCCCTTGTTTGTTTTTCTTTTTTTTTTTTTTTTTTTTGTCTTTTTCTTTTTTATCGGTACCGGGGATAGAACTCATATGACTGCCTGCTTGCAAGGCAGGCGCTTATGCCGCTGAGCTAAATCCCCAGCCCCCCCTTGTTTGTTTTTGAGACAGGGTTCGGGCTGGCTTTGGGCTTGTGGCATTCATTCTGTTTCAGCCTTCCAAATGCTAGGATTAGAGGTGTGTGCCACCACACCTGGCTGGTGCTTGGTTTTGGAACTTCTTTAACTGCAGTGGGAAAAGAGTTTGGGATGACTGGTTTGGTTGGTTTCTACAGATAATAGGTAAAAGGGTTTCAGTGTACAAAGATACCTTCTCTGGAGTGTTGCTATAATTACCTCACAGAGCAGAAAATTATTCTAAATTAACAGTATTGTAATCTGCAAAGGAAAAGTAGTGGTAGACTGTGACAGTCTACATTTGGTAATCATTTAAGGCTGCTTAGTTGATCATCATTGGTTACTTACTTTGCTATTGATGTGATTTTCCTCCTATATGTATATCCATTATTAGGTTCATTATGGTGCCAAGTGGCAACATGGGAGTGTTTGACCCAACAGAAATACACAATCGAGGGCAGCTGAAGTCACACATGAAAGAAGCCATGATCAAACTTGGTTTCCACTTGCTTTGTTTCTTCATGTATCTTTATAGGTGAGTTTGAAGTCCGCCTGCTGTCCTCAATGCTGTGTCTACCTTTGATGGGTGAGGTGTTGTTTTACTCTAGGATTTAGGTTAACATTGTAGAACTTTCGGGGATTATGTGAGTTGCTAGTGGTTGTAGACTTTTCATATATTGCAGTGATTCAGCATTTGTCTGGCCTATAGTCACTCTGATGCCCTGGTTATTCCTTAGTTGTTCAGGCTATCAGCATGTTTAAAATTGTCTTTGCTATTCTTTTCCTGCACTCTCAGTTGTAGAATTTTAAAGCAGTGGGGTAGTGGGTATTGATAAACATGTGCTTAGCACATGCAAAGCCTTGGAGTTTATCTGTAGCATAAATAAGGGACAAGTGTGAGGAACAGTTCTAGTTGTAGCAAAATAAAAATAGACAACTTGTGTAACTGGTTTGCGTGAGTGACTGCATTCCTTATTAACTACACTCTTCTTTTTTCTGTCTTTTCTTCCCTTGTCATGTTCAGTCACATTGTACGTGCTTTACCTTTAGTGTATTTCATAGTTCAAGGAGTCAGGATGAAAGAGACTGCACTCTCAGAGGATGACCTTGTAGCCCTTTTACCTTCTGGTTGCTGTTGTTAAAAGTGGTTTTATTACTGACATACCAGCTTTTATTGCAGGGACTTTATCCTGCTTCTCTGTTGCCTGTCACAGCTGGCATGTTACTTTGCACACAGCAGACATCAAGGCTTAGAAATGGAATTAGCTTTGGAAAAAATATTTACCTTCTTTATAAAGTGGAAGAGTCTGTGCATTCATTCTTTGATTACAAGTATCTGGACTTTACCACTTACATGTAACCTAGGGCATGTTCCCTTCTTTCTTTCCTTATTTTATTAGTACATGTTTGTGATACATGATAGGTACATTCATTTTGGTAAATTGGTACATGTGAGGATCATTTTAGTGTTTTTTGATCCCTTTATGCCCCACCCCTCTTCTCCCTCCTTTCTGGGATCTCATTCCCCATCTCCAAAACGTCTGCCTTCATTTCATACCACCCCATTTTTCTCTTACTCTTTATATTTTGGGTTACCCATAAGAGAAAGCATAAAATACTTAACTAAATCTGACTTATTTTACTTACTATTATGGTCTCAAGAAACATACTGTAATTTTTCTCCTCCTCTGTGGCTGAATGTATTCCATCGTGCCTACACATACCACATTTTATCCCTTTGTCCATTGATAGTCATCTAGGCTGTCTCCTTCCAGAGCTTAGCTGTGAATTGTGCTGCTATAAATGTGGGTGTGCACCTACTGCCATAGTCTGACATTTTTAATTCTTTCAGGAATATACCCCACGCAGATTAGTTGGGTCAAATGAATTTTTATTTTTAGTCTTTTTGGTTTAGTTTGTTTTTTTGGTACCAGGAATCAAACTCACGACCTTGCATTTGCTGAGGCAGGAACTGAGCCGCTGAACTATGTTCTCAGCTCTAGTTTTGTTTTTTGAGACAGAGTCTTGCCATGTAGCTGACCTCAAGTTTATTGAAATCTTCCTACCTCAGCCGTTTGACTGGTGAAATTACAGGCATGTATCACCATATCTAGCTTATTTTTAGTTTTTTCAGAAATCTTCAAACTGATTTCCATAGTGGTTGTACTAGTTAAGCGGTGGTTTTTTCCTGCAGTCTCCCCAGCATGTGTTGTTCTTGTGTTCTTGGTGATAGCTATTATGATGGAAGACTGAAATCTTGTTTTGATTTTTTTTTCCTAATGGATAAAGATGAATATTTTTTTCATGCGCTTATTGGCCATACGTACTTCCTTTGAGAAGTATCTATTCAATTTATATGTCCATTTTTTATTGTATTATTTTGTTTTGGAGTTGTTTTGAGTTCTTTGCATATTCTAGATACTAGTCCTATCAGAATGGTAATGGCAAAAGTTTTCTCCCATTTCATAGGTTATCTCTTTACTATTGTTTTTGCTGTATAAAACCTTTTTAATCTAACTTAATCCTATTTGTTGATTCTTGATATTTCCTGTGCTGCTGGCTTTTAGGAAGTCTTTGCCTGTGACTGTGGTTCAGATGTTTTTCTTGTTATCTTCCAATAGCCTCAAAATTTGCTTTCATATCTAGCGCTTTCATTTTAGTATATGGGGTAGGAGAGATGGATCCAGTTTAAATGTCTTCATGGGGATAACTTGTTTTCCCAGTACCGTTTATTAAAGAGACTATCCTTGCTGCCTATGTTTTTGGTTTAGAGCAAGTTTCTTAAGCTGTTTCAGTTTGTCATCTGAAATGGGCTATGAACAATGCCAGTCTTGTTGGACTGTAGTGTGGAGTAAGAGCAGTTAACATGAGAGACACTGAGGTTTATTCTGCTCTATAGTAAACTCTGAAACATCTTTTAGAAATGTTAGTTACTGCCATTAGTATAGGTTGTGCCCTGGGTACATCTGATATGGTTAAGTCTGGACAACTAATCATTTATACCATTCGAAACATATGGGTATTTCTGTGCAGTTTAGTCATTTGATTTTAACAGAACAAGGCTGATTCTGCACATAAAAAGAAAATGGCTGTTTATCATCAGTTAGCCCCAGTGGTTTTAATGGAGCGTTTCTTTGGGTGACTGCTATGTGTCAGATAGTTCAGCACCACGTGTGACAAAAGGAGGAGTCGTCACTGTAGACTTTGTTGGTTGCTTTGTTGGTTGGCTGTTGTAGTCCTGGGTATTACACAGAACTTTAACACAGAAAGGTTCCAGTCTGGCTTGTGTGAGGTACTCGTAGATGGTGATACAGGCTGGCTTGTCAGCCAGAGCACGCAGGAAGATGATGAGCTATGCCAGGCCGAGAGGCCAGCTTCCCAGTGCAAGTGCTGCGTGCCCATCAGAATCCTGAGCAGGGGATATAGGATGGTGAGGTGAGGGTGGTGTTCCACCATAGCAATAGTGTGTGTAGATATCTTGCTAGAGGAGGAGCTTCTTGCCCAGACATAACTTTTAATTGATTTTCAGTCATACTCCCCAGCCTTCACTCCGAATTACTCATTTTTTTACTGAAAAAACTAGGGTGTTGAGAAGTCCTTATGTATTCTTTGCTTTAGGTATATTTGCTTGTTTTCTATTCCAGTGAGTGTTCTTTGAAGATTCTCAGTGATGCCATTTTGGACAGATGAGACTTTGTAGGAGGATTCTTAAGGAAATATGTAACACAAATTTCTTCTTCCCACAGTATGATTTTAGCTTTGATAAATGACTGAAGCTGGAGAAGCCATGGTTGAAGGCAGCCTACCCTACAGTGCACAGTGTTGGAGCCAGAGATTGCTTAAACCATCCTTAGACCATGACCATAGCAGTATATATTTTCATCTTTGAACAAAAACTATTTTTGCTGTATTTTTACCATATAAAGTATTTAAAAAATATGAATCGAGTTTTTGTAGATTTCTGATTCTCAACTGTAGCCCAATGTGTGAAGGTATTATCACCTGAGTGCTGAAGGTAGTTATTTGTATGTAGATGTAGGACTGTATATGGGCATGCATGCCAAAGCATGAGGGACATGCCTTCAAGGGACACTCACTAGAAGAGGCACAGGATAGTCCAGGTACAAAACAGCATCAAGAGAAAGTCTTTTACTTTGGTCAAGAGAAAGTCATTTACCCTTTTTGCCTTTATTGTGGCAACTTCATGTATTAATAAAATTTACAGGATTGTCAACTAAGAGTCTTTTCACAAGAATGTTAACAGAAAGTGATATTTCACAATATATTTTTCGTTGCAATATCTGAAATCTTATAAGCCATTGCCCAGGTATAATGTAATTATTATAGAAAGGAAAAATAAATAAACCAAGTTTTTATCATTGCTTTTGTTTAAAAGCTATACTGCTTCCACAATCAGCCCAAACCCATCTAATACCCCCAGCTCTTGCTTATTTCTTATTTCTATATTGTAGTTTCTCCAATTCCATTGGCTGTGTGTTTCAATGCATGTGGAGAGGGGATCTGGTGCAGGGTGTGCATTAGAAGCAGGTAGGTCAGTCATTGTCGGTGCGGTAGCCTGTTTGTGTCCTGCTGGATACCAGGATTAACTGTTGCCCTTCTGTTCACCACTGACTCACCTGAATCAGGAGACACTATACAAGCCATTTCCTGCACACAGCAATATCTCACTAGGTGCAGTTCCTTGGGGCTGGATTTGTAAAAAAACTCCCAAATTGGTGGGTATGATTGGCCTCCACCCTTAGCCAGCCTTGGGGTGGGTATGCAGTGAGCCTTACTGTTTATCCTAAATCTTACTTGGTGTCTCCAAGTCATTGTCTTCCATTCCGGCATTTAGCAAATCAATGGGTATAAATTTATGGTAGAGTCTAAAGGTAGTGCTCCTCTGCCATGAAGTCGGGGCTGACAAGGTATGTAATCCCCACAGTGCTTACTGTACCATGTACTTCCAGCCTTGGATTCATCTTTGAACAAAAACTATTTTGATGAATTTGATGAGATTTGGTGAAAGCGGGAGCACGAGGCTCAGCTCCCCTGCTGCTGAGGTTGCAGGGTAGAAAGACTGCCCAGGCAACACAGGAAAGGCAGAACCAAGCAGGAAGTGACCATGGCTCTTGGGGGCCACAAGTTGTTGTGGCAATGTTGTGTTTCTGCTAGGCCAGGGCCAAGAAGTTAGTATCTGGCTTGCAGCTCCTCCTCACGTTTTCCCTCTGATGCAGCTTGTGTTTAAAAAGCAGTCCCTTCCCTTGACTTCAGTGCCTCTTTATGAGTTCTGCTCAAGCTTAGGAAGCTGTTGGACAATTTCAACCCTTAGCATCCAGAGCTACCTAAAGTAGTGCAGAGTGGTGATCAGACATTTTGTCCTAATAACCAAAACCAACACCAAGGGAGCTGAGCGCCTTGGGGTTGTGGGTTTACATGCCAGGTTAGGTTACTGAGCAGATCAGAGTTGCGCCTTGCTGGTAACAGAACCATTGCACTTTCCCCCTAAAGTATTCACTCTCAGTAAAAAGCAAAAACCCTTTCTTAAACTGCTTGTCTGTACCAAAGTCAGGAAGGGAGTTGGGGGAACCACTCAAGTTTTCTGTTTTTTAATTTTTAAGGGGTTGGGGCTGGGGATTTAGCTCAGCGGCATAAGCACCTGCCTTGCAAGCATCCCCGGTACCGATAAAAAGGAAAAAGACCAAAAAAAAAAAAAAAAAAAATTTTAAGGGGTCTTCTACAAATGAGGGCAAAGGGCATGGAAGCTCCAACTTTACAATAGCTGTGATTAAGATGCTAAAGGTCCCTTTGCTGGGCTTTGTACCAGTGGGACTGTTATGAGGACATCCCTTGGTCTGGGGTCTACAGCTGAGAGGTCAGGAGGTTGCCAGGGCCTTGAGTCATGAGTGCCTGGATTCAGGTGTTGAGTCCAGGATTGTTGCCCTGCCTCCTTGTGCTGTCCCTCTGTAAAGGTGGGGCTCGGCCCTTCGGGTACAGACCACCTTGGGTGCCCCATGTGCTAGTCTCCCTCTGTAAGTCAGGTTGTTTCCCTGCCATCCTCCCGGCATAGTAGGTGCTGTTGCTAATACCCGGAGCCTCAGCTGAGAGCAAAGGTGCAGCTCAGTCCATCAGAGCCCAGCAGGCCCTGTGCTGCCTCTTCCTGCCAGTTGCACCAACAGCCATGGGATGAGAAGCCAGCCAGCTGCCCCTGGCCTGGCCTGGCTGTGGGCGTGGAAGCTAAGAAAGCTTCCTGCAGTCCATGGTCTCCTGTGACTCATCACTCACTCTTTGGCGTCACAGTTATCTCCTAGATTGTACGCTCCTAGAGGGCAGAGTCCACTCGAACTCATGTCTGTGTCTTCCCCTTCTCTCTCCTGGCACCTGCCACAGTGCCTTGCACACGGAAACAATAAATGAGTGTTGGGTGACTAATCTGACTGTGGTGTTCTGTTGCTCTTCCAGCAGGAAGTCTCGCTGGTGTCTTCCACACAGTGGGGCAGCATGGTCAAAGCACAGCACTGTGACCGTTTTCAGCAACCATGTTGTGAACTCTTCTCACACTGTTAGGCCAGGAAAGGAGACTGCTGAGCTCAGCACTGCTCACAAGTCCTATTTTGTCAGAAATGGCTGTCCAAGTATCATGTACCTAGGTATAATCACCCCCAAAATCTAAGTAAACTTCTTACACAAAAATAGATAGGCAGCTAGGTAGAGAAGATAAATCTGAATTCTTTACTTTCTAGATCTCTGGTGCCTAAGGTTGTATTCTTTAAGCCAAATACTGTTTTGCTCTGCAGCATAACAGATTGAGTATTTTTGCAGTAGTGAAACTTCAGTTAACAAGGCACCAGTTATAAGTAGGTTTGTCAGTGAAGTCCTGCTTGTCATGAATATTCCAACAGGCAGGAGCCCTTGTTCTGCTGCTGACCGAAGGTCCCTCAAAGCTTTGGGCGAGCACAAAACTGATGCTGTTCTGCAAACCAGGGCTCTTTAGAAAATGCCCTTGGGAAGAAGCTGCTTTCACTTCTCACTGCCTCCTCTGGCTGTGCGTGTCCCCCAGCCAGCTGAGACCTCAGTGGTGGACTGTAGCGCCCTCTGCTGCATCTGTTTCTGAGCAACATGGTTTTCTCTACCAGTTCTCACTCAACTTTAGAACCTAGTCAAGATGTGTTGGCTTCAGAAATGCTAAAACTCCTCTTTCCTACTGAGATACTCTCATGAACATTAGAATCTTGTCCAAACGTGAGTCAATTTAGCAAACAGTGTAAAAGCTCACTTTCGTAAAATGTGCCTCCTGAGGGGCTGTGGATTTAGCTGAGCGGCATAAGCGTCTGCCTTGTAGGCAGTCATGAGTTCGATCCCCGGTACCGATAAAAAGGAAAAAAAGATTTAAAAAAAAATGTACCTCCTGTCATGTACCTAGCAGGCTGGGGAAAAAGTGTTTGCCACTGAGCTGCACTCCAGCCTGGCATGAGGCTTGAGGCACACAAAATCCCTGCTCCATCTCATCTTGCGTTTGCTGGTCTAGGGGAACCATGTGCTTGGGACAGAAGGCCAGCACTTGAGCAAGCAAAGTTTTGAGACAAATGCCTAACACCTGGAGTTAAAGGAGGAAAGGAGTTCATTTAACTCACAGTTTATGAAAGTTTAAATTCATAATTGCCTGGCTCCAAGGCAGGGTAGCTTGGCAGAGGGGCCTCAGAGCCTCTCTCTCTTGTATCTTATCATTAGGGCGGTGTCACACCCTTAATCCTGCCATGAATTATACTCAGCCAATCAGTGGACCAATTTAGTAATCACACACACTGAACTCAGCCCTTTCTGAAAAGCCCCACCCATGACTGCATGAGGCTTTGGGGGTATACCTACACAAAAGCCTCAACAGTTCTCATTCATTGCAACTGATAATTTTGCAGAGTGGCAGGTGCCAACACGGAATCAAGTTAGATGAGAAACCGCTTTCTGGAGCCAACTGTCTCATAGCCTGGTGTGATGGGCAGCAGCTATTCTCATAGGCCTATCAGATGTAGACGGTACCTGAGCCCCTAGCTTACAGGAAGGCAGCGTGCCTGGCGATGTCCACTGTAGAGGGGAGGCTGACTGGGGAGGTGGGGAATGGCTGTGCAGGTCTGGGAACGGATGCATTTTTAGGAGTGTAACCGGGCTAACCCACTGTGGTCGGTAATTTTCTTATTGAGTGCAATCATGTTATCTACAGTCCTCTATCTTCTCTGACCACCCTGACACAAATGACAAATGTCATTACATCTGTCATATTTTCCTGTCTCAAAACTCAGTTCATTTGTTCACACTGAGAACCAGATAAGGTCTGTATATCGTATTGGATTAATGGTTCTGAAATCTCAGTCTTTAGGTTCCTCACCTTTTCTTCCCAATTTCTTAAGCTAGGTCTGTTTGACATATTTAATCAACCTGCAGTACTCCTGATTTTGCCTTGTCCATCCTTTCTGGTGCTTCCAAACCACTCTTAACCTCCATGATTTTAAACTACATAGGGACTTACAAAATGATTTACAGATACTCAAAATTTGTTATAATGTATCACCTACCTGCTCTAAGTTTGAAGTCAGTTTTTCCATGTTAAAGGGCCACACAAGAGACCAAGGCAATACTGATTATATGGTACAGTGCCTAAAAACACGAGTTCTGAAGAATTCGGCTTGAATCTGTTCCCTCCGTTAGTAAAATGGGAACTACAGAGTGCCTGTCCCATACAGCCACCTAGTAGTCACGAAAATGCCTGTGACTCCCAGGAGCACAGATTAATGCTTGTGACTTTGCTGTCTGGGTCTGGTGTGCACAGATGTTGTGGGGTCAGATGCTTTCCACACAGATATTGCTTCTGCTTTTAACTTGTCATCTCATCTCTGCAGTAATGGGTAGTGCTGTAGTATGGTACTCAAACACGAAAAAGTGAACTGTGCCAGGTGGATATTGCACAAGTACTTGGGATGTTAAAACTCCAGATCTCTCCTTTGATCCAAAATTTTGTAAAAGCCCTGTTTGGGTCATATGCACTTCCAACCAGGATGCTTCAGCACTGAAGAGCATAGTTTTTATAAGCTGGAGTTTAGCATGTAGAAACAATAAGCAGGAGCCAGATGTGATGGTGTATGCCAGAAGCACTCCCATCTTGTCCTTGTCCCAAGTAGTGTAAGAGAAAACAGAGGAAAGCCAACTAAGGTTGGTTTGCCATCTTCACGAACATACAACAAATTTAAAAGGTCTTTCTATCCAAAACTACCAGCGCACAAGAGCCCATTCTAATGTACTCATAGGAAAGGAACAGCTACAGTTTAAAGCTTTAAGAATCGTAAGACACTTTGTTTTCTACCAGGAAGTTCACCTATCTCTTCTCTTAAATGACTTTTTGTTGGTTAGAAAATCAAAGATTGTTGATATTGTTGGGCGGAGGGTAATCAGTTTTGAAATTATGACTTCTAATTCAGAGTTTATTCCACTTAACTATGTAGTGAAGAGCTTGAGAACACTATGTACATTCATTTGAATTCTAGATACAGTCTATGGCCATCCATGACTCTTTTTTTCCTGAGGCTGTGAAAGAATCTCACATAACATGTGAGAGACTTGGGTTCAGAGTTGAATCAACTTGAACAGTGGTAAAAGAAGCCAGTAATCCACATCTAAGAGAAATTAAAATAGGATTGAAAATCTGTCCCTTGGGGCTGGGGATTTAGTTCAGTGACATAAGTGCCTGCCTGGCAAGTGTGTAGTCGTGAGTTCAATCTCTGGTACCAAAAAAAAAAAAAAAAAAAAGAAAATCTGTTCCTTGTCCTTGTTTCCCACCTTCACTACAATTACATGTTGATGTACTAGGTCAGCCATCAGAGGAGGATACTGTTTCCTATGCAGTGGGCTCACAGCCACAAAAAACAGTGGACAAGATTACTCAGTGGTGCTAAGGATGATGGAATCATTTTTGGTTGAATCTTAAAGTTTTTTCTGGAAAAAAATATCAAGTAGAAATCATTAAATGATGTACATACACATCAGTTTTTCCTTGGCTTAAAGGAGAGAGAATTAGATCATCTTTTAAAATATAACTGTGCTCTTAGATTTGTGAAAGCTGGAACATTCTTAATGGTGGTGCTGGAACATGGTCCAAGTGTAGATCAAGTCTAAATCAACTACAGCTGACATAAAAGTAGAGCCACACTGCATTTAAAGAACACAGGTGCCAACTGTGTCCTCCCTGGTGATGGTGGGTCAGAGGCACTTGCCATCCCCCGCACCATGGACCCAGCTCTCATCACCCGTCTGTCTGTGGTAGTTCAGTGAACACAGGTTTCTACATATGAACAAAGCTCTCCCATAGGGACTCATCTGATGAAGGAATTGGGATTTGCTTTTGTCATAAATACAGAAGGGAGCGTGGGTTTGGGCACACTAAATGCTTTCTCCAAGGATGGCTTTACAGAACACCTTCAAGAAAATCCTTGGAAAGCTATTAATATAATTCTACTAGTTACACACGGACCTCATTTGAAACTGGAAATACACGTTCTCAACTGATCAATACATCCAATATCCCAAAATGAAGTTCTGATGCAGTAACAATTTTAAACAAAATAAGGCAAGTAGTTTCTTTCGGAAGCAGTGTTCCTAAAGGAAACGTCCGACACTCAAGTCCACTCAAGTCCACTTGAGCCCAAGTTAAACGTGTCAGGTCAAGAGCTGCATGCCATGTATTTCAGCCAACCAAAGTACTGTACTCAGATGAATAAGATGATGTAGTACAACAAGAATCAGTTATTCATTCTGTTTATTAGACTTAAAGAAAAGGAATATGAATGACTGGTTAAGTGCTGAGCACTGACATGGAAAAAGCTTATTTAAAAAAAAAAAACCTCAGTAATGCAAATCAAAAGTTAATGTAGTTTCAAATGAACAAAAACCGCAGACATGTAATATACTACATATTTATAAAACAAGTCAACATAAAGGTGTCTTCTAAATAATTAGAACAGGTGAAAATAAATATCAGAGACCTGAAGTTTTTATAGTTTAATGAAATAATAAAGCAAAGAAATTTAAACTACTAAATATAATCTGAGGCAGTTAAAAAAAATCAAAATTTAAGAACATAATCTTTTGAAACATTTAATCAGTCCATTGCAAATAGTAATTATATACCAAAAGCTCTAAGTGTTAACTAGTTCCACCACAATGCCATGTAAATTATGACAATTCAGAAATCTTGAGATTAACACTCTGTTCTCCTTTTGATCTCTACAGCTTGGTTTGTAAGTCCCTTGGTTTGTAAGTGCTTCTGTGAGCTGTTCCCTCCCCACACACACTTTTAAAGAGGCCAATAACAGTTGTCCATCTGTGCCTAAAAATGTTAGGATTCAGTTCTAGCACAATGACCCTGACAATGTTTTAAGCTAAAGATGGGGACACAATTTCAGTCTTATAAAAATATATCAGTCTTAACCAAACCTTAAACTCAAGAGAGGGCACTTCACATGTGCACGAGACTGAGGAAGACCAACAAGAATCCGAACAGCTGTGCAAGGGCTTTTTATGAATCAAGTACACTCTCTCCCACACACACACCACACACATACACACGTTTTTATACTATTAGCTTTGTTAATCCAGGCTATCTGGATTAAGTAGATAAGGGAAAGGTTTTTACAGTTTTTGCTGTTTCAACTATAGGGCAGCTACTAAAACAATAGCTTAATACTGGAAAATTTTAATTATGTTCACCCTGTTTTTAGAAAGTGTCTAAGTGTAAATTCAAATTCACCTCTTAAAGTTAGCAGTTTATATATTAAATCAGACATGGTTTCTGAAATGTAGTAATGCTTTGAGTAGCAACCCAAGAGGAGAGTTGCTAAAGTCTAAATGAGAAATTAAACTAAATCAAAATATTTATACATTTTAGAAATGGGACAAAAAGGATATTAAGACAAATGTCTTCTTTCCTCCCCATTCAAAAGCAGCCATTCTTCTACTGTGAAAGAAAGTGACAGGGACACTTCCTGCAGATGCGCGCTAGTGACCCACGGGCAACTGACTTGCAGGAGGCAACGTCCTAGAAAAGAAAATTCCAAGACGGGGAGGGTGGAACAGAAGGGTTTTCTATTAATGTCATGGAACGCCTTAGGGGCAGAATACTCCTAATGCTAACGCTCAGCTGACTACTACTTGTGTCCTTTCAGACCCACACTGACAAACTTTTTTCTCCTAATGAGCAGGTTATTTTAATTAGGGGATGCCTTGTTCTCCCACCCCATAAAATGGGTCAATTTGTGAGGACACTGGCAAATAAAAATGTCCTCCACTAAAACTACTTACCTGGATTAATAGAACACATGTGGCCAACAGTAAGAGCAACAGAAATGTAGCTGGCATAGGTACAAAAACCAAACAGAAACCTTTTCATCCCTCCCAACTCCTACTCTAATCCTTTTCCACCACCCGCATACCAACCTCAATAGTCCCCAAATCTAGTATGTGACCATTAGCATCCAATTACGTGGAGGAAAAAGACATTTAATTTCATTCTTGCTCTAGCCCTTCATAGATAACAAAAACTTTTTTTAAGCACATGGAAATGAGCCTACTAACCTGATTTTTGGAGCCAAAAGTTCTCCACTCTATTTTGATCTATGTGCAAAAAGTATTGGTACTTTTCAATTTGACATTTGTTAATATCTTGTGGCTGACTTGGTGGTATTCTCACTCTTACTCCTATAATAATCTACAGCATTACTGCAAATTTTCAGTGATTTCTATGGGTTAGAAAATCCTATTAGGTTGTTACATCAGAAAATCCTAGGTTTCTTCATTTCTTCCACTTTTCTAGCAGTCATTGCATGGCAAATGTAGGAAACAGATGTTTACAGCAAATTGGCACAGCAAAGTACCAGTGTGTAAGAAGCTGCCAGTTAAGGTTAGGCAGATCCAGAAAGCAAACTCACCTAGCTGCTTTTGGAAACCTTTGCATAGTTGTCACTCCATTTTAACTGGAGTTACGTACTTGTAAATGTGCCTCACTTTGTGTTCCTAGCTATACTTCAGAAGTACTGTGGAAACACAGATCTGGGGGCTGGGTGCAGAAGAATCCAAGTGCTAATTTGCCCCTGAATGGGTGCAGAGCGCAGCAAGTGTTACCTGTGCCAAAGCACCCTGCAGCTACACACTGATGCCCTGAAGGGCCCAGGCCGGCATCCTGCAGTGTCCCGGAGTATGGGACAGGACATACTAACAGCCTGAGGGCACACAGGAATTAATGGTTCTAACTGTACTGAGGTAAAGAGAAGTTGCCACTTAATTGTATAGCGTTACCAATGAAGATTTTATTCAAGCTTAAAGTAAAAAGTAATTTTAGTCAAGAAAACTTAAGTACCAGATAAACGGCAACAGTTAACTTAGAAGTATCAAAAGAGGAATTGATTCTCTAAGAGGTGGTCTCTGTAAAATGGAGCTTAAAGTAGTATTTTATATACCAACTCGATAAAACAATCTGACCACGACTTATCATTTTCTCCTACTGTGGGCTTTTGCAAGAATGCCCGCTATTTTAAGGCCAAATGTGTTTTCTTTCTTTCCTTCTCCCTTCCATGACTCCCCCTTTCTCCTTGTTGTCCAATCTTTGGTTGCCCCAGGCTCCTCCCCTCAGGGGACCTGAAATACAGCCCTGTTGCGCAGTACACTTGGCTAGTCTTCGAGGGGATCTTACTCTGCGGGCATCCCCACTCCTCCTTCCTACTGCAGAGCAGGGCGGCTTCGAGGGAGAATGGACTGTACCCGGCTGTCAGGGGTTTAAAATACAACGTGCACATCAGGCTTTTGGCTTATTTTAAAGGTGAAATTCTCAAAATGAAAACATTCTTTTCCATGAAGGAAACCAGCGAGGGAAAGACTACCCACACACAGCACCATGGAGAACGAGGCTCAGTATGGCAACATCTAAAAAACCGAGGCAGAATATTCATCCAATTCATGTATCCCTGGAGGTCAGCATATTAAGGGCAACTGTGGGAAAGGACTAGGTTTTTATCCCGGCTTACGTATCTCTGTAATCTACTCAATTCTTCTAACAGTCTCATTTACCTAAGTATTACGTTCCGTATCTGATTTCTACTTTTGCTAGATCACACCAAAATGACTTTCCAAGCTGAGCACAACCTGAGACAAGCTTTTCGAAAACCTAAATTAACTACTGATCTCTCATGTTGGTGCATTTAAAATTTTCTTTTTCAAGCATGAATTTCTTCAACATCAGCTGATGTTCCATCAGAAAGGAAAATAAAGAGGGGAGCCTTTAAGGGCGACTGCACTGTGTCATGTCCTTCCGAGCACTGTCTCTGACTGTGTCTCATGTGGAATTCCAGGAGAGCATCAGTTATGCTGCACATTTAAGTTGTATAGGGAACTGTTTTTAAGCTGGTTTAGATTCCAGATGTATACAAATGAAGTCACTTTAATCCTATAAATACTTCTTAATTTATTTTTAAAAAATTGTGCTGTTAACCCTTTTACGGGGCAACAAGCTATGTGAAAAGTACAAAACTTTTTGTCAAATGTAATATTGAGAGTGCTTTTGACATAGTTCACTGGTTTGTCATCTGTATCAGTATATACTGCGCAACGGGCAAGGCTAGAATCCATGAACCAAGCTGCAAAGATCTCAAGCTAAGTAAGGCGGAAAGATTGAGAAACAAAAAGAGGAAATTCTTTCCTATCCAATGTATACTCTTCAGACTAATGCACTCTTTCTATCAAGCCTTCTAAACTGTTAAATAAAGTTTTCCAAACAAGCATTTAAACTTCATTACACAGAAGAGCAACAAGAATGGTACCCTGCCAGACAAAAGGCAGGAGGGAAAAAAATATATATACTGAGTTCAGTGGGTAAGCCTGAATGTAGCACAGTTCTTCACGACCGATGGGGGGTATTCAACATGGTGTCCAACAACGCTCTACGACGTGCTTCATCTCAACTGGTTACTATGAAGCAAGGTGGAAATGTTTGGCCCCAGTCGGGCTTCAGAAATGGTTCTTTTTTCATGACGAGCATGTCTGTCCAGCTATCAATCATGTTTGTTTGCACCAAATCCCAAGCCATTAAAATACGACTAATTTTAAGTTAAACAGATGTCGTGGGCTCCAAATTCGCCATCAACTATCCATGCTACTGCATTCCTCTGGGCGAAGACGAGATGAGATGTACATGGGGAAAGAGGAAGGAGAGAGCGAGAAAACAAGTTACCAGTTAGCTTAAGAATGACTATAAACAAAAGTTCCTTGATATTTTCATCAAAATAATCCAACAACATATCCACCTCACTGTTAGGCTATACATTATAAACTCATGACTGTTTTGAATATTAGAGAAATGAGTGAATATCTATGTTAGAATTCAGTATTTTTAAAAATAACCTTGAAATTACATAGAATCAGAAAATCTTTATGACATTTTACAACAAAAAAGAGGAAAGAAACATCTGGTGGCCCAAGGCAGAACTGTGTGTTACAACTATGTATTTATTTCATAACCGCTGAGGTGAAACTCCACATCCTCACCCTACTCAGTATAAAGGGTGCAGCAGCAGCTTCACAATTTACAGTCCATGTACGTCCAATGACGTGCTTAGAAAGCCCATGGGGACAATCTTTTTTTTTTGAAACAAGGTCTCGCTGTGTAGCCCAGTCTGGCCTCAAACTAGTAGTCACCCTCCTGCTTCAGCCTATTGAGTGCTGGGATTACAGGATGAACCATCACACCTGATTTACACCCAAGGTTTTAGTACATGCACAGGGTTTATACCACCACAAGCACAATTAACCTTAGGGCGCATTCATCACCACCCCCCAACCCTGAGAAACCACCCATCCACCCAGGGTCCTTGGAGTTGCCTATTTCAGACCACAGCATTTACGTGTGCCCTCTTAAACACTAGCATGTGGGTCCCAGGCTCCTCTACTACTCGATCATTCTCCATTTCAACAGAGCAACAAATGAACAACCCATCCTTCCCCCATTACAAAAGGTCAGCAAATTCACCTAAAATACAGCTGTCAAGTAAACATTTAAATGGCTTCTGCTTGCCTACCATGGGCGAGGCCTTGGGGTCAATCCCCAGTACCACAAATGAAACAGAAGTTTTCCAGGCAAGGAGAAAAAACCCACCCAGAAAACATCCCAACACGAGAGCCATTTTCACTGCAGCACAGCAGGGATGCTGCCCCAACACAGCTAAGACTGCCTACTGTTACCAAATCTGAGTTTCTGAAGGAGTAACTGCTTAGCAACTCAGAAAACCAAAAAAGCAGGTAAGCACAGAGACTAGGCCTCAAAACTCAAACAGGAAATCAAAGATTTCTGGTCTTTGCTCATATCCAAAAGTGAAAGAAAGTCAAAATCAATACTATGGACTTCTTAGTCATGAACACTACCCTGACATGGCCTCTGCTGAGCTCTAAAAGCAGTTATTCACCCTTGCTTACTGAACTACTTAGAACACTGAAGAAAGTCTGATTATCTGTTTCTAGGCAAATTACTTCCCTCTGAGCAAACTGAACATTTTGCTTCTGATAAAGATGAATCACTTAACGTGTAATTTCTCATTATCTCTTTTCTAGTACTAATACTATGTTCAACTAAGTTTTTTTTTGGTGTTTGAGATAGGGTCTAGGTAGCCCAGGTTGGGCTTGAACTTACAGCAATTCTCCTGCCTCAGCCTTGAGTGGAGGGATTACAGGTACATGCAAGCTTGTCCAGCTCTTTTTTGGTTTTTGTTTTATTTTTGCTTATTTATTTATTGGAAATAGACTCACTGTGTAGATCAGGCTGGCCAACAGTCCTGTTTCCAGCCTCCAAAGTGCTGCGATTACAGGCATGTGCCACCACACCTGGCTATTTCTGGAAGTTTTTTTAAAAACAAGGTGTATGTATATTCCAGGCTGACCTCAAACTCAGATCCTCTTGCTTCAGCCTCCCAAGTGCTGGAGATTACAGGTCTGTGTGCCACCTACTGTTTAAGATTTGTCTTTATAATGGTTATTTTTGCATTTTGGACTTTCTTCATGTACAAGTATCTTAAAAGTAATGGGGATAAAACTTTCAGACCTTAAACAGAAATTCTGGCAGCACTCAATAAATAAATTAAGTTAGACTTGCACTGATTTCTTTGCCTGTAAAAATGAGGGTAAGAGTTTTTTCCTACAGAACATCTATACTAGATGATGTAGATAGCAAACCCTAGATATATGGTCAATTTTAGGATTCTTCTTTCCCTACCCATCAAGCAGAGCTCACGTCAGCATGCTACATGGCATTAACATACATGTGTGTTCCACAGAGCTACCTTGCCACCCCTTATTTTTGTAACCAGGTTTTGCCAAGTTGTCCTGGTGGGACTAGAACTTGCAATCCTCCTGCCTCAGCCTCCCGAGCACTGCAATTACAGGTGTGTGCCATCACACCTCTCTTCCATGTTTTGTGTATTTAGCGGTACTGGGGGCTAAAGCTAGGTCTTTAGCACTAAGCTACATCCCCAGCCCCCTCCTGTTTTTTCTAAAATTGTGAGATAGGATGTGGGTAAGCTGCTCAGGTTGGGCTCAAACTTGTGATCCTCCTGCCTCCCCAGGCTATGCACTATACTTAGGCAGCAAGACGAAGACGATTTTTGGCTAAGGTAGCATGCGCTGCCTTCCTCTCCGCCCCCAACAGGCCCTCCTGCACACTCCAGTTTCTCACATCGCTTCTGCGGAGGGCAACAGGGCACACCAGGTGGCTGTGTCATGTCCCGCACTCTGCCTGGCTACCATTTATGGAAAACACCGCTTCTTCACATCAAGCAAGGCCACCTGTTACATGGCTGAAGCACAGGGACCCTGGGATACGTTACCTTCGATATTCTGGTGGTCTAGAAAGGGGGCAGGCCCCCATATCCTAACAGTGCCGTCGTCGGAAGCGCTGGCCATCATGAATGGGATCTGTGGGTTCCAGCTCACGCAGTTCACCGTGCGCGTGTGCCCTGTCAGCTCCGCGATCGGCAGTTCACTACGTTTGTGCCAGATGTAGACCTTGTGATCTGAAGACACAGTGATTCGAGGAGAAGTTAAGGGAACTGTTTACAGAACCATCACTTACTAGAGAAGGGCAAGGCATCCAAATCCAATGAAGATTATCGCTAACCCTGCCCTGGACGGGCTCCAGGCACTGAGGTCTTTACCCTCACGACTGTCTGGAGGGGCACTGTGCTTATCTCACCTGAGCAGGTGAGTGACCTGCTCGTGGTTAAAAGGTTCAAGTCTGGCAAACCTATTCAAGAGCTGCTGACCAAATCCAGACAACAGTCTCTTATTCATGCCCCATGTAAAGCTTTATAAAAGCTTTATAAAAGACTATAGTGATTAAAAAAAACCCAAAAAACCCAGAACAAGATTCCCCCCAGGTATAAGTATGTTATTCTGATCTTAGCTTCTTTGAAGGCTGAGGCAGAAGGAGGCAAGTTGGATGCTAGTCTGGGCAAACTTAGCAAGATCTTACCTCAAAAATAAGAAAGGGGACACAGTTCTATGTACTTCAGCAGCAGAACATCCCTGAGATCCATCCCTACTACTGGGGGTGCAGGACACACATACACGTTCCTCTGTTTGTTATAAGCTAATCTAAAACAAAACCCAAACAACAAAACTACAAATCCTAGTTGAACATCTGGGCCCTGCAAGCAGACCACCCAAGCCCTGGCTTGTACCACTGACTGCTGACACAGTCCTGTCTGGCCCCCTGGGCTGTGAGTGGGCCCATCTACCTCCTCTTGTTAACAGGGCTGCTTAAGTATGTGTGCAAAGCAGCGTTCTGAACAGAGCAAAGCCCCTGCATTACTGGAAAGAGAGTTAAGTACAAGTGCCGGTCCAGGGTGGACTCAAAGGTCTTTACACGGACAATGACGGCTGGCTGGGCAGATCGGTGTGGACGCTCCTGGGTGCGCTGCCGAGGGAGCTTCACAGAGAATGGGCCCTTACTTACAATGTAAGAGAAAAAGTCAGCTATATGATTTTTTTCTGGTTTTACTTTTTTTTGTGAAGTAAAAGGTAAAAAGCACAATTTGAAGAACTGAGTATATCTTTTTTAGAAGGAATTTGTTGCTTTTGAAAATTTCTTTGCATAAAATGAAATTGGGGGAAAAAGGCATATTGGTGCGTTTCTTCATGAATTAAAGTCAATGAAGGACAAAGAGGCAATTGAAACATGTTACTTTTGGAGGAAAATGCTCTTGTGAACGCACATGAAGGGAGAGTATTTGCTAAAGAGGCAGCAAAAGTAGGATCTGAGGTAGTCAAGGTCAGATTTACTTCTGTTGCTAAACTCAGCCTGAGAAATCCACTATTTACCCAAAGATAAAAAGTAAGTCTAGTTTTCCTGTAAATTACAGCACAATGAAAAAGCCTGAATAATACAACTTTTCTAGAGAAAAGGTTCCCAGTTGTAAATCCACCAGAAAAAGGATTGATAGCAGCACAAGGGAAGAGACTGTAGAACAGGAGGGACTAAATTGTAGGTAAAAGATCTAATGTATTCAAAACACTGATAATGTCAATTGCAAGCCAGGCATGGTAGCCCACCCCTGTAATCCCAGTGCTCAGGAGTCCCAGGCAAGAGGATAGAGGGTTTCAAGTTCAAGGCCAGCCTGAGTGACACTGCATGTTCAAGAGTGACCTGGACTATACAGTGGACCTTCTCTCAAAAACAAAACAACAACCACAACAAAAAATAAGTCAACTAGAAATCAATGAAGAGTCTAGAAGACTGTAACATGATCAGAAAAGTCAAAAAAGTCTGACTTATAACTACTACTGATTTGTGACAAAAAGGAATACTCAAATCAGGCAATTAGTAGTGTACAGGATAAATAACTGCGAATTTTTAGTAATCCCAATTTGCCTGGAGATATGACTATCTTTAGAAACTGAGAACTATAGAACTTTAAGTTCATCAACCTATGGGAACTCAATTGTAGGGACAAACTCACCTTCACTCCCACTTGCGATGAAGTCTTCATTATGGCCTCCAAAACATGAATGAATTGTGTAAAACCCTTGTGTAACACCTTGATACTTTCTTACTAAAACTCTGTCTTGCAAGTCCCATAAATGAACTCCCTGCAGGTAAAAGAGAATACAAGTATTTATTTTATCCTCAAACAACTTTTAGAAGTAACTTTTGCCTGATAGAACAATTTTTTATTTATTCAAAATACTAATATTCTAGTAAGTTGTAATATCCCAGTAAGTTATTTATGTAAAACACTAATATTTTACATAATTAGGATAAAATAAATGCAATAAAATTTAATAAGTAGAATGTTTCTTTGTATACTTCAAATCGTAATTAAAATCTGTACTAAGGTAAATTTTTCTGAAAATTTTAGTAAACATACCTGAGTTGCTACATTTAACAAAGCTAATCGGCCATTTTTTGAAATGGTAAAAGACATAATAGGATGATCTTCTTGTACTCTGAAACCAGAAAATAATTTGTCAAAAACAAAAATTAAGGAGTTAAGATAGTAAAATTTACCAGGATATACAGCATAAGTACAACTCTGCCTGCAATCATTATTATACACTATAATGCAATTAAGAATTGAGTTAATGAGTTTTTTAAACTTTTTTTTTTTTTGCAACTGGTTTTCACTGTGTAGTCCAGGCTGGCCTTGAACTCACTATGTAGCCTAGGCTGGCCTTGACCTCATGGTCATTCTCCTGCCTCGGCCTCCTGAGTCTCAGGATAAAAGGCACATGCTATCTCATTTGGCTGAGTTAATGATCAATACCACACTTCGTTATCAACCAAAATTACCAAGCAATTAAATCAAAACCAAAACATTAACAACAAAAACAAACAAAAAAACCCCCCAATTCTTCTGAAACCCTACCACATACACATTCTAATATAACTGTTGCTGAATGGAAGCACAGGGTAGTTACATGTTCCTATCTGTAAGGTCCTCGAAGTTGTACCCCCGAATCCGCTGATGTGTGTCGGACGCCAGGACTGTCTTTCCATCACTCAGGCACCAAAGGCATTGCACACGCACTCCTTCCCAGGAGTCCAGGAGGTTTCCGTCCAAATCCTGAGCGCAGAAAACCACGATAAGCCTTTACAGCAGGGCCCACACTTACTGCATCTTCGGCCAGCAGCTTTTAGAAACGGGACTGTTGTTAACTGCCAGAATTTGAATATGGGTCAAGCTTTGGGATATCTGAAGGAGGGCTAGAAGACCTTCCATAAATCCATCTTCCTTCAATAATAACCCAAAACGCATAAATAAAAAATACGCACAATATTTTTAGGTTCTGAATCTAAATTCATGTAAGGTCTCAATTTTAATAGAAAATAATTCAAACGTTCCTTGAAAATTGTAGTTAGCCCTCCTCATCTTATGCATTGAGCACCCATGGGTCAACCAAGCACAAAAAGGAGACCACACCTGAACACTTCCTTGTCATTACTTCCTAGACACACAGCATCACATCTACTTACACAGCACCTACATTATTTTAATTAAGTCCTACAGAAAAGCTCGAGGTGATTTAAAGCATGTTAGGAAGATGTACAGAGGTTTCACAGGAGGCCTGGAGCTTGCACACTCTTGGATCTGAGGAGGTTCTGGAACCAGTGCTCACAGACACAGAGGGTGACTGTGCTGGGATCTATCCCATCACATTCAGAAGCTGTGATAAGAAAGATGGTTATTAAGACACAGCTTTACCTACAACTTAAGGAATCTTGAATGTTCAAAGCTCTGAGAGGCATTGGAATTCCCATTTCACAGATTACCAAGAATTATCAAATTCTGTGTCCTGAAAGTGTAAATGCTTTATGAGGAAAGAGTCTAGAGGAACTTATACAGCTATTTGGTGCCTAGAAAATACACTAAATTCTGCTAGTCTCAAGCCAGCTTCATAAAAGGAACTGATAACTTGTTACATAAAAGCTGTTTACAGTAAGTAATCTTAGTTATAGTAAATAACATCTTTAGTCTTAAACAGACATCCAAGACAGGAACAGAGGATTCAAACAACAGTAAAGACACTGATTACATCAGTATCATGACTGGTCCAGTCACAGAAATTTCAACATGTGTTTTTTCCGGCTGTCCAGGGGCTCTAACCATGAGCCACATCACTAGTCCTTTGGCTGGGTGTGGCCACCACTTTTATTCCTTAATATTTAAAATAGTCTATTCATAAAACTTGGCATTTCTTTTGTTACAAAAATTCAAATGGCTAAAAAAAATCTAAAAAAAATTAATACTAAATCTTTCCTATAAATTAGAAACAATTTTGTTTTTCTAACCTCAAGATGTTTATTTTATACAAACATTTGACATGGTTAAAAAATGTGTATCTGACAAACATTTGAACTGCTTAAGGATGAAAGAAGGAAATTCTAGCCGACAGTTTATACATGAGGACAGTAAAGCAGCTACTGACATTTTTGTTTTTTGTTTTTGAGACAGGGTCTTGCTAGGAGTGCTGGCTAGCCCTGAAATCACCATATAGCCCAGGCGGGCCTCCAACTGGTATCTTCTTCCTGCCTCAGCCTCCCAAGGCTTGGCACTACAGATGCGTGCCCAAAGATACTGAGTCAATGCATTTTTTATTAAAAAACAAAACCTAAATTTTCTTTTCTTCAAGCGGACACTGGGGAGGGGCTTGCACACTCACACACTGATAGAACTGCCCACGCTGACCACCCGTCACAAAGCGTTTTCCATCAGGATTCCAAGCCACACTTGTTAAACTGTCTTCATGAGACTGGCTCATTTTCGTCCGTAGTTCTCCCGTCTACGAGGAAATAAAACCATGGGTAAGACCTTCAAGATGCCCTCTAAAGTAAGTATATAAAGAAAGAGAAACAATGTGCTGGTAACAAAGAAAAAAAGAAAAAAAAATTGGGATATCTGGTTAGTTTGGTAATTGTAATCAGAGAAAATGAATTGTTTTAATTGACCTTGCCAAAGAGAAAAAGAAAAAACCAAAAAACCATCAAAACCCAGTAACGTTCAGAAGAGAATTAAGGACTTGAAGGAAAAGCCAGAAGCTAAACAATGCCTACAGAAAAATGGCCCCAAGGGTACACATGATGAGGTGAATGTCAATAAACTGCTTGTCTGGAGCCGATTACATTCATAAAGTAAAACATCATTTTTCTCAAGTGAGATAATGAAAAGCTTAACACTACACACCCAATGCTGAGTTACCTTTCTCAGTCCAAAGCTGTTTATAAATTGTACCCTAAACCTGTAGTCAACACAATCAGTGGTTTCTTAAACCACATGGTGACCAGTCTACACACCCCAAATACTCACCACCCACTGAGGGAGATGGGAAGGCACAAAGAGACATGAGCTTTCTAATACATAACTTTTTTTGTTTTCTTTTTGGTCAAAAGTAGCAAAAGAAAAGAGCACAGCCATTCTACATTATTTCCAGCTAAGCAAGAATAGTTAGTAATTATATCCCTCCAATATCCTCCTGTTATGCTGGCTAACTTACTCAATGTAGGAGGTACACACTTGGTTCCATTTTGTTCGGGGATCAGATACAGGATTTGAGAGATAATAGTTGCCTTTGGTATGATAAAAAAGTACATGGTGTAATTTTCCTGTGATTAATGGGTAAGCAAAAGTAAAAATAAAAGTGAAAACAAAGGATATGATTAGGAACTGGGGCAGAGCAATAAAGGTGCAGAGGTCACAAAGCAGAAAATCAGACACCCCCTTTTCACTTTAAAAAACTTCAGCAATTTAGGTATTTCCATAAACTTAGAGCTATTCACTTATTGACCTTTTGATCACTTGACAAATAAGAGTTAAACATTTAAAAGCACAAACATACAAGTAACAGATAAATCTTTGGCATTTCCCATTCACACATGTTAACACACCAAGTTTTGAAAGCAGAAATAGTTGTTTATTTTGCTCAGAATAGTAAGTGTGCCATAAAGATATCAGATTACTGCAAACTATCTAAAACCGCAAAGAAATAATTTGAAAACTGATTTTAAAAGACTATGCTTTTAGAAGAAGTCTAAATAAATAAGGGAAGCAAATAAAAGTTACTCTACAACATAAATTGTCCAAGAATCCAACAGCAACTGAAAGAAAGACCACAGAGGTGCTGCAGATTTTCTTTCTTTTCTTTTTTTAATCGGTACCGAGGATCGAACTCATGACCGCCTGCTTGCAAGGCAGGTACTTATGCCGCTGAGCTAAATCCCAGATTTTCTTTTATATGATTAAGACTACACATTTTCTCCCACTGAAGAGGAAAAATAATTATTCTGTGTTTTAAGTCACATTCACTTCAAACTCTGTTTTAGTGAGAGAAGGCTGTTTATTCTGTTCCATATTTTGTGCCTCCCTGACCCAATCACAAATAAAACACTAATTGTGAGCTTGATAAAAATGGCATAAAAGACATTTTGGGAATAACTGGAGATTGTGGTTATGAAATGAATATTAAGAGATTACAATGCTCTTCAATATATTGTTGTTATGTAGGACAATATCTTTAAAAAAGTACATGAGTATTTAGAGATAAAATATATCTAATTTACTTTTAAATGTTTTCGATATGAGTGCATATAAACACATAAGTATATATGCATGTTTGCATGTTTCTATGCATGAGAAAGATAAAATGTTAGCAACTGTCAAATCTATGATAAGCACAGTCTTTCAACTTCATAAAAATGCTCAATACAAAGCTGGGGTTGAAATGTAAGCACGTGCCTGAGAAGGAAATGCTACTATTGCAATGGCTGAATTAGAATCACGTCATTCCATTTTTCAAGTGCATCTTATTATGTTTTTCTATACCATCTTCATTCAAGTCACTTCTGTGGAGTTTTCAGTGAAAGGGATTTAACTGAACACCTTCACACTAAGCTATACCCCTAGGCCCTTTTCATTTTTTTTCCTTCTTTAATTTTGAGATAGGGTTTTACTAAATTACCCAGACCCTGTTCAAATGTCCGCTCCTCCTCACTTTCCCAGAGCACTGGGATCGCAGGTGTGTGCCACCACTTGTGGCTTTGTTTTTATTTTAAAGGTCCTCAGACTCAAAATCGTATCTTCGCAAGCTATGTATTTATAGTCAAGCCACAGCCAAACTATCCCTCGCCAAGGAGTTAAAAAAACAAAAATCATCACCAACCTAGTCAGCTTAAAAAAATTGACCTTTTTAAAAAAAATTGTTATCTGCAGGGATTTTAAAACGTAAATAATTGAGTAAGCCCAATGCTGAGTTCTTCTAAAAAGGAACCCTGGAGAAACCCTCAAGTTTTCATGTAGAAACAATAAAACATAATAAACAACCAACTAAAAGCTTTCAAAAAAACAAGTGCTGAAAGCATCATTTTGCTTTACTAATGTAGCTCAGAATATCAAATGCAGGTAAGAATATGATGCAACTGCCACTTGAATGGCAATTGTAGCATCATGCTAATACAACTGTGAAACTATGGAACAACAAAATCTTAGTTCTGAGGCACACAGGAAACTGCAAATTTGACAGGACAAAACAAAACATCCTGAAAATGCTTACTCATCATTTATAAACCTGGACACCTTGAGTTCCACTTGAAGAACTTTCTTTTACAAAAAAAATACCAGGTAGGAACTCAGGTCTACTGTATTACAACTGCCTGCTGAAAGGCTGCATCAGCAAGGATGGGGCTCACTCACTTGTACATTCCAAAGCCAAAGCTCTGAGCAGTCATCTGGGCCACAAGCAACAAGATAGTTGTCGTCTGGACTCCATGCAATGTACGAAACACCATAAGCATGTCCTTCTAATGTTTTAAGCAGTTTTAGCAGGTGTGTATCCTGAAAGAGGAAACAGACAACTCAGCACCTATCTCTCAAAATCACTGGCTTCTGGTATAAGAATGTAAGCAGCTATTAAGATGTCCTTTGATAATGTAAAATAATCCAAGGACATTTTTACATCAATTTTCTCTGATAAACCTCACACTGCTTCATAAAGATTCACTCACATTTTCACACTTATCAACCATCTCTGATATTGAGGTCACTGTGTGCTAGATGGCATATACAGATGACCCAGAATTTGCCAAGAGATGTACAAGGGAACAGAAAGCAGAAAGGTGTAACAACTCTTGTTATTTAACAGCTTCAGTGAGACACAACATAAAATTCATCTTTACAGAGTGTACAACTTAATGGTTTCAGCATACCCATAGCTGAATAACCATCACCACTATGATTTTCTAACTTTAAAAAAAAAATCATTTTTCCTCCAAAATCCCATACCCAGTAGCAGCCACTCATGTGAGGCTCCTGGCAACCACTACTTTACGCTTCTATGGATATGCCTATTCTGGACGTGTTATACAAATGTAACTATACAGGATCTGCATACATCTGCAGTCTCCTTGCTTCTTTTGTAAGTGTAAAGTTTTGAAGGTTCATCCAGGCTGTGGGATATCATTTTTACTGCTGAATGATATTCTATTTTACAGATACACTATATTTTGTTTATCCATTCATTAGGTGATAAATATTTGGTCTCTACTTTTTGACATTAAGCCCAGATAGCTAGGATTACGTATTTTTGTGCTGAGGTATGGTTTTATTTCTCTCACACACAGCCATAAGGAAACACTTAGTAAAGCACATGTCTGACACTGTCATATTTCTTTTCAGAGACCTCATACATAAGAGAATAAAAATAGAATCCCTTTTGAATAGACTTCAAGCCGGGGATTTAGCTCAGCTGCATAAGCCTCCTGCCTGGCAAGTACAAGGTCATGAGTTCAATCCCAGTACCAAAAAAACAAAAACAAAAAGAATTCAAAGACCAGCCCTACTTCCTACTCTACTGATCTCATTCTTGTTTTGAGGGGATAGGAGAGCAGGAGATGCTCCCTTTCTACTTAAAACACCCTTTTCCTGTCTCCACCCAACTGACATACAGCATGGCTGGAATAAAGCACTTATCTGTGAGGCTCCCCATTTCCAAAACATGCTGATATGTGCAAACATACACACTTTCTCTCTCTCACACACACACATGGTAATGCTCACAATACTGCACTTCATTTCCCTTTCTAAACTGCACAACCCTTTTGCAGAGGTTCTTAACCTAAAGCTAGGAGAAGTGGTCTAGGGATAAAATCAGGGTCCTTGAACTTAAATGGGAAAAGGTTACATCTCTATTTCTTTAACCACAGCCTAAAATTTGGTTATTTCTTTTGATCTTGAACACAAAGTAGTACTATATACTTTATTAGGACAGTTAAGTCTATAAACTATTTAGAATTATGTAACTCTTGATAGAAACTGCAAATATTTTCACAACGCATTAGAGTTGTTACTAGTATTTGGTATTGTATGTGTGTGCCCATTCCTAAATCAAAGTTCTGACTCTACATTTGCTGTTAGAATATATATTTTATTGTGTTAATACAGTAGTATCTTTATTTTATACTATGTTGGTAACTATCTGAAACATCTAACATGTACCTAGGCTTGCTGTGTTGTCTTGGTTTATGCATTTAAAATATTCTGAGAGCATTCACAGGTTTGTCAAACTGCCAAAGTGTATGACACAAAAAAAGTACACAAGTTTCATTGGCCAATGAAAAACAGATCTTGTTTCCTTTCATCCTTTGTGGCGCACAGGTATGCAGAGATTGCTGGAGGCTATCGAAACTCAATTCTCTTCTTTGTAAAAATATTTCTCCTATGGCTCCTTTTCTCTTATTCATGGGAGTCCCAAATGTCAGTTATTCTGGACTAATATATTTTAATTCTGACATGCTGCTGAAGCGAGCACTATATTTTAATTCTAAACTCTATAAAAAAGTTTATTGACTTCATGATCTCAGATGAATGTCTCCCAAACATCAAATGTGGCCTCTTAAATGTATGTGGAGTCAAGTCATTCTCTGAATACTACATAAAGGCTAAAGTGGTTGAAAAAAAGGAAAATGCTATTTCTACAAATCTGTAGTTACTGGCTATAAACAAAGATAAATGTAATTCTGAAAGACTTAGAGGATTTTAAATCCAGAATCCAATAAATTTCATTTGTATCACTGGGGAAAAACGGGGTCGACCCAAGTTCTGCAGGGCAGCAATAGGCTTTAGAAGGTACAGTGTAATGGGTCTCTTTTAAGCTGGGACAGAATGGGCATGCAGAGCCTGGAAGGTAAGTATTAACAAACTACAGATTGGCACAGATGTCAATTTCAGTGGTTTTGTTGTCAAAATGTTTCTTGAGTCAAACTCTGCAATTTACCAGCTTTGAAAGGCAGGGCATACAACTTCTACATGTTTCCTTGTCTAAAAACAGGACATCATAGTTACTAGGAGGATTAAGATTACACATACTGTCTTGGTATGATCACTAATACATAACACTCAACAATTTTGAAATTCATCTACATATATTATCTAAACAACAGTCACTTCCCTTCACAACTGAAACATGCATACTGGGGTACATACCGGATCAACTTGCCATATGATAACTGTTGTGTCTTTCGAACCTGTTGCTAGTTTAGTGCCATCATTAGAGAATTTACAGAACCATACTTCATTACAATGCTCCGTGAGTATCTGCTGAGTGTAACAGGGGAACTGCCTCCTAAAACAAAGAAACCCACACATAATTATTCTTCCAAAATGGATCAGCCTAACAAGGAAAAATGTCAAACTGATAAATTTCTGCGGTTATGTCATCGCAAACTTCAAAAGCAGAATATAAATGCATTTGTAAGCCCTAACAAGTTTAGACTGCTACACTGAAAAATAAAACACTGTAATAACATGAGGTATTTTTTTGGTCAAGGTAACTTAGTGGAAATCAGTAATCTAAAATCTACTTCAACTTAAAATTTACTCTTTTTCCACTTTCTGAAGATTACTTGGTCTGATTAAGCCAATCCATATATAGCACTAGTTGGCTGTTCTAGAAGGAATGAGGAATAATGTAACATTTTCAATTATATAAAATCCAGGTAAGCTCTTTTTTTTTTTTTTTTTTAAATCAGTACCAGGGATTGAACTCACGACCACGCACTTGCAAGGCAGGTGCTTATGCCACTAAGCTAAATCCCCAGCCCCTAGGTAAGCTCTTATTAAAAAAGCAACTTGGAACAACACATAAAGAATAGGCACTGAAGCTCAAAAGTGAATCTGGGTCTTTCCTCAGGCTTAAGTGTTAGCATCTCTGGCAAGCCATGTACCTTCTCTCTTTGAACGCCAGTTCCATCATCTGTAAAGACTTCTGGATTCTTATGAGGATTGGAAAGGCATTTAAAACCCCTGAACTCAACAGATACTCAAATATATTCCTGGTAATTCTGGGAACACACAGGAGAAATGCATGCATGACTGGGGAAACTGCTATTAAGTGTGCGGCCAAAGGAGGTCAGAAGCAGAGCCTGACTTAGGTTCAAATCATAGCTCAGCCACTGAGCACATGTGATTTGCAGTATTTACTTAATTGCTCCATTTTTCCAACTACAAACTCACAACTGGTGTACAGCCTACAGGATGCCTTCTACAGGATGACGAGGGTACAGGATGCTAAGGCATGCAGATTGAATCTACCACAGCGCTTCATAAATGCAAAGGATTTACACACAAAGGGCAAAGAATTCTATGATTTATACTTAAGACTATCAAGATAAAGTTACTTGTATAATTGAGCATTCTTATTAAGTACTCAACTTTTAAAATCATTCTACCATTCTCCAATCAGGCCATCAGCACTATCGCACAGGAATTTCTGTGACAGGAGAAATGCTAGGTCCACTGCTGTCCCATGGTAGTCGAGTTCCACGTGGCCACTGAACAACCTCAAACATGATCTGTGCCCCCAAACTAGACTGATTTCACTTGAATTATCACACATTTACATTTAAGTGGCCACATGTAGCCAGCGTCTTCTGTTTGAACCCTACAGAGCTATACAGTTTAATCATTTAATCCAGGAATCTGAAATGGTCCAAAATCTGGACTTTTTGAGGACCAAACAAATATCTCAAGTGGATAATCCCAAACATAAAACTGGTTACAATCAAAATGTAGGCACACTCGAAATATTATATAAAATTACTTTCAGATGATGTGCATAAAGCAACTGTGAAACGTAAGTGAATTTTGTGCTGAGTCTCAAGTCTCATTCCCAAGATGTTCCATAATGTATATTAAAATATTCCAAAATTTCAAACATTTCTGGCCTCAAGCATTTCGGATAAGGGATACACAACTTGTATCATAAATTTGCCATAAGAAAAATTTATTTAAAGGCCAATAGCTACACTTTCGGGAGGCTGACGGAAGATTTCTGAGCCTAGGAGTTGAAGTCCAGCCTAGGCAACATAGCAAGCTCCCATCTCTGTCCATAGCACCCACATACAAGCATCTTGCCAGTTTACCAGTTTAACAGGTAATATGTATTTTTTTAAAATTACCATTCTTTACCTGGCACATATGGCAATTTATCTTAACAGTTGGCTATCTGGAGTTTTAAAACTTTCAGGTTCCTTAACTGTACATGGCTTTTATATTAAACTATTATTATATTCTGAACTGAAATAGTACCAGCTAGCATTATTAGCATTTGGTAGGTACAAAGCACTGTGTGTGATACTTTACATACTCTCAAACTACCCACAGTAAGAGACAGTCTATCATTTCATTTTGAAGGAGATAATTAATTTATAAGATATCATAAAGCTAGGGGCTGGGGATTTAGCTCAGCGGCCATAAGCGCCTGCCTTGCAAGCAGGCAGTCGTGAGTTTGATCCCCGGTACCAATAAAAAGGAAAAAGACAAAAAAAAAAAAAAAAGGATATCATAAAGCTGTTAAGTAACTGAACTACAATTTGAACAATGATAGACTCCAAAGCCAGACTTCTAAGGGTCATTTTAAATATTTTTCAAAGACTAGAAAAACATCTAGTTAAATAATCTGAATGGTTCAAGTTGACTGAGAATAAAAATATTACCCAAAGTTAGGCTAGAATAGTTATCTTTTCTGATTCATAATAAAAATTATAGAGCATAAATCATGCCTAGTTTATTGACAATTCAAATAGTAATAAAAGCAGGAAAAAAAGGTCTTTTTTTGGGCTGGGGATTTAGCTCAGTGGTTCAAGCGCTCATCTAGTTAAGTACGAGACTCTGAGTTCAGTACCAAATACCAAAAAAAAAAGTTATTTTTTGGTGGTGCATGCCTATAATCCCAGCACCTGGGAGGCTGAGGCAGGTGGATTCCCAAGAGTTTGAGGCCAGCCTGGGTTTTAGTGAATTCGAGGCCAGAATTGACTACAGAGCAAAAAATTGCCCCGAAAGTCATTTTTATCATTAAGTAATCTCTTAAGTAAGACTAATGGTCCAATTTACTAAAAGCCTAGTTTTATATTTATGTAAGTAATATATGGCCTTGCTTTCAAATACACTTAAATTTTTAAGATGGTACTTAAAAATAGTCTCCTTGAAATAAGACTGAGCAGCATTTAAAACAAACTGAATCTTTAAGTTGTAAGCATCTATAAATATGTCAGAATAATTATTTACTAAAAAAATTAGTATTTCTCAAGTCTACTTATGGAAATGTCCAAAGTAGTTTTTTTAAAAAAACTAATTTAAATAATTTGTTCTTTAATGGACAAAAATGTGTACCCTGTTAAAAAACATAAATTATATATAATCTAATGTAGATTTTTCAGTGTTGATCCTTTTTTTATAAATCCTAACTCAAATATTCTAATTATACTCTGAAGACAGAATAAAGCTAGTAATTAGGTTTCAATGCTAAAATTTAATATCAGAAAACACTGTAGTTTTCTATGTTAAATGTTAAACTCTAGTTCTCAGGTGAGGGTACAGGTAATAAAAACCACCAACCTTTGTTTTAAAGACCTCTAACTGAGTAATAGGAATTAAATCAAATTCAGGTTCTGTTCCTCCAGGCCAGCACTCTGAAGGTACCGGAGACACCCTTCCTGATTCACTCTTCCGTGTCTTTAAATCAAACTCTGGTTCTCTGGCTTGGAAAGAGTAGATCTTCACTCAAGAGAATTCAAGAGGAAAAGCAGACTCAGCAGGCACATGAGACGGAGAAACTTTGCCTTAGACATGCTGCATTCAGCAGGTACTCAATCCAAATCATGATGCAGTGACTCCAGCCCATCTCCTGGAGTCACTGCACGCACAGAAGCATCAGACAAGAAGGGAAGACACGCAATTCTGGAATATGCACTGACAAAACGGGCAGGTAAAGAGGAGGACCCTCAGGGGCAGCTGGGAGGATGAACAAGCATCTGATACGTTCTCAGTGACTCCGTGGCACAGGAAGCTCACAGCAGTGCTGTGAAGCACCCAGCGACAGGCTGCTCTCACCAGCGTCAGCTCTGTCAGCCTCACGAGCTTTAAGACTGTACGGACCGGGGAGAGGGAAGGAAGGATGTAGAAGCTGCGAGTGTATAGTGGGCAATTCCTTTAACAAGTCAGCTCTAACGCAGGAGGTACAAGAAAGTGTTTTGTTTTCCTTTAGAAGACCTTCAAATCAATGTGCTGCACACATGTACAAAAATAAACAAACAAACTACTTGGCCTTTACAGTGTGTTCTACATGAGTTTACAAGACCTGGTCCCTGATCTGAAGGAAAAAGCTAAGCTAAATATTTGCCACCACTTAGTTTCACAAGTACTGCTACTGTAAAGCACTAAGGGATAACACACATCACATTCCTACAGATTTCAGTTTCCAAATAGGAAGGAACCTCGTACCCTTGACACCTTTGAACATAAAGTTTTGGTCATTACCTTTCAACACATATCTTAACAGCAGTGAATTTATAAACCAAAAGAACTCAGATTCCCAACAGCTTTTGGGGCACTGTTCTTAAACCTCCTAAAAGAGCTATGAAACATGAAACTGCAAAACCTTTTAATCTGTATTTTTTTACCTCTTAAAAATACTCAGAAAAAGTCAAAGAACATTGTTACAAAAGGTAACATCACTTTTGTTGAACAAGATATAACAGTGTATCAATTAAAAATCCAATGCTTTGAGGAGTAATACTTTTAATTTAAAGCCAATAGCTTGAAAACAATGAACTTTTGCAAGTGGGGAGAGTGAGGTCAAAACTACATACAGAAGTGAACTATGGGGCTGGGACATGGCAGGGCTCAGTAGAGCTGGGGCCTAGCATGTGCGGGCACTGGCTCCATCTCCAGCACAGAGGGGTGATCTATGCATACCTAAACAGTATCCTGAATCCAAGGACAGATGTGTGGACCCATGGAACTTCAGTGGCTCCTCTCCCACTGCCCTGGCCAGGTGCCCACCCCAGGGTGGAGTACACACTCTCCGCAGCTGCCCCTCAGTGCTGGGTCTTCAGACCCCACCTGGGAATTTTCTACAGTCTGAAAGGTCTCATGATTTTTTTTTTTTTTTTTTTTTTTGTATTCAGCTTTAATTCGGGATATTATTACTAAAATAAGAGGGCTGGGGATTTAGCTCAGTGACACAAGCATCTGCCTGGCAAGCACAAAGTCGTGAGTTCAATCCCTGGCACCAAAAATAAATAAAATAAAAGCAACACTTTTCTATTTAATACCAAAAGATAACTGTGAAGGTAAGGTATAATGATGCTACAATGAAAACCAGGAAGTTATTTATAACCTTCTTCATTTACAGAGTTCCCCTTTCACTAAAAAGCAGAACTTTCACTAAGAAAAAAGCACTTCCATCCCTGATCTTGATGGGCAAAAAAAGAGCTTGCCCTGTAACTGCAGACACAGAAAATGACTAACCAAACCCACTAATAGGAAAAAGAAAAACCAGCTATGGAGCTTTATTTCTCATCACAGTTTACAGACACATATAAATTCTCTTATCTTTTAATTTTAATAGTTATAGATTTACTTGTGAACAAACGTTAAGTCAGACAAGAATCATTACACAGCTACAGAATAAAACTTTACTGAAAGAAAGCATTCTAATCAAGTTCAGAATTGCAGCTAAAAATATGAACATATTTTAAGAACGTAAGCAGGTTTCCTCTTACCTACTACAAACATGATCTATGAGGAGAGACACAGAATCGAGGTTGCTATCAAGTTTGGTATTGTGATATAGGCACCGGTCCCTTTGTAGCTCCACCGCCTGCCGCAGGAGAGTCTGTAAACGCCGTGGGGGAAGCATCACTGACGGTGGTAAATAGGCTTTAATAGGAGATATTTTTTAAAAAGAGAAATAAAAACAATAATAAACTGTAAACTTTTATTGAAGACATTTGCTCATCTTCTGCTGTATCTGTCTGTACCTCAGTCAATGGTGTCCCTGAACAGACATGTTCTAGGGGCTCCACCCGTGGAAAGCTACAGTGGTAACAGAGCTACACCTGGGAGGACATTACAAGTGTTTTTTTCCTGGGAAAATGAACAGCAAGTCTCTCCCTATCCCCCAAGTAATGAAGTAGGTAATGATGAATGATTATGTACCCGTGGGAAGCCAGGTGTAAGAAAAATCTCCACTTAACAAGGAACAAGCTAAAATGCTATCACAGGTCAAGTTTCAGTTCCCTTCAAATGACTCCTACTGCCAATGACATTATAGAAATTCAGTGAGTAGCTGGTATTCTGTTACCAATAGCAATCGATTCCAATCTTGCAATGCCTTGCATGTGCCTTCCTAATCTCACAGTTTTCTGAGTCATAAAATTTCTACTTCTACTTCAATATTAAAACTATATAATAATTAAAGCAGAAAGGAAAACCTCTTTCACATACAGATATGGTAAAAATGAAACTCCCATTACAATTTGGAAGCTATGTAAGAGAGGAAGAATAAAACCATATACTACAGGAAATCTAGGCCTTACTACTGAAATCAACGCAATTTTAAAATGCTTGTGGCTTTAAGTTTGATCTACATATCCTTTACTCTTAACCACAGCACTTTTGCTCCAAAGCAAACCTGGAGCAGAGCATCACCTCATGATACGAATGAAAGGATTTCTCTGGGACCATGCCTTTCATTCTCCAGGAGCCACAACAATGGCAGACTTGGGAAGATGCTGGTTTAGAAGGGTTCTTAACAGCACTCCCCTTCTACAACCATTCATTAACAGTGCATCTGGAGACAGGTGTTTCCAATTTATCCATACTATCTATTTCTAGTCTAGGAGAAAATAAACATGAAAAATTGAGACTCTTGGCTAGATGTGGTGGAACATGCCTGTCATCCCAGCACTCCGAGAGGCTGAGGTAGATAAAAGACTTCCTAAGTTCAATTCCAGCCTTGGTACATCAGTGGGGTTGTTTCAAAATTAAAAAGTAGGGGAGCTGGGGATTTAGCTCAGCGGCATATGCACCTGCCTTGCAAGTGTATGGTCATGAGTTCAATCCCTAGTACCAATAAAAAAGAAAAAGACAAAAAAAAATATTAAAAAGTAGAACTGGGGAATTATCTCAGTGGCATAAGCACTTGCCTGGCAAGCACAAGGTTGTGAGTTCAATCCCTGATGACAAATAAATAAATAAATAAAAATAAAAAATGAAATAAAAAGTAGAGGAGGTTTGTAGCGCAGTGCAAAGGCTCTGGGTTCAATCCCAAGCACCATTAGAAAAAAAAAAGTCAGACCCTTACTCTGAAGTTTGTCCAACAGTTTTGATCTGGATGCTGTCCCTTTGCCTTCCCATTCTGCTTTTGCTCGCAGGTCTTCTGCATGACTACACATAAGATACCTAAAGACACAACAAAGAAGCAACTATTACACTTTTTTCTTTGGAACAATCATTGCAAATACAGCATTTTGGCTACACAGTTCTAAATACCAGGGAAAAATTTCTCAATGAACTGGATTTATTAATATAACATGACACCTGTGTCAAATTAATAATATAACATGACACCTGTGTAAAATGTAAAAGTGACAGCTAAGTGTTCAAAACTATTGTTATCTATAGAATACATTCTTACATTGTTGCAGGTCCTATGCACACAGCTCTTATGATATGCTGGGCTGCATTCTAAGCCCTCATCACAAATTACTTTCACTGAATACTAATAATGACCCCACATGAGGCAACTGCATTACAGTATTATTATTCTGTTTCTATGGCTAAGGACACCCAGCTACAGAAAACTTACATAATAACTAGGCTGGAAAGGGGAGGGGAGGGGCAGGAATGGGCACTCTAGCTGCAGACCTTGCTCTTAACTACAGCACTAATAACTCAAAAAACCTTCTAAAAGCTATTTATATGAAATTAATTGAACAAAACCATGCTTTCCAGAGTTTATCACAAATTATCACTCAAGAAATGGTAAAAATTTGCAACAGTCGAGGTCATTTTGCTAAGGTGAGGGCCCATTTGCCTCAGGATTCCAGAGAATCCACAGTGAGCACAACCCTATGCTGGTTTTGGATTTTTCAGAGATGGTGATTTGACAGGCACAAGGGAGAGGCATCCTTCCAACAGGGAGACCAGACCTGGCCAGAACTCTGCTGTTGCTGCCGCCGTCTTCTGCCAGGCAGCTGTGTCCCCCTCTCATGTGACGAGATGAAGGGGAAACATCTGAGTGCTCGCTATACAGCAGAGCTCACAAATGACCACCACAAGTATCCGAAGCTGCTGGGTCAACAAGATGGCCTCCTCTCTCCCTTTCTTCTTTACTTGTCTTTCCTTCCTTTTCTTTCTTTTTTCAGTACTGGAGATTGAACCTAGGGCCTTCACATTGATTGAGCTACATCCGAAGTCATTTACTAAGTTACTAAGCCGCTACACTGAGCTCAAACTTTTGATCTTCCTGCCTCAGCTCCTTAGAGTCCTGGGATCACCTCCATTACCTAACAGCAGAACTGCATTTCACCTGGAGTCCAAGTAGCCTATTACCTCGGCAGCAGAACTAGAGGTTTCCTTGCTACCTGGTATACAAACAGTGCCTTAGTGGGTAAAAAGTATTTAAGAAAATACAGTGTAAATAATTATACTCAAAAAATCCTTGGGCTAGGGATGTAGCTCAGCAGCACAGAGCCTGCTTGACAAAGTGTGAGATCCTGAGTTCACTTTTTGACACCAAAAATAAATAAATGAGAGAGAACAAGAAAATCAAAAAAGCCCTTATTGGAAACTGAAGAGTATGAAAACATGTTTCTAAGTAACTTTGTGGAAGAATTATTATGGTTTGGGCAAAATGCTCTATTTTTAAATTCTGCAGTATTCTTTTGAAAATATGTATTATCCCTGAGATTTTCACAGGAGCATCTGTATATGGGAAGTCACATGGTACACCTGAGAAAACACTGCACTGATGGGCAGAACCCACAGGCCCAGATCCCAGCTCCATGTCTGCTACCTCAAGGCCATTTCCCTTAGGTGAAAAATTCAGTAAAGAAACTTGGTGGTAAATAAAAATTCAGTTTAGAATAAAAACTATGTATGTTCTGTTACCAGACTCCTCTCCCCCAAAAATCTTTCATGTGAATGACACTTAAGTGATAAATCAGATAACGTATGAAAACATGAGAACAAAGTAATTTCTCAGCTATGAGATCAAAGCATCTAGCAGAATTTACTGTGTCAAGACCAGTGACTTGGCAATCACACCAGGCTCCACCCTGGTGTGGTAGCTTAGTTTAGTTTAAAGTAGGTCATGAGAAAAGCCTAAAATAATGTCAGATAAGAATAATTAAGTATTGGGTTAAGTTAACCACATTTAAAAAACAAAAATAAAAACAAAGGCTAAAGGATTGAGGTCTGAAGGCAGAGGTAAGGACCTTTCCAATCAGAAAGATAGGCCAAATTAGTGGACACTTCCTCTCCACCTAAGGTAGACTTGACAAAACATTAAAAAAAATGCACAACAACCAATTTCTTTTTAAACTCATCTCCTTTAATTAAAACAAGTTCCCCAACCCATCTTGAAGCTAAGGCAAAGACAGCACAATGGACTTCTTTCCCATCTTGGTATCCACCAAGAGTTCCTTAAAATTTTCAATGAACATTTTAAATTCAGGCTTACGCAGAACTGTTTCCCTATCTGCGAAATAAACCCTTACATAGTCTGGGCCCACTCTTTTGTCCCTCATTTGGTCTGTGAACACTCATGATGGGTTAGTACTGTTGTAGATATCAGGGTTTTTTACATGTAGCAAAAAAATATAATAAAGAAAAAAAAATGAGAAATAGTTACATGACGTAAGAGGACATTTAGCTGGAACCTGAGCAACTAACCACCAGTGACTGGGGAAACACACTTGAGACAGAGGGCCAAGCACTGGAGAAACCCTGAAGAGTTAGCAAATAAAGGAACAAAAGTAATTAGTGTTAATACAGAGTAACAAATAAAAGAGGAGAAAAGGATGGGGGTTCTTATGGGCTTTAGCAGAGATTTTGGGTTTTATTTTAAATGTGCTAAAAAGCTAATGGAACAAGGGAGTGACTTAATTTGGGTTTTGTACTTTTCTTGACTGTGTGAAATAAGCACTGTTTAAAAGATTAAGGGTAAAGTAAGTGCAATAAAGTAAGAAATCACTGTAATATTTTAGGAGAGATTTGATAGCTTAACCAGGATAGAAATAGCAGAGATGGATAGAAAAGATAAGAGCTGTGATGTTTTTGGAGTTAGGCCATACCTGTCAAAGTTAAAAGACAGAGAACAAGGATAAGACTTAGGTTTCCTGTGTAAGCAATTGGGTAGGACTTGTCATTTACTAACAGTGGTCCAGGCAGGTGTGGAAGTGAGAGGAGATACAGCTGGAGTCCAGATTTGTAACCCAAGCGGAGCTATCCTGTAAGCTACCAGCTACACATAACACATATAGCATTCAGATGAGAAGGTGGACTTGGGAGCCCTTGGTACACGAGAGTAAGTGGAGCGATGGTGTAGAGAGATTACCTAGGGAAGGGTATGGACAGAAAAAAGGACAGGGCCCAGAAACAACTTGGACAGTTAAGGACTGATGTGAAAATAGTGACACTGTTTATGTGACATGTCTGCAAGAACTTGGTACACATGGTCATTTTATTAACTTAAACTATAGTTCCTAGGATGGTAAAAGTAGACTGTATACACATCAGTGACTTTACCTAAACTAATATAAGAATCTGACAATATTGCGGTATTTCCAACTGGGAAAAATGTTAAAGAAATGAAATGACGAAGCAGTAATCTCTGCTAAAAACCACAGCCTCGTCATCACACTAGGGTCTGCGGCTTTAGTCTCCTCACCCACTGAGGACATGGATGCGCTCCGTGTTGTACTTCAGGGGCGTCAGCTCACAGCGCAGAACCTGAAGTGCCTCCAGCACCTTGCCGTCCTCCAGGTATTCCAGATACTTCTGCTGCAGCAGTAGAAACTTCATCCTCTGACATGACAGAAAGCAGCAGTCAGGGAAAAAGTTGATGGTAGTTTCAGAACATGTTTGTGCCTAAACAGAACAGTAGAAACCATTCTACTATGCCCTTTGAAAATGATTTATAAAGCTTCAAGATCACTACAAATACTTTGGTTTAATAAAGTCATAACAGATTAAATATGACTTTGCTCAACTCTGCATCTTAATATAAAAACTCAAAAATCTGTCAAGATCATTAGTGACCAAGGCATCACCAATACAGGAAAAGTGAATTCTGCTCTCAAAACATTCTCCTAGAATTTCTTTAAGAATATTTAGAATTATTCTATGCATCTCAAAATTATTATTTTTTTAAGAAGAGACATGAGAAAGAATTATTACACATAGATTTAGGATGTACCGAAGAGTGGAATATGGGTGCTTAGAAAAATGAGTATCTCGAAATTTTTTCAAAACGTCTTTTACAATAGATGGCATTAAGAGGTTTTATGAAAAGACTGGAGAAAAACCAATTAATGGAAGAATTACTTAAAAGCCACAATATACAGGCAAAGGGTGTGGCTCAGTGGTAGAGTACTTGCCCAGCATACGAAGCCCAGCACCACCAAAAAAAAAAAAAAGAAAAAAAAAAAATCAACCAACAAAATCAGTTAAAAGAAAAATACACAAAAAAGCCAAAGTGAAGAAGGACTAAGTAGATCAGCATGCAGAACTAGACCCTTGGATAGAAAGCTTAAGTGCCAGGTTTGAGCTTATCCTGAGTAGGACGAGCTATAGAACCAAAGGACCAGAGGCGGGCATTGCACTCCATGATTGCAACAGGCAGCGGGGGGCTCCTGGCCTTGCAGGTGGCCACAAGGTGCTGCCCACACTAGTGATGAGCCTGAAGACCATGGGGAAAGTTTGATGTTTAAATGTGCCTATATACAACGAACTAATGGCTGATGTAAACTGTAAAGTAGTTCTCATCAGCTTCTTTGCCCTCCCCCAGGAATAAAGTACTCCTTCATTTAGTGCGAGGCACTTTTTTATATTTAGCTTTTTTCTTCAAATGATTTGACTTTAATATTTTTTTAATGTTACTTCATCATCATTTTTTAAATTGAAAGTGATCATCAGAATCCTAGCTTTTTACTAAGGGAGAAAGATGCAAACACTGTATTCTGAATTTCTTCTAAAACTTTAAGGACACTACCTGGAGGAATACTTTCATCAAACTTGTCACTTGTGCTAGGCAAGCCAACTGACATGGGTTGAAAGATTCGGAAAGAAATGTTGGTCATATTTAGAGACTCTGAACTAAAGTATATGCAACAATAAGAACCTCAGGTCCATTTAAAATATTTATTAAGATGCTAGCTTTCAAATCATTAGAAGTATACTGTCACAGTATGGTAATACTACATTTTTACAGAATTAACAGTGTAATTAGCTGCTTTACAAAGTTTTTTATTAAGGAGTATTTAGAAGAAAGGCATAAACTACAAGCTTATAAAATTTTCCAGAAATTTAAAAAAAAAAACTCACGTAAGTTAGGTAAACACTATTGTTCATGTTTGATAATAGTCTAAAGTTTTAGAGACAAAATCCTATAACTCTAGGAAAATCACACTTACCATATTTTACACTAAGATTGATTCAGGAAGGTTTCAGAAACAGACTAATCACCACAAAGTGTCTTGCTGTACACACACCCTATGGTTAACCTTCACATGTCAAATAAAAAATTACCCCAAAGTTCACCAGGTTACAAAAAACAAAAACTAAAGGGTTAAAAAAAATTTTTTTTTTTGGGTTGGTACTAGGGATAGAACTCAGACACTTGCCAGGCAGGCATTTGCGCCACTGAGCTAAATCCCCAAATAAAAGATTCTTTTTTAATGTGAAATTTTTCTGGATGTTCTCGACATTTTATCTTCTAAAAAGAATTCAACTCTTTATAAAATGAAGAGCCCATACATTTCCATAATCAATACTACATTAAAAGTTTCACTTAATTCAGTGTACTTTTTATCCAAACTTGAGAATCTTATTACTTACAGAATTCTTACATTTTAACACCACATGTGATCTAATTTCTTCACCAAATTTCTTGGCAACTGGGAATTGGAGATTTTTATTTTTTTACACTTAGGGCAAGTCATTTATATTTATCAGTCATAAGGGCCAATGCCTCCTGTTCATGTAGAGGAACAGAGCCCTAAGGCTGCTTCCTCCCTATTTCCCACCAAGACTCTATATAGAGCAAGCCACTCACGTCACAGCAGGCAAGAAGGGAGGGAGGCAGGCTAAAGCCTTGAGAAACGCCAACATAAACACACATTTCTGTGTATATAGGGAATGCTGTAAAAACTGCACAACTGTCATTTCTATGAGTCACTTTATCCTGATTAAGACAAAGACTCTGCTCAGACACATATTCAGTCTTACTATTGTGCATAACACCACACTCTTAGCCAAACATAACTAGAGATCTGGTTAAGAGATAAAAATGTGTAGTTTCCTCAGAATCAGTTCACAAACCAGGAGTAAAACTGTGTTTTACCTTCCAAAACTTAAAACACAAAACTGTAATTATAATCTCAAGAAAATAGACTTTATAAGTCACAAATGACAGTTAACTATTTATAGAAAACATTCTACAAATCAGGCAAAATTGGAACTTGGTTAGATGGGGACAGGACTTGTACTGATAGGACCATGGAGGGGGGAAAACAAAGAAAGGTGAGGAAATACAAGTCTCCTTGGTATCTTTTCTCACTTCCAATTAAACCCTCCGATTTCTGATGAGTTTTTGATGTTTCTGGACCCAGAAATATTTCTTAAGCAAGGTTCTACCACTGAGCTATAGCCCCAAACCCTCAGAGTGAATTTTAATACAAAGAATAAGTCATGAACTCTGACACATAGAAAGTCTTAGTTGCTGAGGGCAGCCTGGTATATAACTTAGTAGTGGTTCTAACTCCGGGATAAGCTCCCAAGGCAAGGTTGTATCAATTTAGTAAGTCAAAGGAAAATGGAAGTGAATTCTATTTAAACCATGGCTCTCAAAACTTCTATTTTAATGATTCATGAATTCAGCTTAAAGAAAGTCCAGAGCAACTGCTGCTCCTCCTAGTATCACCTGATACCACTTAAAAATGGGAAGGCAAGGGCAATGTAGTGAGGGGAGTAGACTAGATCAATAAAACATTCAGGTTTAAAAAATAAAGTTCAATTTTAGTTTAGACTAAATCATGAAATGAGTCTGAGTATACAATTAAAATAATTAGGTTAAAAAACCTAAATAGATGTCTTCCAAGGTATTATTACAAACGTGACATTGCATTTACATTAGATTATCTTCTTCTAAAGATGAGGTGGGAGAGGAATAAATGCAAACACATTTAGGAAAGTAAAAAGCAACTTCAAAAAAAAAAAAAAAAAAAAAAAAAACAAAACGCCGAGCTGAATCTTTAAAAGCAATTGATTTGCCAATGCTTAAAGTGAGATAAAAGATGGAACCCCTTTCTTTGTATAAATACCTAAACAGTTTGATGGTGTGAAGCTCAGCCAGGGACTTAATCTTCATCTTTTTTTAGATCTTAGAATGTTCTACAGACTGAACAAGCTGTAAAAAGAAAGGATTCCTCCTTATTAACTACAACTACCTTTCTTCAGTTTACACGGTGCTTTAACTTTAATTCACCTGAAGGATTGTACTTTTAGGATTGTATTTTCATTGGAATTTATACTGAAATTTGAAAACTTCTCTAGTAAGATTTAAAAAAAAAATAGTAGGCTCTAAGTTTATAGGCAAAGGTAGAAAAGATTAATGTTTGACCCAATTTAAGACAACAGGCACACACACCCCACACCACACCACACTGTTAGCGGTCATTTACTAATATTTAACAAACAGCTGATTTCCCTACTTCACTTCCTATTCATCTTCTTTCCCTCCCCCACCAGACAGGAAACTGCTTCTGACAAGAAATGAATCAGCTAGAAGTTAAAAAGCCAGCAACCGGGAGCTGATTCTTCATGGTTTCTGAGCACCCAGTGCTTGGGAAAAGCACCCCTCCTTTTTCACACCAACATCTGGAGCACTGCAAGCCCATCAGTATAAAAGAGTCATTGCAACTTGTGAAGAAGACTGACAGGTTAAACACTGAAACTGATCTTGTTCAGGAAAACTGGGCAGGTAAGTAGGGCCCAATGGTCAAATCTGCATGCTCTCCCAGAGTGACACACATCATGCACACTCTGACACTGTCAATCCACACAGCTTGGAATGCAAGACCAGAAAATGAAAGCACCAACTAGTGTTGGTGTAAATTAACTATTATCCCCAAAGATTCCAAGGTGGGTAGTACTGTACATTAGGGCTGTATGAGTAACAGAAAAACATAATTTATCCTTTACAAGTGTAAAACACATCATTAATAGCACCAAAGCAAGATCTCTCAATATAATCTCTCAGAGCTTAACTTACAAATTAGGTTTATGGGACACATTTACTAAGTATGAGCGCAAAAATACTTTAAAATACAAACAATTCTAGATTACAAATTCAATGACATAAAATTTAACTTTTTAAGCCTTATCCTCTATAAGGTGAATACCTAGAGTTATCAATAACCTATTAAAATAAGCATAAATGTGAAACTAAGAACAAAAGTGTATTTACCACAATTATTCCCAACAACGTTTGAGAGATTTCAAGTGCGCCTCTTACCACAATAGCATGAGGAGAATGCACTAAAGGCTTTAGTTCATTCAGGTCATTTTCTGCCTGCAAAGATTGGTATAAAAGAAAAGAAAAACAGAGACATCACAAAATGTACATTCAACATATAATTTTAGCAGCAGTCACACAGCTCTATATGCCCTACTTTACCTTATCCCAGTCTCCTTCCATGACATGATTTCGGAATTTGGTGGCAGAAGGATGTTCTAAACGACATCCTGACTCTTGCATGAGGAGATCAACAGTCTGGCTGCAGGAGAGATACAGTGTAAAAAAGACCTGACCAACTTTCCAGTTTTAGTCTTTCTCCAAATAAACTAACGTCTATCAGAAAGGCTGCAAAGTTTTTAAACTAATCTTATGATGAAGGAAAAAAAAAAACTAGCTTTAATTTACTTAAATAAACTTGACTTAAGTGCCAATTACATTTATTCTGAGTCAAGTTTGAAAACTTTTCTTGAAACCAGAATCAAATAATTTCTTCCTACTTTTGCAATAGGTCAGAAATGTAATGAAGTATAAAATTTCCAAAAATATATCTTAATTAGTCAAATTAGGTGAAAAAAAACCTACCCATGACACTACATCTTGAAAGATAAAATCTTTATCTCCACACCAAAGTAACATATGACCTGTGTCAGGTACAGCCTTCTGGCTGGCTGTATTTGCACAGAAATTCTATTAGATTAATCTTTAAAATAAATCTAGCATCGAAAACCATTTCCTTTTTCTCTCTACTAAAAATAGCAAATTTACTAAGGTGTAGGTTCCAAACAGTCACGAGTTATTTCCTTCTGCGGCTGTCATCTTGTTTCTTGTCTCGGTAACATGTTCTGTTAGCATTTACTAAATCTGTTTTCATTCTAACCCTTTTCCTCAGGGAATAAAGTGAATCTCCCTACCACATTATTTTTCTTTGACAGCTTAAAAAAAGACTCATCAAATGTGATTCCTCCTTCCCCCTCGTATTTTGATACCTATGTTCTTTCATTTAACAGGTTTATATGTCGGTTTCAACGTAATGCTTTGCTTGGGTCAATTTTCTCAGCTAACCAGTGTAGTCATCTACCTGAGAAGCAACTAACTTATCTGTGTACTTTTTAAAGTGCTGTCTTCCCCACTCCTCAGCAAATTCATAAATATAACACTGTACACTAACCAGCCTAATTCTTTAACCCATGCTGTGAAGTTAGGAAACTGCGGCATGTGTTCATCTTACACCATCTCTGGCTCTTGCATAGGGCTCCCCAAATCCACCTTTCAACCCTTTAGTTTTTCTGTGTGCATACACAACAGTGGTTTGGGACCAAAGCAGATGTCTACCTTCTCTCTGATGTTAGCTACACAAAGCCACTTATACTTGTATCTGAAAACACATGATTCAGTAGATCATAAGTCCCTGTTTCAGAGGAATCTTCTTGACAGTGTTAGACTGTGACTCCAGTCTAGTAAGCGCAAGGCCTCTTGCACACGCAGGGCATCCCGTCAGATGCATGCAGCCCCCTTTCCCAAAGCACCCAGCCCAGCGTTCCTATAAACACTTGTAGGTGGCTGCCTCCGCTGATTGGTGGTTTGCCTGGGTTGTTGTCACGGCTGGGGGTGGGGAACTGTCCCACAAAGATGTCTCTGAGACACTCGAAAAACAAATCCTCCGAGGTTCATTATTTCCCCCGGCTCGAGCCCTCCCCTCCCCCCAGACACTTGCGTCCTTCTTCAGGGGCGGACAATCAGGCCCCGAGGTACGCAAATCAGGCGTGGGCTCCCCTTGCGGTCTCCTCGATCCACCCCCCCCCCCCGGCTCCGGCCCGCAGGCGGCACCTACTTGAGCCCCAGGCCGTTCAGGTGCTGCCCGATGAGCCGGATGACGTCCTCGTCTGACTGCGACAGCCGCTTCTTCTTCTTGAGGCCGCTGCCCAGCTCGGGGGCGGCCAAGGCGGCGGTGGCGGGCGCTGGGGCGGCGGCGGCCCCGCCGGGGACCCCGTGGTGGCCGGCGGCGCTGCCATTGTTGGCGGCGGCGGGCCCGGGCGGCGGCAGCCCATTGGCGTGCGCCAGCTCGGCCGCCGCCTCGCCGTTGTGCGCCGCCGGGCAGGCGAGCTCGGGGCCCGGGCCCGCGCCGCCGCCGCCCGCGCCGTTGGCCTGCATGACGCCGCCGCCGAGCGGCCCCGCCACCTCCACCTCCGCCGCGGGCGGCGGGCGCGGGCCTGCGCGGCCGGCCGGGGCCCCGGGCTCTCCTGCCCCCTCCGCCGCCGAGGCGCGGGGCTTCTTCCGCGGGGGCGGGGAGGCTCCGCCGGCGTCCGAGTCGGAGGAGGAGGAAGCGGAGGCCAGAGTTTCCTCGCCGAGAGAGGCCGTGGTGGGCGGCCGGCGGGGCGCGGCGGGGGTCGGGCGGGCGCGGGCCGGGGCGCGCCGGGCGCGGGGGCCCGGGCCCTGCCCCCTCCGCGGCGCAGAAGCGGGCCGAGCGGGACGGCGGGGCGCTGGGAGCGGCCGCCTGTGTGCTCGGGTCGCCGCGCCGCTCCGGTGTTGATTCCTCCCCAGCTGCTGCCTAATGGAGTCCGGCGCGCGCGTCACCGGAAATGCCTGCACTGCGCTCGCCCACTTCCGGCGGCAGGTGCGGCGCTGTCAGCGCGTGCGACCGCCTCTGCCACCCGGCTTGCTGCGGTTTCCGCCGGCCCGGCCCTGCCCTGTTCCCGGTCCCTGGCTCCGCTCGGCCCGGATCCCGGAGGTTCCCTGCCAGGCCTTGCCCAGCGCTGCCCGGCCGTCTCCTGGTTCCGGCTCGCCCTTGGTTGTGGCCCGGTCCGGTCCCAATGGGCCCGCTCGCTTCTGGTTCCGGCCCGCGCAGGTTCCGCCCGAGGCTGGATCGCCTGCGGCGCCGCCCGGAGACTCGGAGGCTCGGGGAAGAGGCCGGGGGCGCAGGCCGAGAGGTCTGTGTGGGTCAGGGCCGCCCGGGCTCGCTGCCCGCGGACTCTGACCTGCGTCGGCAGCCACGGCCAATGCCGATCCGGGCTCGAAACTTCGGGCGACCTGTGACCAACTTGGGTAAATGGGGCCGCGGCGCAGAGCGCCTTGCTCGCGGGCGCGGTGGGGCCCGTGGGCTGGAGACAGACAGTATTTGCGCTGGAGTTCCAGGAGCCCGTACCTTGGGCGGGGGTAGCTGCGGACTCACCCACGGCTTGGCACCAAGCTGCATCCCCAGCCCCGCCCGCATAAAGACGTTTTTTTATTTTGAGATTGGGTCTCGCCCAGGCTGAGTTCGAGCTTGTTATCCTCCTGCCTCAGCCTCTGAGAATGCTGCGATTACAGAGGTGCTCCACCAGGCCAGGCTAGGGAAGTTTTTCTCTAAAACCGTTTTCCTAATGAAAAAACACATTCCACTAATATTTATGTGTGTTACAAGTAGACAAAATTAATAACTCAGTAACCTCGAGTCTGACAGTTTTTTTTAAAGTTTAGGAATACAGTAAAATGATGCTGATGAGAAATTAATAAAGAATCATGAGCACAATCCCGACTACTTGTGAGGCTGAGGCAGGTGGATCAAAAGTTTGAGACCAGTTTGGGCAATTTGTACAGATCCCATCTCAAAATCTAAAAAAAAGGGCTGGCAATGTAGTTCAGTGGTAGAGTCCTTGCTGGTACATGGGAGGCCTTGCTTATGGGTTCCTTCCCCAGCATCATATGCACGAGCAACAAGGAAGGGAGAGGACGACCAATGTAGGCCCTTAAAGCCATTTAGCTTTGTAGTTTTCATCTCTTAAATATACTGCTGGGTGGCAACTAATTAAAAGGTGACACATTCCATGTTCCTAGGCCTGAGTGGTAGCTAGGGTTCCTAGGTGTGGCCACTATGGCTATGGAAGCCAGAATTACTAGGCAGTTAGGACTTCAGAGATTGTTTCTGTATTACCTTCAGAAACCTTAGTAGTAAAAGGGTGGTCATTTTTTTTTTTTTTTATCGGTACCAGGGATCGAACTCATGACTGCCTGCTTGTAAGGCAGGCACTTATGCTGATGAGCTAAATCCCCAGCCCCAAAAGGGTGGTCATTGTTAGGCAAAAATTTAGTTTTTACAAAATGGTATGTAGTACTGTGATATATTAGGGACCCAGCAAGGAGGATGCAGGAAGGCTATAGCTTTCTCACCAATAAAGTCTGTCGCTTTCACAGAGGAAGGGATCACTTAGCCACAGACTTGGCTCACATTTCATCCACAGAGGAAGGTGATGGGAAAAAGAAGTTGGATCCATCGCCCTGTAAACTTAGTGTGTACATCTCAGCTTTTCTACTTTGTAGGTAACTAGGACTGATCTTATTAGAAATCGGAATTTTGGAAGCCTCAGTACAGACATTTTTATTTGTATTCAAACACAGACCACTCACTAGCTTGTGGTCTGAACTCTTAAGTCTTTCCAGAGCTGGGTTTCAGGTCCACTTGCAGATGAATAATTTTGAAATACTGATCTACACTCTCAGACACCTGCAGTAACTCATGCCTGAATGATGGAATCCAAAGTCTGTCTTGCCACAAACAGAGCTCAGATTTTTTATTTTCCCTCCAACTTTAATTTTTTGGGTTAAATTTTTTTTTTCCTTTTTAATTAACACAAGTGCATATTTGTGAGGAGGTTTTCTGTCTTACTGCTTCTCTTTATGAACCTTTGCTGCTGTCCTCCGAGGGCCCCTGAGCTCACTTCTGAGTCTTTGACTGTCACCTATCTGTTCTCCACCTAATTTCCCTTAGCCTCTCAATACTCAGTTGGTTTTGAGCCTCTGTGGGGGAGCCCTTCCTGACTCAGCCTTCCAACCTGACATTATGAGAGTGGCACTTACCGGGCCCCTCAGACTTGGTGGCTGCTTCTCTTGAGTTGCTAAGACCCCACCCCTTCTGCAAGCCATCAGAGGGGCCTTTGAGACTGTCTGCCTCCCTCGCTTTTGTCTTCCACGCTTCTGGAAAAGACTAAAAAGGGTTTAAGAATGGAGACCCAAGTTGGGTTTTAGAGAAAAGAAATCAAGGGTATAATGGGGACTTTGTGCCTTGTAAACTTGTTTCTGTGTGTTACGGGGCTCTACCCTGTGGTAAGTTCCAGGTGAAAGGCTCCTCTTGTCCTGGGTGTGTTCCAGCAGGGGCCTTGGGGGTTTGCCCCCATGGAGGATGAGATGGTCTGAGTTGCAGGAGAGGCTGCTGAGCCATTGCACCTGCAAGGCCGTCTTGTCTCAGGTGTCTGTGAATTCTGTAAGTTCCCTGACCACTAGTGTTCTTCAGATGGTGGGTCTTGACCTCGTTATGAGTCATGAAATCACCTCAGGGGGCTATAATCAATATTTTTTAAAGTGAGGTTAGAAAATACAAACGAATAGGAAATACCTGAGCAAATCAGCCATCAGAGAGATGTGATACATTTCTTGTGCATCTCATTCTTGAGAAAGCTTCAAAACTGCTTGCCTTCAGTCAGTTCTGCCTGACCTGAAAGCCACTCAGGAAAGTGGGTACTGGGCAAACAGTCAACAGCTCCCCAGACTGCCCATTGCGGGAACTTCATTGAGTGGAGTAAAAGGTAATGGTAGAGTTTACAATGAAACATAAAACCAAACTTCTCACAGATCTTTCTGAAACTAGTAGAGATTTCTTTTTCTGTCAAGGTTTAATTTTAAGAACTTGGGATGTAACCCAACAGAGAGTGCCATGAGGCCCTAGGTTTGATCCCCACTACCACAAAATAAATAAATTTAAGATTTAAATTTGTCATCCCAGGCTAGCACTGAGTAATACTGGTACTCAGTTTATGAAATTCTGTTAGGAAGAGATTTGTCAGGAATGTGGGTGACTCTGAGAAGGGGAATGTTTGTATTCACATCCTTAGCTTCATTGCTTGCTTTTTTGTGAGGTTGTAAAATTGGTACACTGGACTTGTCAGACTTGTGTGGGCTTGAAAGAATTCAGGAGTGGCCTCCAGGAGTATTTAGGGTCAAGAGCTGGGCAGCTGGTTGGCCTTGGACAGTCACGTGACTTCTCCCACACGTGGGCTCCTAGGTGGGGATAATGACCCGGCCAGCTTGTCAGATGAAGTTGATATGTGGGTCAAATGAGATCACAAATAGAACAAACATTTGGGAAAATACTATGTTGAAATGTTTCAAGGTGAAAATCACATTCAAGACCTGGATCAGCTAAACTAAAGACACGAGGAGGTGGTTTTGTTTCTGATGTTTCCTGAGCTGTGGACTCAAGCCACTTCCCCACCCTATGGGTTCCAGCATCATGGCCCGAGACCAGCAGGGCTATTAGCTTGCTTATCCCAGTCCTCTAGGAACCTCACAAGCTGTAGCAACCCAGCAGGTCTCCCATGGTGGCTGTGTGTCTCTCTGCACTTCTATAGTACTGTGTTAATGCTGTGAGTACGTGGGGTGCTCCTCTGAGAAGAGGGACCCCAAAGCCTCCTCATAGGAGTGATACTCATCTTGCTCCCAGCTGTCGCATCTCAAGATGTCCGAAGGCCCAGCTGATATGAATTGCAGTGATTCAGACACCTTTGAAGGAACCAGAGTGAACCACAGAAGCAAGATGATTCTTTTCCCCACGCACAGCTCAGAGAGGTTTGTAACTGCAGCATAACTTTGTGGTGGGGTCATGTTATGAAAATGCTAAAATGCCAGCTGACCCCCAGCGTTGTTAGCGACAGCAAGAAGAAAGTAATCACTGCGTGCTGACAAGGGCATTGTGGCCAAGGCTTGTGTTCAGTGGAAGATGATGTTAAGAAGCACAGTGCATAACGCTCGTTTTGGTAAATGAGTGAATGCGTGTACGTATGTTAGTTTTCTAGTAAGACACAAAAGTGTAAGCAGTGGTATCTTGGGTAGGGGAACTGGGATAGGACATCAAAGTTGTAATTTAATTTTATACTTTTTCTCAGTGTTTGCATTTTCTAACTACTTTTAAAAATTGCAAGAGGGGGGCTGGGGATTTAGCTCAGCGGCATAAGCGCCTGCCTTGTAAGCAGGCAGTCGTGAGTTCGATCCCTGGTACCGATAAAAAAAGGAAAAAGGCAAAAAAAAAAAAAATTGCAAGAGGGTTTATTTGGATTATGAAGATTATAGATAATTTTGTGGGGTTTTTGGTATTGATGTTATGCTTTTAAACCACTTATGTTTTTAAAAGAATATTCAGAATCCATCAAAATACTCATGAGTACTTAATCACAATAAAACGTACCAGAGAAGCCAATGCTGCATTATCTCACTGACATTAAATATATTTGTCTTTTAAGATCTCCTTTCACT